GCTTGCACTGTATTTAACTTTGATGCTGCGATATGACTCTCACGCATGCTTTTCGAATCTCTTGCAGCTAATATCTGAATTGATATTTTCCATCAAAAAAGCCATTTGAAATGGCTATAAAAGAAATGGACGGAGCGAACCTGGAGTGCCAGGATCATGCCACATTCATTCCCTCAAAGAAGTGAATAAAGTGTTTGGTACAGAAGGGTAGGTTGAAAAGAATTCCCGAAACCGGGGTCGTGACTTCGTGCGATGTTATCTTGGAAAGAAAATCGGAAAAGGGTAATCTGCAAGAAGTGAAGAAACCAAAAAAAAAAAAACCAGAACCCAGGCGTTCGCTGACGCACTCGCTGCTGCGCCTTCCCAACAAGTCACTCCGACTGTTTTTATCTATGCGCTACCGCCCTAGGATGATCAAGAAAGAAGGCAAAAAAGGCAATCAAATGAGAATGGCTGGCACGTGTTGGCCCCTTCACCTCCGGCGAGGGTGCTTGTTGCGGTGGTGGAGCATGTGGTTGTGCATATGGCGCTTGGCGTGAACGTCAGGGGTGGGCGTGGGCGCGTCGCGCCCGTAGACGTATACCGTCTCCCAGGCCGTGACAGTCTCATACACAGTAACCATGGTGGGGTGGCCGGCGGCATCGGTAGTCTTGATCACCTTGGTGGCGACAGCGGCAGGCTCTTGGTGCTGCTGGACCGGCTGGGTCAGCGCGGGAGGGGACGCGGCTTGCTGCTGTTGCTCCTTGGAGCTGGGGCTAGGGCTAGGGCTGGGCTTCGGGCTAGGGTCCTGGTTCGCGTTCTTGGCTGGGGACGAGGGCGCCGAGGCAGCCTTGTTGTCCGCAGGCTTGCTGGGCGCAGAGCCAGCACCATTGGCAGGAGCGGCCGGGGCGGCGGGGGCAGGGTTAGGCATGGGAGCCACGTTGACGTCGCCGATGCCCCAGCCGGCCAAGGGGTTATTGCCAGGAAGCGAAGACAGGGCGCCCTTGGCCTGCACTCCGGTAGAGTCCGCAATGGTGCACTGTTTACCCTTGTCGTTCAGTTGCACACCGGGGCACTTGTCCATACCGGCGGAGCCAGCATCGCACGTGTCGATGATGTTCTGCAGCACCTTCTCGTCCCATGCGGACAGGAAGTCGCCGTGCATGGAGAAGCCGGTGCGGTCGCCGTTGGAGAGCACAAAGGGCTGCGAGTTGCCGCCAGGGGTCCAGCGGTCCTTGAACATGGGGGTGTTCCAGTAAACCTCGAAAAAGAGATGGGGTACGTGGATCCAGCCCTGAGGGCAGTCCTGCATGCCATTGCCAGTGTTGGTGGGGAAGGCCATGTTCGTCTTCCAGTTGCTCAGACCGGCAGCCGGGTTGTAGCACGAGGGAAAGTGCAGGTCGGCGCGCAGGGGCGAAGCGTAGCCATCACACTCGGCGAATGGGAAGCCCACACCCTCACCCTTGTTGTTCTTGCTACCCATGCCGGCCACGGAGCCGTCCGAGTTCGCAGGCCACGAGGGCGGGTCAAAGCTGGAACGGGGGCAAGTCCACGACGCCGGCTGGGGGTTCTCGGGCGTGAGCTTGGTATCGCCGCCAGAGGCGGGGGCGGTGCGCAGATTGGAGTTGCCGGCAACCATCTGAAGGCCGTGGGGGAAGGCCTTGATTTGGTCATTGGTGCCCTCGAAGAAGTAGTAGACGTTCATGTAGAACATCTCGACTGGCTCGAAGGTGTTGGCAGCCTTGTCATGGAAGTAGAGCTTGGGGGTCCAGTAGGCGCTCATGTCGCCCTTGATCATGGCGGTTGTGCAGCTGGACTTGGCAAGGTCGTCGGCTGTGGAGTTGATGCCGAAGTTGCTGGCGCCCTGGACGGTGTGCACGTGGGCGCTGGTTCGTCCGGGCTCGACAATAGGGTCCATGCGCCCTTCGACGAGGGGGCCGGCGCCGTTGAAGCGCAGGACACAAAATGTCCTACCCTTCTTAGCCGAGACGGCGCCGATCAGGGCCGCCGCCGCGGAGAAGAAGATGGAAGATTTCATGGTTTCGGACTCGATCTGGTGGGATTGATATGCTTGTGTGCGTCACAAATGATGAAACGAAACTGAACGCTATTGAGCGTTGTTGGATGTGGTTGTCGAGGGCCTGTCTCTGAAAAAGGGGGGTATATATTCGTTGGCCGTTTGCGGTCAAGATGGGTATCTCTGCGTCTGAATCTGGCACAATGCAGTGTAACCAAAAAAAGAAGTGCTGTTCCGGAGCACCAGGAGTGAATGTGTAGCAAGGATGAGCTGGCAGGGGGACGGTGAAGTCTTAAGGCCGCTGGCTCGATGCTGGGATGAAAGAATGACAGTTAAGAACAAAGGTCCTTTGGTCTAAAAGGAGAGGACGGTGCTTGGGATCGGCAGCTGGGCCGAGTGGCGGGTGAAAGGAGTGCGAGGCTGGAACTGAAGATTGCCAGCAAGAAACGAAACAAGGACGAAGCGAAGGACGGACAAAGGCCAAAGGGAGAGTGATCAGAGACGGTGGTGACGAGAAGGAGAAAACATCACCAGCTGGGGCGGGCGACGAGGCCATTAATACGAGGGAGGGGAGGGAGGCCCAGCCGTGCCAGCCGCGGAGCCCCCCCTGGACCTGTCCGTACCGACTTGGTAAGCGTCTGGGCATGCATCCGGCAGCCTAACACGCCTAGGCGCCAGGTACGCGCTCCTGCGGGGAGGGCAGCCGATTTGAGACCTCGGGCGCTTCGCCGCGAGGGTCGGCGGGCTTGTCATCCCCCCCTCCTTACAGGCAGGCAGGCGGTCAGGGGCACCACCACTACCACCACCCAGAGCCGTTTGTGTTTGCGCTTTGCGCTAGGGCGGTGCGTGTGTTGGGGTGGGCGTTTGCACCGTGCGCCGCGCGAAAGAACATGAGGGAGGGGGGAAGAACGAAAGCATCCGCTGCATCTAAAGTGCTGGCGTCTGTGCCTTTGCTAGCGCGGCACACACGCTAGTGCAAGGGACAGGCCCCTCGCCACTTCCGGCCACCCGACCAACGGCAAGCTGCGAACGACAGTGGGTGAGTGCGTGCGTGCGCTGCCGTCATCCCTTGTCTGTGCTTTTGTTTTTCTCTCCCGCTCCAACCTGCTTTGGGGTAGCACCAGAGTCGCCAAGCCCGGCTGCGTCGGCGTTGAAAAAGACGCAGGCCAAAGCTGAATCGCGTAGACTGGATATTGGTGAGCTTTGAACATGGAGGGTGGACAGTAATGGACAGTAATGGACAGCCAGCCTTTGCAATTGACGCGTTTTTGTTTGCCCAGGGAAGATGCCAGCTCCAAAATCCAGGCACAGGCACTCACCACCCACGCCCTCAGCCCCTCAATTGAATTGGGATTGGAAGGAACGGCGTGGCTCGGGTGGGGTCTCGCACTGTCTGTCTGCCGTGCCCTCACATCACCCCTTCCGTCTTTTTCTGCCCCGATGCGCCCAGAATGCGACGCTCCTGCTTCGTGCAGCCAGACCTGCCATATTCCTCCCGCAAGGGCAGCCCCTCCATTGGAACATGAAACGCGCTAGCCCGTGTTAAAAAAAGAAAGGATGCGATAAAAGGAAGAAAGAGTGAGAGGAAATGGCTGACACTCCACTTTGGCCGCTTGGGTATTTTGTCACAAAGCCATCCCTCGTCTTTGGAGTGATTTTTCTGAGGGGTCCAGAATGCAAGGAATGAAGGAATACGTCAGCCTTTCGGCAGAGACGACTGGTGAATGTCATGTTGGTCACGTTGATCACGTTCGTCTCTTTCTAGCCTTTGGCAGAGGTCGTCTGAGTTGATGCGATCAAGTTGATGTAATCAAATTGATACGGCTCCTGTCGGTGACGGGCCGTTTGTTTCGTTCTGTTTCCAGCTGTTCCCCATGGTTGCCCCCCTTTTTGTTTGGTGGCTCGCGCGCGGCTGAGTGAAACAAGACACTCTCTTCTTCTTTCCTTTTCTGAGCCCGTGCGCCCGCCATGAAATGCCCTCAATTTTGTCCTGGGCCACCAAGAACCAACCAAGCCGCGAGCAACGGCTGGCCTCGGACCCTGGCTGCTGGGATCCGGCGCTAGGGTTTCCAGACATGCTGCTCAACGCAATATTCTTGATCAGATTGCAGGAGAGCAAGCACACGGCTGACTGGCTGGCCCTGTCTTCCCGAAGGCTGCACCACCAACGACAACCTCGCTGGCAGTACCCCCATGAGTGTGCGGTGCGTCATGCCCTAGACGGCCGGGCGCGCAACCCTCTCCCGCCAGACGGCCCCGGAGAAATGAGCTCTTGAGCAGCCTCCCGTCCGCTTTCGTCGCACAGCTGCGTCTTTCCCCCTTCTTTCCGTCCTCTGTTCTCCGTCGGCCGGAGGAGAGCGGGGGTATGGGCTGCCCTCCGCTCTCCGCTAGAGGGTCCAAAATAGAGTCGCAGTGGATGGATGACGCCCCGTTATAGCAGGTTGGTTGGTTGGAACTGCCCTTGTCGCATGCACGCGGCACGGAAACCCGGGTAAAAATGGAACCGACGTCATCACCTCAGCCCTCTCCTGTCTCCTGTCTTCTGCCTGTCTCTCCGCTGTCTGACTGTCATCGCCTGTCATCGTCTGTCCCCGTGTATCTCGGCCAATGCAGCAGACAATACCTTACCTATCTCCCCGCCCGTGGGACTACGCCTCCATCCGTACCTCGGGACTTCGTGTGCATGTGTGTGACGCGGCCGTGTGCGACAGATACACCACCCGACCTGCAGACAGCGCCCGCGTCGACCATGATGCCGAGACCCTTCTTCTGTCCCATCCATCTCCTTCGGCTGCTACCGCCCGCCCTGGCCTGGCAGCACGTGGCCGAGTCCGAACTAGCGACTGTTGTTGAGCAGCACCAACTTGCCCTGGTCGCCCGTGCGTAGACTGATCTTTGATACCACCTCCCCTCGACGGCCTGCTGACGCGCGTGTGCTAATGTTGGTTGCATGCAGTCGTGCTTGTGAGGAACTCCCAAAAGTTGCATACAGTCAGCCAGCTGGCACCGAAAGATGCTGACACCACCGTCATACCAGCCCCTTGAGTGAGACACCCTCCATACCCACCCGCTCCCTCCCTGCAGGCTCAGACTCCCGACCACACCATCGTCGGGCGACTGGATGCTGAACCGAGCCCCCAACAGGCCTAAATCCCGGTGGTTGGAAGCACAATGGGACGCAGCCGGCAGCCTCCGCCACCGCCGACGAGGCACTGATGAGCATTGACTGCTCAGCTGCTGTTAGCGGTGAGGTCTGCGCTCTCGCCGCCCCCGACTTCCCCGCCATCCGCGTTTTCCGCCCCGGCAGCCACGGCCCGCCTGCTGCATACCAGGGGTCCATGACTGCGGCCGCGTAAGTCCGACCCCCAACCAACCAACCTCGCCTACAATGATACCATACCATACCATACCATACCTACCCATCAAACGTCGTGTGAGCTGAGAAGAAGTGGCTTTGCGACACTGCTGCCGCCCTCGCCTCAAAACAACCAACCCACAGCATATCCCAGTACCTGGCCCGCCACAGGCGTCCCAAGGTGTCGGAGCTGGTCACGGCCGAGGCGCTAGCGTCGTTCCAGACCGTCGACCGGGTCGTGTTCGTCGCCTTTGTGCCGCCCCAGGGCGGGGTTGTCGTTGGCGCCACGGCCCATGACCCCAGGGCCCTGTCCTACCGCCGTGCCGCGCTGCGGTACCGGGACGAGTTCTCGTTTGGTATCGTGACGGACCATGCGCTCGCTAGTAGCCTAGAGGGCGGCGACGGCGAAGGCTCCGGGAGCGCCTTCGTCGTCGTCTGCCACAGGCCCGGCGACAGCCACACGTCCCGCTTCGTGTTCCCTGAGTTGAAGGATGGGGTCGACAGCACTGCCGACGCCGCTCCCGCTCTTGAGGCCTTCATCAGGGATGGCGGCAGGCCTGATATTGCCCAATTGACGCCATTAAACCATCAGAGATACCTTGGTGTTAGTCTTGGCGCCCAAGTGATTCTCATGTTCCTCATTCCTTTGTCTTGTTTTCTCGACTCACAAACCTAGCAACTAATACCACCCACCACCCCAGCTCGACTGGCCCGTGGCCTACCTCTTCGCCTGCACGGAGCCCGAGCGGGACACGCTGCGCGCCTTACTGGCCAGGCTGGCCAAAAGCTACCGTGACTCCCTGACCGTCGTGGTGGCTAACCCCTTCGACCTCCCGGGCCTGCCCGAGAGGCTCGGCCTGGGCCCGCCGTCGCCGTCGTGCCCGCCGTCGGGGGCGCTTCACCAGCTATCCAGTGACCGCATGTACCCGTGCCCGGCCGGCCGCCCCGTCGACGCCAGGTCCGTCCAGCAGTGGGGGCTCGACGTCTTCCAGGTCCGCGTCCTCCCGTGGCTGCCGCCCGGGGCCGACGACACCGCCGCCACCACATCCTTCGCCGACCCCGGCCCGACCCGCGTGGCTTCGAGGAGGATCTCCGTCGCCTCGATCCCCGGCGTGAAGATCAGGATCGCCGGTCGCGCGCACGACGAGCTGTAAAATGGGACGGTCGGGCTAAGCAGGTTGGAAAAGAGGGGAATGTTTGGAGGATGGATGATGTTAATATTTATGCTCTACGCGCGCTCGCGTATGCATTAAAATAAATTTTACGTTCAAAGCCTCACAGAAAAAGAAGAATAAAGAAAAAAAGAAAAAAAGAAAAGAAAAAGAATGTTAGTAAGGGAAGCCCCGGGTTCCAGTGGCGGACCTTACACTTGTGAAGTCCTAACCACTTAGACCACGCACATTTCCCGGGAACGAAAGCTGCTGCACCAAACCAACTTTATCAGGGGAGAGGTCACTGCCTTTTCGTTTCCTGGGGGTGTCCCGGGGGACGGCTGACTGCCAGTTGACCGGGAACTCAGATAGCCATAAGGTCTTTGGGTTGAGTTGAGCGACATGAAAGTTTGTAGTATATGTAGCCGGTAGGTACGTAAATACCTGGTATATAAATAAAAGCGGGAGAGAACAAGATGTATCTACTAAATGTTAAAAGCCAGCCTTTTGTGTAAATAAGCGTCCAACGAAGGAATCTAGTGGGTATCGCCAAGGTTTCAGTCTAAGGACATAGCCGTACTTAGTCCCGCTACAGAGTAGACGTTCTTAAAAATAAGGAAATGAAGGACGGGAATGAATATTTAACACCCAGTTTTGGGCATTCTTGTCTCCTTTAGGGCTAAATGTTGTCGCGCAGCCAACGACTTCATATTTCAAGATGAAGAGCGGCATGACCTGGCCAAAGGCGAGTCACGGTAAGAAAACACTTTTACGCCAAACTTGAACCGGGCACGCAAAGAATAAAAACACATGTCGTTATATTGTAACATGTGGACACGGCTTGTTAAATCTCATAGCAACTCTCTAAGACAGTCCGTTCCCCATTCCCGCCGGTCCGTTTCCGTCCCTGCTGTTGTCGCAGCTGCAATGTTGTCGCCCGAGTGTCCCCGGTGGCTATCATAATGAGGTCATCAGGCCTCCCACATGTTTTCCCCCCTTCCAATTAGATACGCGGTTGATATGGATTTCTGCATGTACAGATACTTGGAGCAAATGGGCGCGAGTACATGGCGCTGATAAGCCATGCCCTGCAAATTCAGGGCCCCCAGGAAGCTACAGCTAGGGCTACCCGCTAACTAGCCTAGCGATGGTTTGCTCAGAAGTTGTATCTGGTACCCTGGCGACTCAGGGGCTTCTTCTTTTCGGGGACAGCAGCGGCATCGGCCGCCTCCTTTTTTCGGCTCGGCTTCTTGACACGCGGCGGCGGCGGATGCGCACTGTGGAGGTGGCCCAGCTCGTTGATGGCCGTCAGATTCTCCCACTCGAGACACCGGTACTGGGGCGGCTCTGGCGTCTGCACGGCCCGACTGCGTGTGCTTGCGCGCTTGCTGCTAGCGCCGCCCGATGGCGCGCTCTTCTTCTCCGCCGTTTCCTCGCGCGGCTGCTCGCCCGCCTCGAGGTACGCCTTGCGGTTCCGCATGTGCGTCTCAATCTTATCCCTGAACTGCACCAGTTCCTTCCTGAGCTTCAGCTCGTTGAATCCCCGAGGATCGAGCCATTCTATCAGCTTTGTGAAGTCTTCGGGCTCTGAGATAAAGCCCCACTGCCTTGCGTTGAAAAGGCTGGTAGGTGCTTCCTCCTTGTTCTTGCGCTCCGGGACGGTTATTCCGAATTTGGCCTTGTACTCGGCCTGCAGATCCGCCGGCATGTCGATGTAGCCCTCCCGTTCCAGCTCGTCCGGCCCCTGGACCCATATGCATCCGTTTGCGTACCCGGCCGAGGCCGTCGAACTGTCCGGAAGGCCGCCGTAAGGCATGCCGTTGCGCTCAAACCAGTAGTACCGGTTCCAGAACCTGTCCTTACCCAGGACTCGTGTTCTAGGGCAGTCAGCCTCGCGAAGGTCGTTATCTATCACGGCGATCTCTGCCTCGCACTTCTTGATCTCCTCCTCTTTCTTCTCGATCTCCTTCAGCACTTTGAGGAACTGCTTGGACGGTTTAGGAGCCTTTGCGGCTGCCTCGGCTTCCCTCTTGCGCTCCGCCTCCAGCTCACGCTTGCGCTGTCGTTGTGCTGCCCTGTCTTGTGCTCTCCTGAGCCCCCGGCCAACGGGCGCTTCGTCCTCTGCCTCGGCCATTGTGTCGTCCTCCACGGTAGGGGTCGATCCTTCGCGATCTGTCGATTTGGCATCCCCCCCGTTCAGCTTCACTGGTTCTGGCTGTGGCGACGGCGGCATGTTGTCTGGCAAGAGGATCTTGCGTTCCTCGTTGAGCGCCTTGAGCTCCTCAATTCTGCGGGTATCACAACTGTCAGTTTCGGCGTGAACCCCTTTTGCACGCTGAACGGCACACGGGGCCGAACCAAGAGCACGACTTACGCTTGCTTCCTCTGTCGCTGAAACTCAATCTTGTTCTTCCGGTACTCGGTCATGGTTTCACTGCACTCCTCCATGTAGGCGCGCACAGCCTTGGTGTCGGCTGTCAGCATGCATATGATCTGCAGGGCCGCCACTCGGAGGTTAACGTCCATCGTGGCGTAGTGCTGTCGGATAGTCTCCTTGGTCGGCTCGACATTGGCAGGGACGAGATGCGACAGCAGATCCTCACATGAGGGCTTGTGCCGCTCCTCCTTGGAAAGCTGATGGAGTAGCCCAACCATGATGTGCTCCCAGCCGCCATCCTGGAAATTCCGTTTTGCTAGTTGTTCGATCCAGTCAAAATCGGCCAAGACGTCCTCTGCCCTGTGGCGCACAGCTGGCTCCTCTTCGACCTCCTTCTCCGCAGCAGCTGCTTCGTTTGCCAGCCTCTCAGCCTCGAGCTTCGCCAAGCTACTTCTTGTGGCCCGTCCGGTCGGCTGAGGCTGGGGCTCGGGCGTTGGTTCCGCACTCTGCTCTTCCTCATCCTCGCCGTCCTCGTCATCATCCAACTCTGGAAGGGGCACCTGGGGCTTGCCGCCGTCCTTTTCCGAGCTGACCAGGATCGAGAGCACCGCGCAGTGGATTTCGTCGTACAGCTGCGGGCGAACCTCCTCCGAGGCCACAATCAGAGATTCCACATACGACTCGAACGTGAACGAGTCCAGCTTAAACACCTCGCAGTAAACGTTCAACGCGTCCCAAGTTTCCAGCAGCGGTCCCACAGACTTCATGAGAATCTTCTCGGCCAGCGCAACCGGTGCTGGCGAGGAAGCCTCCTGAACGCCCGCCGGCGCATCATGGCACAGGAAGTTCAACCGCGGTCGCGTGCGGCCCTGTGGCTCGAGCTGCAGATCTTCGATCGGATACTTCGGCGGCGGGGGCGGCGGCGGTGGTTCTGGTATGACGTACATCGGCGGCGGGACCGGTGCTTGGCTGCGGAGGGGAAACTGGAAAGGGTTTCCGGGTGTGGGGAGGTGATGCGAGAAGTCTTGGCCGTGGCCGAGGTGATCCACGAAACCGTTCTGCTTCCCCTTGACCATGTGCGGTGGCGGCTGCTGCGGCTGCTGGAGGTGCTTGGCTTTGTGGCTCTTCGGTGCTGGCTTGAGCTCTGGGAGTCGCATGGGACCGGTGGCAGTGAAAGGGTTGACGCCGTCGATGCCGTTTGGCCTGTTGGTTCCGTGGCTACCGTTCGTATCGACGCCTGGTTGCAATCCTTTCTTCTGCGCCAGGAGCTGCTTCCGCTCGAGAAGCTTGTTATCGTAACGCAGCTGTGGTGGTACCCTGATCTCGATATGGTAGCGCGCCGCAACATCATGCTTTACGAGCCACGGGGCACCGTTCCAGGCTTCCCTTGTCACCGTCTTCTTGATGAAGGAGCGCAGCACCGATTTGGTGAATATCTTGCGGTCACGCCAAATATGCTCGCTATCCACCTGGGTCTCCTCGCCGCCCCGGTCGTCCAGGCTCACAAGATAGAGGGTGTATGGTTGGGTCAAAGTGCCGTCGGGGAGGACCTTACTACCGAACTTGGCCTTCTCGCGGACCAGGCCTTGGTGGCGGTCGCCTTGGGAGAGTTGGACACCGACAGACTCGCCGGGGTAGTAATCGGCCTTGAACTCCTCGAAAACCATGTCGACCAGATGGTCTATCCTAGACACGGTCTGGAACTGAACGCGGCGCAAAACAGGGCCTTTGAGGGCCTCGGGAAACGCCTGGTCGACCTCCTGAGCACCAGCGAGCTGCAGCAGAACTTGGGTCAGCGGGTACACTCGAGCCAGGGGCTAAGGGCGAAGGGGCTGCGCCATGCGCCAACACGCTTGCATACCTCGCTTCGTAGAGCGTCGAAGAATGTGAGGTTGGAGTGACCGGTGATCTGGCAAATGAAGCGTGACTACATGCGGAACCTATATGAGCAAGCGCGACTTATACCGAAAGGGGCGGAGGGGCCCCGGTTTGGGACAGGATGCCTGCTATGCGCCCACCTGCTTATAAAAGTCCATGCTAGAGAGAATGGTTAGACTAATATACTACTCGATAGGTTGGCGATCTTGGGTCCTGACATACCGGTTCAGATATTCTTCGTACGTGGAGAATATCTCTCCTGTCTGGGGAATGTGCCAGACCTGTGCATAGCGGTTAGTGCCTGCGCAAAGGGACTGGTCGTCCAGAATCAGAAAAATGGGGGGTTGACAAAACCAACCTCGGCTGAGTCGTCGAGATCTCGGGGCGGGTGGAGGAACCGCACCGGCTTCCGCTTGAACAGTACCTGCACATGACAGTCAGCAAGAGGAGAACGGATGGGTGTATGAGGGGAGAGACGAAGGGTGCAGCGAATATTACCATGGTTGCGTTGTGAGCGGATGCTCAGGAGAAGGTGTCGGGGTGGGCCAGGTCCGGGTATCGGGCGGGTGGGTGGGAAAGCCCAGCGGCGGCGGCTGGGGGAGGTGCCAGCAGGATTGCGGGCTGCAAAGCCTATCGCGAGGGTCGAGGAGCCTCAAATGGGGGACCGTGGCCGAGGGGGCCAGGCGCGCCGCGGGCCAGGAAAGCCGAGTGGCCGTGGCGGAGCAAATGAAAGCGGTCGAATCGGGCTTGCGCAGCGGGAGTCAGTCGCGTCGGCTGGGCAGGGGCGAGGTGGTTGAGGGCGGTGCAGGCGGGCTCAGGTCGGCGGGCGGGTTTCAGTCGCCCTCGGCAGGCGTGACGCGAAAGATTTGAGGTTCGGGGCGAGCGGGCTAAGGTTGCATGGGCACCAGGCACGGTGGCTGCCGGGACCCGCGCAGGCTGTCGAATCGAGGGAGCTACTGTCGCGGTGGCCAAGGCCGCAGCAGCTGGTGCTGGATGTCCCTGCAGGTCGAGGTAGTGGTCGCGTTTGGTGGTTGTGGTCGAGGCTGGACGCGGGCGGCATGTTTCGTTGGAGGACGCGAGGGGAGAAAAAAAAGGAGGAGAAGGAGTCGAGCCAGCAGGAGGAGGAGAAAAAAAAATCCAGGCGGAGGGTCAACACGGGAAGGGGGTTTGGGCCGCTTGTGAGGTGGGCAAGGTGCAGGGAGGGATGTGGTACCAGCAGGCAAGCTCCGGCGAGGTGGGCCGTCCGTCCCAATTCGCATCGCGCATCCAATCGTGCGCCTTCCAAGACGGGACCAGAGACTCAGCAAAACAACACACCCCGGGGCCTCGACTGCTCGACCGCCAATCCAATTGCCGCCAGCACGCGCTTCCGCCCACATTCTTATACTCGTTCTGCTCCCCACGACCGTGCCGTCACGCCGAGTACACGTATGTGCCGCCTCCGCCGCCGCTCGTGACATTGCGGTCCGGTCTGCACATTCAATCATGCCCTTCCCAAGGGGTAGCCCACTAACACTACAAGCGCCGATCGCCCCTCCGTCGCCAGCACCGCCGTCCCGTCCCGGACACTTGCTGGCCACCCCCTCGCCCGCATAGCCGCACCACGACGTTCAATTGCATGCACGGAGACGGGCATGTCTCGTTCTGGGGCCCTATTGTCTGCAAGGCCACCTTGGGGGCCTCGAGGGCTCAATATCAGAGGCCTGCCAGCTGAGCAACCCATGTGGCCGATCCGCGGTTGAGGCTGAAAACCCCGGGCCCTCCAAACCACATGGCAACAGCTATGCAATCAATGAGGGTGCACGGGGGCGCATTTGCCCATTTTGCCGGCTGCTAGGCGCCGAATAGAATCGCGGTCACGTATACTCAATCTGGGGCTGGAGCTGGGGCTGTTGGGAGGCGGTGCCCCTTTGAAATGACCTGTGAAACTTGTTGTCTCGCTGTGCTTATTGGAAAAGGTTTCGACTCGGGGGTCCTGGGACCCCAGAACAACCAGGTTTATTTTTCCTATTTCGGCCTTGCAAGCCAGGGTCCTAGTGCTCTGTGATCCAACCATTAAGGAAGTGTGGGTCCGTCAAGGTTCGGTGGTCGGACCGTCGGCTACGACAACACCACCAGAACTAACAGTGCTGACTCATTCTATCCAATCATATGCGCCCGTTGATGGAATCAGGAGCCACATCCACCTCCTACCGCCTGGATCGGTACCTCACCACCTCACCACATCGTGTGCACACTCACATTACCTGCACCAAATTCCAACATGACATATGGACTGAGTGAAGAGAGCGCCGTGTGTGTATTACGATCAAGCTGATTTGTTCTACAAAGCCCCCGTAGACATTACGGGGTAAAGTAAACGACGCTGAACCCAACCCAGCTGCCCACAACGCCTACGGCCGAGTACGAGCTAGTAAACATCAGAGGCAAGAACTCGTACCTCTTGCCAAACACCACTTGGTGGAGCAGGGAGCAGTAGAGTATCAGCGGTATGCTGACCGCAATGTACAGGGTGCTGAACCTGTCGAACAGGAAAAACCTGGGCCTGCTCGACGCGGGAGCTAGGCGGTCAAATGCCACCAGAAACAGGATCAACCAGAAGACCGTGTATACCGTCTTGATCGGGAACTCGGCTGGCGTAAATAGTAGCGGGAATAGAGACACATGGCCCGAAACGGCCAGGGGTCGGAAAGCGCCCAGGTACCGCCGGTTCTTGAGTGCGATCAGGCTGAACGGGATTATGACCAGCAAGATGGCCTTCTCGTGAACGTGCCAGCCGAAGAGAAAAGAGGCATAGCCACATAGCGTCACCGCCCCGATAAAGTTCTCCCAGGTCGGCTGCGCGAACAGCTTGACAAGTGGTACCGCCTGGCAAATTAGCGTGAGAATAAAGCACACGCGCGGGCTTATGTTGGGAAGCACTGCGAAGGACGTGTCACCAACTAGTCCGCGAGTGACGCTGGTGAGTGCTTCCGCTTTCACAGGAAGTCCGAGTTTGGGGGCAGCTTTTGCACAATACCGGTCAGCACAGCCCTGTCGACAACCCCTCGGCCAGGCCAATGAACGGATGCGGGGTATTTAAGTCATAGTGGCTAATATCAGAGTGACGAATGACTCACCAATAATCAGCATCCTGTCCATGAAGGAGTATATAGCCCAGACGTTGGGCGCCCAGTACGCATGGCAAAGACCTCGCGCAAAGGGGAAGAGCCGGCTAAGGATCTGTGGTATCTGCTTCTTGGCTGCGAAGGGGCCAAAAGCGGCGGCGACAATGGCCCCGATCCCGGCTCCGAGTTTGATGCAGTTCAACCACTGAATCCGGAACACTGATTGCGGAGAGAGGCAATATGCTCGTAGTAGGAAGACGAAATAGGCCGGCGCGAGGTAGGCGTAGATGTGTTTCAGGCACAGCAGAGCAGCGAAGACCAGGCCGCTCGCCAGCAAGCCAGACTTGCGACGTGCCAAGACCAGCGATGCAACCAGGATGCCGTATAGAAAGCCGTTGTACTGGAAGTGGATGTGATCTATGATCAAGAGGCCTGGCGACAGTAGAATCGAGATGGCAGCGGTCTGAGCGGCGCGTTTGGGTACCCCGGAGGTAGAATCAACGAACCTTGATTGGGTTGGGCTCGAGGTTAGCAAGCAGTCAGGCCAAGGGCGCCGGGCGCACCGTGGCCAAGCGAGATAGGGTACGTACATCTGCAATGCATATACTAGAAGCAGCTCAGTGACGATGACGGTGAAGCGCTGGAAGTAGATCGTCTGCCAGGTATCATGTCCTAGGTTGAAGACTCGCAGCATGGCCGGGTCTACCAGCCTGGCGACCTGCGACAGGGTCCATTCGAAATAGGCGAAGAAAGGAGGGTAGTCGAGAGTCCATTCCGACGTCTTCTCGTAGTACCAGTCCCATATTGGCAGACTGTGGGTGATGGCAAGCCAGTTTCGATGGACTTCGAAGTCGGTGGATTTGCTGTAGCCGGCAAACGACGGTTGGTTTCTGGTTAGTCGCCATCACTTCCTGTCGAGCTTGGTCCAGGTACAGCGGCACACATGCATCAGTGGCCAGCGTAGTGGGCTTGCGGCGAGCGAACTTACTATGCTGGGAAGAGGAGAATCTTCAAGGCGCCCGCCACGACGGCGACCTGAGAAATCGAGGGATAGATTTCGGTTGCCATTGTTGCGGTTGTCCGAGGCCGCGCCAGCAAAGCTACGCTCGCTCCCTCGATCCAAGTCGGGGTAGCTCGCGGTTTCTGGTTGATTGGAGGTCCTGGGGGTTCTGGCTGGCCTGCGGGCTGTGTGCTTCAGCAGCTCGAGCTGCTGTTGAGCTCAGGCGGCCGAAGCACGGCTTGAGGTCTGTGGGTGGTGTTTGTGGGGCCGCAGCTCAGGCGAGGCTGTTCCCCACACGCCCATGCGCGTGCGCCATGGAAGCAGAGCCTTCCATTTGACCCCTGTCTCATTCTTCTCCCAGCGGGGCGGTATGACCCGACTGCCCGAATCCAGAGCATCCATGTCGCAGCTCCAAATAGCCCGCTAGCTACTCAGTGCCTTGCAGGATCTGACGCGTGAGCGAGAAGGAGGTGGGTGAGGGTGGGTGGTATGGTAAGGGTCCATTCTACGCTTCGCTGTCAACACGACTTTCGAAACTGTGTCCTTTGACGAGCACCTGCCGGCATCGCGCTGTCCCCCAAGGAAGACATTACAGGAGGGGTAGGGAAAAGCTGGTCTGAGCCCCAAAATATTTAACCTTTGTTGACGCTGTTTGCCTCGACACACATTTTCGGGCTTCATTCTGTCCAATTGGCCTTTGCGCAGCCCTGCATTCTTGTTGTACTGCTCCCTGTCGAGCCATTGGATATCTTCTCCTTGTCCATTTCGTTCTTGCGTCGAGTTACAAGAGGAATCCGACTCCTTTTCTCCTTTTGTTTCTTTCTCTTTCGATTTTCCTCTGGGGCACAGCCTTTTCCTTTTCTTCTCTTGTGATACCCATTTTGTCCTGCGAAAATGCGTCTCCGGTCGTCTCTCGCGCTGGCTGCGATCGCAAGCGTCGCCCGGGCCCAGTATCTTCTCAACGAGCTGAGCTTTGGATTTGGCAGCAAGTAAGTCGGGATTTTGCTCCAATGCGCTCGTGGAAATCGTTTCGTTACCTGACCGTGAGCCTCTCCAAACAGAATCTCGGAAAATGGCCAGATGATACCGCACTACTCGCTTCAGGGCCAGCCGTACCTCCCCGAAGTCATGTCGAACAAGGTGGTTCTGACACCTCCAGCGCCGGGCAACCTGCGCGGAGCGATCTGGGCCGACAACCCGTTGGAGTACGACGAGTGGACGGCCGACGTCAGCTTCCGGGTCAACGGGCCTGAGCGCGGTGGCGGCAACGTGAATATCTGGCTTGTGCGCGACGGCTCCCACGAAGTTCGGTCCGGCGGCGTCTACACCGTCGCGCATTTCCAGGGTCTCGTGCTCGCCATTGACCAATACGGCGGCTCAGGTGGCATGATCAGGGGCTTTCTCAACGACGGTTCCACCGACTTCAAGGCGTCACATGTTGACGGTCTCTCTTTCGGTCACTGCAACTATGCGTACCGCAATCTCGGGCGCCCTTCTGAGATCAAGATCAGCCAGAGCCACGCGCTCTTCAAGGTCGAAGTTGACGGGCACCCCTGCTTCCAGAGCGACCAGATCGAGATTCCCCGCGGCTATCGGTTTGGTGTCACGGCCGCCTCAGCCGAGAACCCAGACTCGGTCGAGCTGTTCAAGCTTGTCGTCCTCTCTGACAAGCACGACAACCACCATGAGCCAGAGCACTATGACCAACACCACGACGAGCACCACGACCAAAAGTCCCAGTACCATGAGGATGGCGACCACGCACCGCCATCCAAGTTTACGCGAGGCCATGGCCATCATGATGCCCACCACGACGACGAGACCTACTCGTACGAAGCCGACATTCCGGACCAGGACGCGGGCAAGCTCACCAGCTCGCTGGCGCAGTTTGAGGATCTACACAACAGGCTGCAGAGTGTGAACCATCACCTGTCCACCATCTTCCGCTCGATCTCGCACCAGAGCACCATGGACGAACGGCGACACGAAGAGATATCGACCATGATCCATAGCGTGAAGGTTGCCCTCGACAAGTTGACGGACCTCGACAACCGCCTACAGAGCGTGGAGCGGGAGGTGCGCAGCGTCAAGTCCGATATCACCCACAAGGTCCAGTCCACCGAGAACAACATCAAGAGCATTGTTGGCGATACGCACTCCTACCTGGCCAAGAAGGTCGAGCAGCACGCAGCCCCAGGCCATGGTCGCCTTATCTTTGTTATTGTTGGCAGCCAGGTCATACTCATTAGCGCGTTTATCGTCTACAAGCGACGAAAGTCGTCCATGCCGAAGAAGTATCTGTAGTCGTATTGGCGGTGGTCTAGACATTTGAATGTTTGATAGTTTACCTACGTTACTAGAGGTTTGGGAGGAATAAAACTTTTGTTTTGCGTATGTTCAAATGTCAGCCAGAAAATCTTTCCTAGTGAATTTGTGAATATATCACAAACCTGTCTAGGTAGACGTGGGACATAGAAGGCGAGGACCGATGGTGACGCGTTCGTCTTAGAAGCGTGCCCTTGAGATTATAAAACAGAGCCTTGACTTCCGGGTTTCAACGTCAAATCTCGATATCTCGAGGCAACATCTGTCAGCAGTTGGGATCGTCAGGGAAGCCCAACAGCAAACAACAATGTTGGCAGGATACTCTTCTCCGGCCAGAAACGTACAGGGGTAATAAGCCTCAGTATTTTAAAGCCACCCATACCCACCTCTCTCTATAAGGTGGCCATAGTGGCCATTCAATAATAGCGCGGCTGATTCCTGTCGGGTGTGTATCTAACATCTCCTGATCAAACAAAGAACCTATTTACGCCTAGGTTTAGCAACCCAAACCTCCCATCCAGGCAATACCAACCCATTATGTCTGGATCCGCCTTTTCTTGATGATTCTCCTTGCCGAAGGGCTACAGTCGCCTGCTCGATGCTGGAAACAATCCGAGGACGATCGTCTGCCTGAAAGGCTGCTAGAGGAGAGAGTGAATAGAGGATAGCGCATAGAAACGTGACTGCCATGGAATATCCTCGAGGAGGCATTGAGTGCAATGTAGCCTAGTTTGGTTTGAGAAGTTTGGTAGCACTTGGGAAGGACATCCTAGTGGTGGTGCTGACCAAATATTTTTCCTAACTGGCTGCTCACGATCCCCCCGAGATCGGGGGCCAGATGTGTAGCCCAGGAGGTGACGAGGCGAAATTCTATAGGACCCCAGAATGCCCAACGCCGTCGTCTCGTCCCAGCCCTCGGAGGGGTCCATATTCCTGCTCCTATTCAGAGAGACTACATGAGGTGTGCCCACAAAGGAGAATTTCGTCCTAAACTTGGGAGGGGTCCTGTGCTCTTCCCTAATTTGGTTTGCCTGCCTGCGCCGGGTCGAACGCACCTTCCCTGCTTTGCGTTGACTGGCACCACCCTGCCTTCCTCTCCCATCTCTCACCTCACCCTCACTTCGCACACCTAGGAAGGAGCAACACCACGGCTTCCTTGGATATTCGTATCTTCGTGCCTGTTTTCCACAGCCTTCCCTTCTTGGTCCTTGGTTATTCCAAGAAGAGAAACAGCACCCTGCCGTCTCAGCCAGCGCCGCGTGAGACTGTTGGATCTCCTGTACCCTTCTCTCCCACCTTCTTTCTGCCTCTTCTCGCCCATTCTATTCTCGTCATAGTTTCGCGGTCCCGCTCAACTTTTTCACACCAGACCTTCCTCCCAGCTCTTTGAGCGCTGAGCCAGCCATCAACTTCTTCTTTCTTTGACGACAGCGCTTCGGCCGAGAGGTGCTGTCTTTCCCTCCACAGATTTATCTGCGATCACAGCTTCTCCCTTCGAAGGTGTTCTTGCGTCGGCAATTCCTGAGCGAGCCTGTCGAGAGAATCTCTCCTGGCGCCTCGCAAGCCTGCCCACCATGGCCCAGACCCAGCCGAGAGAAGGGTCTCTGAACCCGCCTTCCCCTCACTCCTCGGTCGGCGGTGCAGATTCATACAAGCATGATGGCACCCCGGACACCCGTCTCACTGCATTCTCCCCCGAAGAGAACTCGGCCAAGTCGGCCAAGCTAATCAGGATCATCACTTCAAGCACATCGGACGGCGAGCAAGCCATCTACACTGCCCAGCAGCTTTCAGTCTCCCCTTACCGCAATGATCCAGCTCAGCTGGAGAAAGACCCGTTTGTTTCCACCAACACGCCTGTACGCAAGCAGGAGCAGAAACTCTCGGCAACAGCTTCCGCCTTCCGCCCTTTTGCGACGCCCTTGGCCGCTCAAGGCTCACCCGACTCGACGGTGGGCACAGTTTCCAAGACCCCAAGCCGCGCCAACCCTCAGCATGCCCTCTCTGTCTCGCCTATTCTCAGCACAGACCTGCACTATTCTCGCTGCCTGGTCTTCTCGTCGTCAACTCAGCCAGTCACCCTGGCCGACGTCGAGCTCCTTCTATCGGTAAGCCCTCCTGGAAGAGTTTGGACATCTCCAAGGCCATCCCAGAAGCTCTAACCACCTGAACAGAGACTTGAGGAGCACGGACTACCGTGCCAGGGAACGAAGCATATCGTCGTCAAAGGCCAGGCTTCGTACATCCGATTCTCCAACATCAGAGATGCTTGTTTGGTTCATCGCAACGTTCTCTTGGGCGGTGCCACTTGGATCGTTGCCTTTGTGTCGCCTACAGAGTTCGTTCAGGTATGAGTTCAACCTTTTAGTCTGGCACAGTCCTGCATCCTCTCTGCCATGAAGAATCCTCTGCTCATACCACATTTTGTCTGCTTACTTAGATCACTCAGAGCAACATCCATGCCCCCATCAACCATGAGGGCCAGCTCAGCGTGTTCGCCACTACTGGCGAGGGAGCGGGGAAGAATGAGCTGCATGTGGAGTCGATTGCTCTCAGGCCACTATGCTCGGAGGGTGACATCTTTGCTCTGCAAAAGGTGTCCAATGTGGAGCCGGGAACCTTTGAGGCGATCCTCGAGTACGCCGACATCAACACCTCACTCGCAGCCTTATCCAAGTACAACGGAGCCATCATCGAGGTGAGAGAGTCTATATGATAATTCCCAGCTCTGTGTGCGCATTTCTAACAACCACATCCAGGGAGTCACCATTTTAATCTCTTTCCACAAGGGCAACTCACATGCCGGGGTCGCGACACCCATTGTCACCCCACTCGCAACTCCTGTGAGGCAGTCTTCATTTCATGACTATGGCGGTGACAGCTACCAGGGAGCTCCACCGGCCAAGACACCACAGTCAACCTCTTCGATGGGAACTCCGGCTCAGCCTGCGACGCCCCATGTCGGTCTTCCGCTCAGCCCGCAGTATCCTCTGTTCCACCCTCTGGTATTCAGGCAGCTCCCGATGGCAAACCCATACATGCTCAATCGGCTTCCGTCGCAGAGTCCTCCGGCACCGAGCATGTCCAGTTACCAATGCCTCACACCGCTGTACACCAGTCCGGCGTCCTCTCAGACTGTCGTCTCTTCTCAGCAAGACCTCATGTCGCCGAGGCAGATGCATGGGCTTGCTCGACACGATGGCCGTCGCCAGAACGCAATGCGGGTGAACCGGTCATCCTACTACAATGCCGCCGGCCATCACAATCATGTCGATGTGAACCGGATCCGAGACGGTATTGATGTTCGCACAACGGTATGTACTGCTGAACACACCGAATTTGATTCCAATGACTCACAGTTATGATAGATCATGCTGCGCAACATTCCCAACAAGGTCGACCAGGCGATGTTGAAGCGTATTGTCGACGAGTCAAGCTGGGGAAAGTACGACTTCATGTATCTGCGCATCGACTTCGCCAACGACTGCAAGTAAGTTGACACGCTGGCTCGGGAACGCCACATCTCATGACTGACATCGTTTTGCTCTAGTGTCGGCTATGCCTTCATCAACTTCGTCGACGTAAGTTTTGGTCACCTTCTAGCTGTGAAAATGTGATCAAAAACGCACTTGCTAACAAACTCCTGCTATCAATAGCCCCTAGACATCATTGACGTTAGCCGCCCTATCTCTCGTGTTGACTCTTTTGCACTGTGGCACCGCGATTGACATTCGAAATTTTGCAGTTTGTCAACGCTCGCGGAAACCAACGCTGGTACGGTGTCTGCCCGTGAACCACCACGCCGTGTCAGATGCTGACCTTCACGTGCAACCCAGGAACTGCTTCAAGAGCGACAAGGTCGCGGAGATATCCTATGCCAGTGGGTAGCAATTCTTGATCGGTTTTCTCTTCCTGCAGCGCTAACAGTCAACCACTAGCCATCCAAGGCAAGGACTGTCTGGTGCAGAAGTTCCGCAACAGCTCGGTCATGCTCGAGGCCGCTCACTATAGGCCCAAGGTATGTGGGGCACCTTCAGTCGTCAAGTATGACATTACTGACCAGCCATGACAGCTGTATTTCACTTCCAACGGCCCAATGCCTGAGATGGCCGGAGACGAGGAGCAGTTCCCAGAGCCGGACAATCAGTCCAAGATGAAGAGAAGCTGCGAGAATGCAGAGCATGTCGGTATGTAGTATTTTGAAAACAGGACCAAGCCCTTCAGCTGACATATGCGCAGGACTCTTTACTCCAAACGCAGGCCAGCATTTCCGTGACGAGCAGCGCCGCCGCCGCTCTCAGTACGACCGCGGAACTAGGCTGGCGGCGCTTGAGGAGTACGACTTCGACAAGTCGATGCAGACATCGATGCAGCAACTCTATATGAACCAGTAACTCTCACCTAAGGACAATCTGCTCGGATCATCGCGTTCAACGACTCGATCGGGCACCTCCACAAGACACCCGCCTCGAGCCTCTTGAAGATCAGCATCTGGTATCAGATATGGCGCTTAGTTATCCTCCGATGCCCATAATCTCTAGCTTTCTGCCTTTGTTTCTCTCGCATACTCCTGCAGATCCCTGTGTCTGAAAATGGCTGCGTGCCCCCAGGGACTCGAGGAGGAAAAAAACATGAAAAAACACAAATTCAGCGTGTCGGCCGCTAATTGTCTGAAAGACACGACAACTGTTCATGGACAATCCTTCCCACGCAGACATCAGAGACCCTGACTAGCTTGCCATTTGTCTTTCTTTCTCCTTAACTTTCTGTTGTTCTTGGTCCACGTTGGCTGTGCGGATGTGCTGGCTGGCAGTGTCGTCACACATTGGGCTATGCCGTGGAGATATGCTGTTGAGGGCTTCGCGGTCTGGATGTCCCACGGAAAGTCGCCGCATACATTGACAATAATGGAGGAGTTGTGACGATGTATGTACCTAGATCTTTGCTCTAGAGCCAGGTTTCATTGCAGTCTCTTTTAGTTGATGGAATTCGATTCGGTTGTAGTTGATTTCGTTGACGATGAATCTCGGACTGATTGCGCAGTCGGAGTGAATGCTTGCTTCAGCTGTCTTCATGTAGGTCGGATGGGAACCACACATGGATTCTAGTGAGGTGATGTGCTGTACTCGGGCCAAGGCCTTGTAAAGAACCCTTATGAGGCATCGAGCTATGGTATTCCCAGAGTAGTTGACCATCCATCTGACACTTCTCTTTCAGCAGGCGTGGATGGCAGCCGCACTTGGCCGCAAGCACCATCCGTCGCCTCTTTTCCCGCCGTTCCCGTCGGCGGTTGTCGCGATGGCGCCACAACCCACGAGCTGGGCTGGTCCGACCTACTGTACATGCATATCTACGGGCAGCCCGACGCGGCATGTGGACTTCTGGTGCGCGGTCAACGGTGGCCCGCCGTGGACCGGCGGCTGAACCCTATCCGTCCAAACATGTGCTGGTGTCGACCCCCGCCTTGGTTGAGGAAGACGAGTGCGTGGTTGGATCACGCTGCTTTCGATGACGATATTATATGATAATGATCACTACAGGTAGATGAGGCGCGCAAAAAGCTCAGGCCAGAAAACATCTAGTCTTGGGTTGATACTAGGAGGCCCGTGCTCCCTGAGATTTTCGAGAATGAAACTATAGGTACAGCAGTTTGATAGCCAATAGGGCAAAGTTGTTTTGTTACAAAATGCCTTCCTCAAAGACCCCCGCTATGGGTATACGGTGCGTGCAGAAACAAGGCAGCGAAAACAGAATCATGAGTCGTCTAGGGTATACCTAGGTAGTTCAAGGGAGGAATGAGCCCTCCCCCCGCCTCGTACCCCTTCAGCTCGGGTCGGGGTCCTCAGGCAGAGCAGGCAACGGCTTGCGCGCATCCCCAAACTGAGCCATGCCGGTCCGCGTCAGGGGCGGGCCTGATTCTTCGTCGTCGCCGGATGCGTCAGGGGTCGGCTCTTGACCCACTGCAACAGCCTCGCCTTCCTGGCTGCCAGGAACGACGACCTCCTCCTCTGGCGGAGGCGTCCTCTCTTTGACTTCAATCCCAGGCTGGACCTCAGTGGCGGGCACGATGCCGTCGCTGCTGTAAAGTGATTCGGTTGACGTGTCTCCGTCCCTGTCGCCGTCCGACTTGTGTAGCAGCTCGAAGCTGGACGCGTCTTCAAAGAAACTGCTGGCACCGCTCTCGTCGACAACGTGGATGGAGGGGGTGGCATTGCCGCGACGGCCGTCGTCATCGCCGTACTCGGACGTGGGCGTCAGGGGCAGTGTCTTGTCTGAGTAGGCGATGCTGTGGAGGCGGATGTGGGCGGGAGTGCCACGTGGCCCGCGCGGGGTGCTAGGATCGTACCGCCCCGGAGTGCTCCCGCGCCTCGGCGGCGAGGGCGATGGCGATGGCAGCGGTGAGTCGTCTGCGCCCTCGCGCATGGGGGTCATGCCTGGGATGCCGGCCGACGGCGGCGGGGACGAGGGCCAGGCTGTCCATGGGCGGTAGGCGGACGAGGCGACGATGTTGGAGGACGTGGAGGCGCCGGGCCCGCCGAAACCGCGGGAAAAGACTATGAGGCCGAGACAGGCCAGCAGGAGGAGGGACTGCAGGATGGCCATGCGCTTCTGGAAGACTACCTCGTCGGCCAGAAGATTGAGGCGGGAGCTCAACGCGACTATCTCACGCTGGGACTGGTCGCGCTGGGACTCGAGGGCGATGACGGTGCTCTGCCAGATCTGGTCGTACTGCTGGCGGACGCTGCGCAGTTCGGCCAGGACGGTGCGGTTGAGACCGTCGAGGAAGGCGTCGACACGCGAGATCTGCTTGCGCTCCATCTTGATGAGGGCCTCCTGCAGAAACCGGGACTGGTCCTCGATGTACTGTAGCGATAGCGAGGTGTTGGACTCGAGCAGCTGCAGCCGCTTGGCCACTGTCTTAAAGAAGCTCTCCTGAACGGTCGGAGATGGCGCAGCGGCGGCACCTGTGTTGGTGCCGGTCCGGTTCCTAGACGACGACGGTACCGCGCCCGAGGCCTTCGCCGGCGCCGAGGCCCTGTTGGTCACCTGCGACGACGGTTTGGACACTGAGGTTGGGGCTTTGGGCTGGCCCGAATGCGGAGACTCGGGGCGGGCGCGGTGAGGGGCCGAGCCCGATTGTGGGGCGTCTCTTGGCCTCTGTGACGGTGATGACGACGATGAAGAGTGAAGTTGCGACGATGAGGATGCCGGGTCCGGGTAGGAAGATGCGGCAGGGTCGGCAAGCGATGCATTCGCCGGTGGCGAATAATGCTCCTTAAAGAGCGAGTCGGCTGCGGTGGATGCTGGCAAGGAAAGAGGGGATATGCCTGGATGGTCGTGGTCGCTGATAGATGCTGCATCGGAGAGGTGATCAAGATGGGATGATGCCAGGCGTGGCCGTTGCCCGTCGGCAGCCATGTTCTGACCCACCGTTTGCGTTGGCACCTCACAAACGTCCAGGCGAGTGAACTCATAAAAGACAGGGCGCCAGGGCGAGAGTCCCACCGCGGTGGTGACGGCTGTAGTGGTCGCTTTGGCGGCGTCGGCGACAGACCGGCGCGGACTCGGCGGCTGCGGCTCTTGCTCCCATGTAGGCGACACCGCCTCTTGCGGCTGCTGCGGTAACGTTGCGGGCTCTGCCGAATCGGGCTGGTTATGGGGCACCGAGTCGATGCCGGCCTCGTCGTCGTCGTCGCGGCCGCCCTGGGCCTCCTTCCATGAGTCGATCATGCGAGTGCCGTGAACGCGCACGAGTGAGATGGGGCAGTAGTACTCGCTGCCGTAGTGGGTCAAGAACTCGATGCGGATGTACTTTGCGAAGATCTGCGGGTGCTCGACCAGGAAGGCCTGAATGTCGCGCTGGTTCCGGGCCTCGAAGGTGCCCAGGTCCGTCCACCCCCCGAGCTTGACGGGGTAGAGGCCGCTGACGCTGACGCGAAAGGTGCGGACCATGCTTGAGAAGAACTCAAAGTTTGCCAGGACGACCGTGTCGACTTGGATATCGTCGCTCAGCTCGATGATAACGAACTTGTTCTTCTGCGAGCACTCGAGCAGCATGTACGAGTCCTTGTTCTCGACCAGGATGGCCTTTGCGTTCTTTGTGCGCGGGCCCGTCTTGAGCACGGCGGCGCCGGCGTCGAACGAGGCGAACGAAAAGCGCTCCTTGCACGTCTTGCCGGCGTCCTTGCTGCGTTTGTACCCGTCGTGCATAATGAGGTCCTCGTTGGCGTCGCGCGCTGTCTGCAGTTGCTGGTCGTGGCTGGCGACCGACGAGCCATCGCTGCGGCCACCCGAGACCGTGATCTCCGAGACCTTTTCTGAGAGGGCGACAAAGTCGAGGTTGATTTCGCCATCGTCGCCGATGCTGTCAAAGTCGTTGCGCGAAGACGCGTAATCGTCTCGGTCGCGTTCGTGGTGCTTGCGCCCCTTGAAATCGGCGGGGTCCTGCCCTGTCTTCTTCAGCTGCAGCTCCTTCCACTCCTCAAAGGACATGAAGGAGCTGGTGGCCAGGTCCTGCGAGTCGGCAGCGGCCTCGTCGCGCCGCCTCTTCTCGTGGAGGCGGGCATCGTCCGGGCTCTCGTCGGCGGCAGCGGCAGCGGCAGCGGCAGCGGCGTCGGAACCGGGTGCAGGTAGCGACGACGGGGCGCCTGCGGCGGGGAGGGGCGTGGCCGCGGTGGCAGACCAGGCGGTACGCAGGCACTGCTGGGGCAGGGAGTGTGTGATGTAGTTGACGGTCCTCGCCTCACACGACGCGGCGTCGCGGGCGAGGCATGGCTGGGGCAGCAGGCCCCATGCGGCGGTCAGGTAGAGCAGAGTGCGGCCTGTGGCCTGCAGCTGCATCGTGGGTGCCCAGCACAGGCCCTGGTGGCTTCAGCGGGGTGGTGCGGCGGGTGGTGGTTGGTCCATAGCCAACCGTGGGGAGCGCACGACGAGGAGGCGGGACGTTGGCGACGGGGACGACGAGCCAAAAACAACGGGGCTAGATACACTGTAGGACGGCAGAGCAGAGAAAGGCAAACGGCCCTTGATGAGTCTTTTAATGAGCCCTTTAATGAGCCTTTTAACCAAGTCAATTGCCCGGGCCGCTGCTGTGGTGATGCGTGTTGGGCGCAGTGGAGTGGATGGAGTTGCTGCTAAAATGTTGCCAGCTTGCTGCTGCCCGCCCATCTGACATCACCTGGTGAGGTGCATGCCTTGACCGCTGCTGGCCCCCTCCTTTTCTTCAAAAAAAAAAATCAATTTCCCTCTTTCCCTTCCTAGCGCCGGTCAGTTGATGCATGCAGGGGTTACACGGGCCATCGTTCCCCTCCATGTTCCCAACGGGCCTGCGCCCCACTCAATTGCCTAATGCAGCAACACATCACTTCGTGCATGCTCTAGCCAACGCCAATGCATTGAATCTTGGACGACGATCAGGCCAAGCCAACGTCAAATCCGCCTGACTGGAGAGAGCACCATCTTGTCACTCTCCTAGTCACAGCCATCCCACGCTTTCCACGTCTCCAGCTCGTGCGAGTAAACAGTCATGCACCTCGCAACAATCGTCTCCCACTCAACGACCGCGACCTGCAATTCCACCCGTGTCAGCGAGGTTGCTTCGCTTCGTTTGAGAACCAGAGACAAAGCGGGGCAGTTCGAGCATAGCGGCACGAGGCTGACCAGTGTGTGTGTGTGTGTGTGTGTGTGTGTACTCACGCCATTCTCGCTGTATGCTCCGAGAGCCTCGCGCGTCTCCACGGTCCATTGGTTCCCGCCCTGAGCCGGTGCTGCTGTGACAATGGCTCGAAACTTGAGACCTGACAGATGGCCGGGGAGCCCGGCATGTCAGTCGGCGCGCACAAGTGCTGTGAATATAAATGCTGCGCTCCTGAGACAGGAAACGACTACCACGTACACGTAGCTGGGGTCACTTGCTCCATTTAGAAGTTTTTGGTGTTAGAATGGCTCGTATCGAAACAGCAGCGGGCGTCGCCTGGAGTTGTCTCTCAGTAGGAGATGGAAACGACTCACCCATCAAGAAACCCTCAACCTTGTCTCCTACTTTGAACTTGGACGTCATTGCATCCAGCGATCGGCGATACCTCCGTGTGTATGTTGTTGTGTTGCTCTGTTGTTCTGTTGCTCTGTTGCTGGGATCTACATTTCTCGATTGTTGTCTGACCGAATTGTGGGAAATAGGTAGGTAGGTAGGTACCCACGCCCACCGCAAAAGAAATGGCAGTTCGTTCGAGGAATAGGAACAATAATAGGTACGGAACTGAAAAGAAAAACAAAGAGATACGAATAAAAATACAATAGCAATAAGGAATGATAACGAGAAAAAAAAGAACAGGACAGCTTACGGCATTAAAAATTTCACTGAATCTTTGGGACCTCCCGTGTAAGACCGCCGCCCTTTTTGTGGTGGGCGTGGTACCTACCTACCTAGGTAGGTAGTAACTCTTCGGACATCGGCGCTTGGAATATTCGGCATTCACAATGCAAAACATGAGTGAACGGGTGACATAGCCGGTAGAACAACGAACAGGTGACGCGTAACACAAACACACGCCCTCTGGATGGCAGTGGTTACCCGTGCGTGTTCGTCACTACCAGCATCAACGTAGTCATTGCCACTGGGCCCACGCGGGCATTTCACGTCCCATGAGAATCTAAGCGAGTGAATACAAGCTTGAAGATAATCAAGACAGCCACGCAAGGCAAGAAGGCAATGAATTCAAACCAGTAGGTATTAAACATCTCACTAGATACCACGGTTCTCTCTTGTCCAGCATGAAAATGGGAGTGAACCAAGCAATCTGCCGAGCGGCACTCAGCACCAACCACCCCTTGGTGTTGTACTCTATATCTATAATATGGAGGCCGCGTCCGCCCCAGGGCTCGTCGCCCCGTCGCGGCTGTCCTCGTCGCCCCTGAGCAGGCCCCTGTGCTCGCCGTCGCCATCCTCGCGCGTGATGCCCGTCTCGACGCCGGCGTCGCGCGGCAGCCTGCTGGTCCTGCGCGTCTCCTCGGCGCCGTTGAGCACGTACCAGACGTCCTTCTTGGTCAGGAGCCCCTGCAGGGCGCCGCGGTCGCTGAAGAGGATGTAGCGGAGCCCCAGCTTCTGGAAGTAGCTGACGGCCAGGTGCAGGCTGGAGCGCGACGAGAGCGTGAGGGGCGTCTGGTCCATCCACGGCCTCAGGTCCAGCGTCGCGCGCGGGTCCGCCATGGGCTGGTGCGAGAAGAAGGCCTCCGTCTCGGCCGGCAGCGACCGCGGCGGGCCCGTCGACGTGTGCAGGTTGTACGCCAGCTCCGCCCGCGATATGTAGCCCAGCAGGATCGCGTCGCGCGGGTCCGACACCACGGGGAACCCGCGGTACGGGTGCGTGTCCAGGATCCGCTGGAGGCTGCCGATGGTGTGGCCCGCCGCCGTGAGCACCACGAGGTCCTCGATCCGCGTCATGATCTGCGACGCCGGTATGTCGGGGATGAAGGTCTCCTCGCTGTTGTCGATGTAAGGGTACTCGTTGAAGTGGATCCACGACTCGTAGATGCCGCGCCGGGAGAAGGCGTCTCCCACCCACTTGGATAGCATGACGGCGACCATGATAGGGAGCACGTACGTCAGAGCACCCGTGAGTTCAAACATGATGACTACAATCGACACCGTCATCCTGGTCACCCCCGCAAGCGTCGCGGCCGCACCGACGATGGCATACGTGCCTGGGGTGATGCAGGGTATATCAGGCTCGCAGGACTGGAAGGGCAGGAAGTTGGGGTGGTTGTGCTGCCACGTCTCCATGATGATCCCAACCGCCCTGCCGGTGAGAGCGCCGATGGCCATGGACGGGAGAATGATGCCTGCGGGGATCTGCAGCCCAAAGGTGATGGCCGACAGCATGAAGCCGAGCATGGCAGCAAAGATGAGGAGAACGATGTTGGCAGCAGAGGCTGAGCCTGTTTTGCAAAGGCCAAACTGGTCGTCGAGGACCTTGGAGCACTCCATGAACAAGGATGACACGAGCTCCGAGTTCTGCGCCCGCATGTAGATGTTTGGGTAGTTGATGAGAGCTGTCAATAGTGCTACGACGAGAACCTGTGTGGTCGGGGTTGGTAACCAGGCTGTCGTCTTCTTCCACTGAGCGACCTTCATGTTGGCCTTGATGAAGAGGCCCCCGTATACCCCCTGCAGACGTCCATCTCCTTGTCAGCACGTGGTGTTGGCGCAGGTAGAGAGCCAGGAGCGCTTACCCCTATAATCCCAAGAAGGGCGAACGGGACCAGCTCAAAGGCATGCCACCCCGAGCTGTACTTGACCTGGTACATGACCAGCTTCCCAGACCGGAACGGATCGAGAGCCTGGAGTGTAACGGCAGCAGTCATGGCGCACACGAAGCTCTGCCACATGGTTTTATCGGGGAAGTAGTACGAAAGTTGCTATACCAGGTTAGCGAGGGATCCAGGCGCCGGATCAAGTGTAGGAAGCCTTTGACTACTCACTTCGAGACTGAACAGTACGCCGCCGATCGGCGAGCCAAACGCCACTGATATGCCCGACGATGCGGCCGCAGACAGCACCTCGCGCTTCCGGGCTTCGTTTTGGCTGATATTGGTAAAAGGCTTGCTGAGAATGTTTGCGCAGCAGCAGGCGACATGCACCAGGGGGCCTTCTTTGCCAAGCCACATGCCAGATGCAACAGCAAGGCACTATAGGGGCGCAAGATTGGTCAACAAATGCAGGCCATGATGTGGTATAGACCGCACAGAAGGGGCGCTTACAAGCCCAAGGGACTTGGTGATCAGAGTCCAGGTGCCCAGCAGCCTCCTGATGATGAAGCCTCCTAATACCGTCTTTATCTCGGGAATACCACTATGCTTGGCGTACATGGAGTATTCCTTGACAAGCACATGGGCGGCAAGCGCAAAGGTAGACTAGGTAGCGGGGTATCAGTCCTGGTCGCGAGCAATCGTCACGCAGGTGTGCCGTGCTAGGGGCGAGGGCGCAGGCTGCCATACGCACCGAGAACAGCAGGAAGAAAAAGTACTCGATGAACCACTTTCCGCCAGCCGAGCCAATGCCCAGGGCGGTGGCCCAGGGCCTCCAGCCGACGCACTTGGACCACTCGTCGTAGCCGAAGCAGCAGAAGCCCTTGTTCAGGTAGAAGGCGCCGCCGTCGGGCCCCGCGGCGCAGTAGCCCGTCTTGAGGTCGCCGAGCCAGTCGGTGGTGACGTCGATGGCGGCCGCGACGGCGCCGACGGCCATGCCCGTGGCGACCAGGATCACCCAGGCCTGGCTGGCGTCCAGCAGCTGCGGCATGTACCCGAGCAGCCCCGAGGACTGCGACGAGAGCACGCGCAGCCGCTGGCGCTCCTTTGTGTACTCGAAGATCCAGTCGATGGCCGTCAGGTCCTCGTACCCGACCCGGCGCCCGGGCCCTTCGGCGGCCCAGTGATCGTGGGGCCCCAGCGTGTCGGCGCTCTTGGGCCCGCCGCCGCCCCTGCCGCGGTCGCGCGGGGACCGGAAGCCCCCGATTGGGCTGCTGCCCCTGCTCGAGGAGGATGCGCCGCCCCGGCCAGACAGGCCGGGGATGAGGAGGGATGGCGGCGAGAACATGCCACCTTCTCGTTGTGTTTGCTGCTGTTGTTGCTGCCTGCGTCGGAAGGATATAGGCTCGTCCATGGTCTCGCGCGGCGGATCGTCGGCTGGGATGGTGGTGTCGTCGGCCAGGAGCTCCATATCGTCTGCAGCAGTCGGCCGCCCGCGAGGGGTTGCCGCGTTGCTGGGGCCGGCATTCAGGGTACGGGGCCGATCCATCATGAGCTATTACCCATTTTCAGTGCGGATTGTCGGCGTGGGATCGGCGGCGGTTTTGGTTTGGCTGGCGATTCTTGGGTGCGCCGTCTCGAGAGGTGCGCGTTTTCGAGGCGAATCGAACATGGACTCGCGGTTGAGCCTATTCGGGACAGCAAGCGGCGGGTCCATGTCACCTCGGAGGGACAATGCTGCCCGCGACTGGCCCAGTACGGGGTGGGCTTGACACAGTGGTTAACAGCCAGTATTGGTCAAGCAGGGGCAACGCTGAAAATGTGGGCACAGTGCGAATTCAACTATTCTTGCCAAGGCGCCAAGGCGAGAATGAGCTGGAAGCTGCAAGCCGTCGATCGCCCGTTCGGGAAGACGAGTCAACTGAGACTGTCAAATCCACTAGCGCTCAAACTCATGGATTATCACTGACCTGGATATCGACTTTTTTCTTCTTGCAATACATCTCACGGCATGGCCAGCTCTCCGCCGCCACAAGGCACAAGGAGCCTTCTTCCTGTCGTGACAGAAGACACACCGGCAGGCACAGCCGCAGACTCAGTCCAGGCTCATGTGCAGCGTATACAACAGCTTCTCAAAGCCAAGGACGACACATCGAGGTTCGTGGGACTTGCGCTTCTCAAGTCGGTCCTTGACAACACTCCTGAAATCCGGCAGGATGGAGAGACGGTCTGTCGACTGTGGGAGTCTATCCCCACCAAGTTCCTCGACCGGCTCCTCCGAACCGGCGCCACAGCTTCACAGAAGGATTCTAAGGAGATGCTAGATCTAGCCGTCTCCGTGGTCCATACATTCACCATTTTACTGCCAGAAGAACAGAGGCGTGATACGAGGCTTCTGGGAAGGATCCCGTTGCTCACCAGCACCCTGCTCCCGAGGTGCGTGTCCTATTGGAAAAGCTCATACCCTCTGCTCGCTTAGAATTCTTATCAGGTCAAGTTCTTTACAGCTCTGAGGAAACCACTATCCTCATCCTGCAGGCTCTTGTGGTGCTTGTCAGCTACGCCGAGGGCGCTCAAGCGTTTGTCCAGCTTCAGGACATAAGCAGCCTCATTGAGAATGCGCCCACTCAGCCTCTGGCTTTGGAGGTGCTTTCTCACGCCTTTCTCGCCTCGGCAGCTACTACACAGGACAAGAAGGCACTATCATTAAGGATTGAACATATGGTTTCTTCCCTCATAGCCACATATACCGGCACTGATGCTGTGACCCTCCTTGCCTTTTTGGCAGATTTCCTACGGCGGCTAGACAAAGATGTAGGTCCGCCATGTATACCCCTACTTAATTACCAACGGCTGTTGAGTCCAGGGCTGACTCTATCATCCCCAGCTTCTCCCACAAAAACCGCCATGGCTCACCACCCTCGTGGACTACATCGGGGGCCTCATCTCCAGCCGTCCCACACAGGCGGCTAGGTCGGCATACGTGAACCTGGCCACCACACTACTACAGGCATACCCCGTGCAAATGCCACACCTTCTATTTTCTGGTGCTCAGATGGTGGGCGAGAAGCCTGCCTCATACCTGCTCATCAATTTGCTCCTCATCGACCTTCGTACATCCTTCCCGTCGCTGCTTGAAAAGCTTAATGACACGCAATACCAAGCTACGGCGCGCCGGCTCGCATCTGACTTTGATGTGGTGTCCTGCTTCATTGGCTACCTCATGAGGTTTGTGGACGACGACAGCCCCGAGTCTGGATCTGGCCAAGGGTTTTCCATGCCACCCGACCTGCTCCTCAAGATCAGGAAAGCCATGTCCGAGACATTTTCCGTCGCCATGGAGTTCCTTCGCGACCGGTGGGACGCCTCAGTGGCTGGCGCTATGGGCTTGCACCCAGACGCGCGCGTGGGCGAGGCCAAGACTTCGCGGGGAGAGCGCTTCACCATCTCGTGGGACTCGATCGATGACAAGGTTAACGAAGACCCCCTGGTGCTCGCCTGTATCAGGTGTCTTGCGATATGGCTCAGAGAAGACGACAACGAAACCCTGCGGAAAGAAGCTGCGGGCCTGTGCGACATGTTTGCGGAGCTTTACAAAGCTAGCACAACCGGCGGCAGTGCTCTCGACTTCCGTCGCCCGGTCTTGGTGGCCTTGGAGGGAATCACCGTCTCGGAAGAAGGACCCGAGAACCTCCTGAGCCACGACGGCTGGAGGATCCTCATTGACGACCTTCTCGCTGTGGGTGCCTCAAGCGAGAGCGGCGACGAAGATTTCTCCAGGGGCGTTGAAATCGTCCGGATCCTACTCCCGATCGTCGAGAACGAGCGTCCGGGGAGCAAGGAAGCGTGGCTTGACGCCGCAACGGCTATGGCCACCTGGGACACGCCGGAGGATGGGCAGTCTCTACAGGCGATGGAGTTCCAGGTGGCGGCCCTGCAGCTCATCACCAGCGTCCTTGCGGGCGCACATCCAAGCGTGCGGAAACGCTACAAGCACACGATTGGCGCCATCAGGGGTCTGGCATCCCGACTCGGCGCGCAGGCTGGCAGCTCGAATGCCGATTTGCACGAATCACTGCAGGATGTTACCACCACGCTTGCGAGCTTGGGTTGGGCCCAATGACTGCTTGCGCTGGAGTCGAGCAGAAGCATGCAACAATGCGGATGGGCAACTGGCAGTTGCGCAGCGTGGGGGCGCAGCGCTCCCGTCTCGCTGCATGCGCTCCTCTCTGACCTACAGGAGCTAGATGAGAACTCCGGAGACGTGCAAAACTCGACGTCTTAGAATTTGCTTGTTGGGCGAGAGACGGCACGGGGTTGGTCTAAAACGAGCAACATCTGCGCGCTCGGTCATTCCACTGAAGTATCGGGAGCGAGCGCCTTCAAACCTCGTGGTAGGTAGGGTCATAGTGTTGGGGAAACCTTGAGGCGAAGGAGAGAATGAGGGTGGGGGAAAAAAAGCAAAGAAGGGCATGCAAATGGCGCGCATGGTGCGAGGTCAGACTGCGTGCCAAGCGTGTATATGAGCCTGCAATGATTTTAGATGAACTCGGTCCCTTACAGGCCGAGCACACAGGGCGTGCATGCATGGCGACGTTGGCGTGCGCTAAGACGCAGGACAAAGAGTGGGAGAAAAAGCAAAGAGTTGTCGGGTGAGGCCGCTTGTTGTTGCACAAGAAGCTAAGGTGTCGATTCGGGGTCAAAGCGGCCAAATAAGCGAATCAATGATAGCAAGGTAGCCTCTCCAGAATACTGCTGTGTAGTGTAGGTCGGTAGGTATGTACCTACCTGTACCTAAGCAGGTAATGGCCTGCCGCTGCCTGCCGGACATAGTGTATCTGCCGCAACGGAGGCAGTCGGCGGTCACCGCCGTCAGTCGGCAGCCGTCAAGACGGCGGAGTGTTTGTTCTATCTATATAGGAGAAGTGGAACAAAGGGCTGGCTAGCTGGCTAGCTGAGGGGTAACACAGGGCGCACAGAGGGTTGGGCATGGCGCGCCTGGAAACCGCCATGTTGCGCGGCTGGGAGGAAATCTTCTGGACAATTGTTTCTTTGACCCGGGGCCCTTGTCTCAGCCGGCAAGCCACATCGATACCGCGGGCTCCCACGTACGCACACGTCCCTGCAGCCCTGCCCCAGGGGACGGACGGCGGTTGGCTCGGCTGTCTGGGCCTTTTCCACAAAGGACAGAGGGAGGGGGGAGAGAGAGGACGATGAGCGGGCCGCCCGCCATCCCTTCCAAGCCCACAGCTGTACCTGCACAGAGAGATGGGTGGTGTGCAACGCTTCTGCAGCGAAGACGGATGGGGCCCATAAACAATGGGCGATAAGCACATGTCCGGCCAGGGCAGGGCGTCGGACATGAATGTTGACGAGACCGAAAACAGCTGGGCTGCGTGGATGGGCCGACAGGTCTAAATGGCCAATGCCCAGTGCCCCAAACCCCTGCTGGCGCCGCGCCTTTGCTGCACGTGTCATTGAGAATCAGAGCAAAGGCAAAGTCGGATCGAGGCGGGAATGTTCTTTGCCTAGAGAGGTTGGGTGTCGTCATGGCCGATGCGTGGGGGGGTCCTTCATTTCCTTTCTTTTTACTCCTGGAAGGAAATTTCGCCCTGACTTTGTGGCAATAACGTTGGCCGCACCAGCTTGGTGGGACTTCTCTGGCGCCACCTCCTAGCCTGGTCGATCCCGCGTTTTTCTTTTATCCTCTTCCTTGCTGCTGCGTTCAGGATCATGGGTGTTGGGGACCGAGGTGGCAACTGGTCGGCCCCATTTCCCGCACCCCCATCGAAGTGTTCGGTGCATGTTCTGGCGCGGCAGCTACAACACGCCGGCCTCTGGATGCTTTGCCCGCCAAGCTCGAGGACACCCGCTCAGGCTCGGAGATTCGGTGCCGGCTGGTGAGTCCGGCGTGCCAAGCTGGCGAATGGCGCCGAGAGACTAGAGCGCAGATCCGGTAGTTTCCCCCAGGGAGGGAGTTCAGGAGTGGTGTGGGCACTTCGGCCCAGGGCTAGCGGACGGCCGGCCTCAAAAAGTCGGAGCATTCGAAACGGCGGCCAGACTCGGGGCGAGCACAGTAGCGGGCAGCGCATCCCCAACGTCTAGCCGCTGTTCGATCGAGGTCTGTGCTATCATTGTGGTCGCTGTCGCGTGGAGCTGCCCCCATTTGCAGAGCGCAGGGTGGCACCCGTGTCGCCTGACGTGGCCCGCAGCCCCAGCGTGCCAGAAAAGCGTGCTGCCTTGACCAGGCATTTGAACATGAAGCCTCCACTCGGTGCTGGACCTGTCTGGCTGTCTGGCTGCCTGCCTACCACACTCCCTAGGGGTATCTGCCTCGGTGTCCTGCCTATATGATGCACATATCGGGAAAGCGGAAATCGGAGAGCCCTGGATCCTGCAAAAAGCCCTGCCAAATCTGTCAAGGATGGATGCTGGGTGCATTGTGTGGCCGAAAAAGGCAGGCGAGTCTGCTGCGAGGGTTTGTTGGCTAGCGCCGCCAGGTTCAGGTTCCCTCGCCTCCCCTAGACCTGAGCTTCCTCAGGTAGATGGCAAAAGATGGATACCCCGATGCTGTGCCGCCGGAGGAGGCATCTTTGTTGTTGGCGGTCGGCATCGGACGGTCGGGGCAAGATTAAGGAGGCTGAATAAAAAAAGAAGGAATTGGGAATGGCTAGTGTGAATTGCGTGAGGGTGACCTGTGCCTCGACCCAAGGCAGCACAGCGCGGCACATTGAGCATAGCACAGCACGAACAGCACGAACGGCACGAACAGCACAAACAGCTCAGCACCCGGCACCTACCTAACCACCAAATATCCACGCTACCAGCCAGGGGTTCCAGTGGCACGCCTAGAGTCACCTCGATTGGTACCTTCAGGGCGACTTCACCTCAACGAGACCCATTCCCCATTCCCCATTGCCCATTCTCAGCTGGCCGCTGCGTCGGCGGGTTCAATTGTTAGCACCAGAGGTGGCCCTGTGGGCCGCCGGCAGAAGTCGGCTGACGCCATTGCCCGCAGTGATTGGCTGGGCACGCGGCGGCGCGGCGGCATCAGCTCCAGGCGTGGTGGCCTGGTACCGCCCCCGTTAACAGCGCGCACACCCAGCTGGCAACGGCGGGCCCAGCGCCAGCTCTGCAGCACCAGACCAAGACCCAGACCCCAGGCCACCCACCGCCCTCACACCCCAGCTAAAAGCAGCCAAACGCAGCCAAACCAAACGCAGCCAAAAGGCCCGCCGCTGTAACGGTTGGCCGCCGCCGAACGAAGCCAGCAGCCCTCGCAACATTCTGATCGTCTCCGTGCCAGTGCCCTCCCACCCGCTCGTCACATTACAGGACTCCCTTCGCAGAAGCCAATCCTAACAAGGCTGAACCACATTTTCACCACCCCCTATTCACCCTATTCTGGTCCTAGCCTCTCCTGCTGCTGCCCTTGTCCGCATTTTTATTTTTCCTCGACCTTCTTGCCATTCCCATCCCCTTTCTCCCGCGCCTGTTCCTCCCAAGCGCCAGGCGTTGAGAGAAGCAGACCATAAACCGCAGGCCGTTGTTGGCTGTAAGCTCCGACAGGTTCACACTTGAGCACCGCTCCGTTGCGCACCTCTCCTTCCAGTTCCCTCCATCACTGCGACTCCCCAATCCACCCTCAACTCGCAAAGCCGAAACCCAAGACCCCAGTCCATCCTCCTTCTCGCTCAATCCCCCCGACAATAGGGAGAAAAAAATACCTACAACAAAACAACAACCCCTCGTAACCCATCCGGAACCACCAGCAACGCGACCTGGGAGGAGCAAGCTCCAGCGGTTCTCTCCTGCTGCACTTCTGCACGCCTCTCCACCGTCGACCCGCGGCATCCCCTCTTTGATTGCTGTTCCTGCCTGCGTGACGCGGCGTTCTCTCGCAAGCCTGAACAATGGTGGTCGCAACGATTAAGTAAGTTGCTCGCATACTCGTCTCCGTCCCCGTCGCCACCTGCTCGCTTCCTCGGCGGTGTATGCACTCATATCCGCTCGCCTGCCGGTCACCCAAAGAGACAAATACACAGCCCCAAGGCCTATCTACCGATTCTATTGTCACTGCCGTCGAGTCGACATCTACACTGAAAAACCCGAGCCGCCGAATGCCTGCGGAACAGCGACCCGCCCGCCTCTTCGGCACACCGACTTATCCTCTTCCCCCCTCTCCCGTCGGTCTTTCCTGCCGCCTGTCTTGGTGTTGCGGACCAGGCTCGATGCGGCCGGTTGATAGCCGCCGTCATGCACGCTGCTGTGGTTGCTTCTGCTAGCTCTTTGCCAAGTCCTGTCATTTGCTAACCTCCACCACGTCCTGCCGAACAGATGCGTTGTCGTCGGCGACGGTGCCGTTGGCAAGACCTGTCTCCTCATCAGCTACACCACCAACAAGTTCCCCTCGGAATACGTCCCAACAGTCTTCGACAACTATGCCGTCACCGTCATGTGAGTGATGTCCTCCCCGACCCGACACAAGGGGTTGCTGCGGGTCCCCAAACTCCTTGGCACTCACCTGCCCTCTGCCGCAACACGCCTACGCCGTCGCCGTGTCAAATCCTCTTAGCTGCGCAGCCTACCACGCCTCGATCCTTGATATTCCGCCGGCCGTCGTGCTAAGACCCCCATGTTCTACCTTTAGGATCGGTGACGAGCCATACACTCTGGGCCTATTCGATACCGCCGGACAAGAAGATTACGACCGACTGCGCCCGCTCTCGTACCCGCAAACCGACGTCTTCCTGGTCTGCTTCAGCGTGACCTCGCCCGCCTCGTTCGAGAACGTGAGGGAGAAGTGGTTCCCCGAGGTCCACCACCACTGCCCCGGCGTGCCCTGCCTCATCGTCGGCACCCAGGTTGATCTGAGGGACGACCCGAGCGTCAGGGAGAAGCTGAGCAAGCAGAAGATGCAGCCCGTCCGGAGGGAGGACGGCGAGCGCATGGCTAAAGATCTCGGCGCCGTGAAGTACGTTGAGTGCAGTGCGCTGACTCAGTACAAGCTTAAGGACGTATTTGACGAGGTAAGTCTCGCCCATATACGTTGACATTCATCAACGGCTCGTTTTTTGGCCCCTGATAAAGTTTGCTGGTATTGACAAGTCCAATCACCAAACGCAGGCCATCGTTGCGGCGCTTGAGCCGCCAGCGCCCAAGAGGAAATCCAAAAAGTGCCTCATCCTGTAACCGGGCCAGCACCTCGACCGTTCGCCTCGCTCCATATTCGAGACTGGCTTTTCAGAGCCCTCTTGGGTTGGGTTCGTTAGATGGGAGATACCGCGGCGAGGTAGCCGCCGTTGTCAGTCGGAGAATCGCCGTCTAGGGATGCACCTCTCCTTGTCTCCTTGGATATCTATCCCTTCACGTCGCAACTCGCGCCGTCAATGCCGTGGGGACTCTTGTTCTCTTCTTACTCGGCTGATCGGTTGGGATTTGCGGCCAATATGGAGCACAACACCGCCGCTGTTGGAGGCAACCATCTACCGAATAGGTACTTTACATACCCTGCGACAGCGGCAAACGGCAAGACCAGGAAGGACGGGATGGTTATCTGAACTTCCTGAACGTTAGATGGTCGTCCAGGCTGTAATGTTCCCTCGTCCTCGGACGGAAGGTTCCAGGGCCCGATTAGCCTACCGGTGTCAAACGCGCGTCCACCTCCTTGCCGTTTTTTTCTTCTCTCTTTGTGTGTGTGTTTCCTGTGTCCGCCTCAACCCCCAGCATCAAAGTACTAGCTGCATGCAAGTCAGCCCGGCTTTTTCTCATATCTATTTATTCCCCCTTCTCTTCTCGTTTTCGATTCTGCTCCATTGCCCTTGGCCCTAGCCCGCTGAATTTCCATTGCAACTTTCTGTTTCTCCTCTATTTCTTCTTGTTTGGGCGCGGAATATTGATAAACCCGGGCAGGAAACTTTGATAGGACAGTTCTGGCTATTTTGGAGTGCAATTGAACTTTCCAAGCTAGTACATAACATTTGGCATTGCACAGCATCCTTCAAAAGCCCCGCCCCTTAGCCCCCCAGCACACTCCACTCCTGCATCATGGCCGTGACGTTTGACGTTGCGGCTAAACAAGGCGAACCTGGACTATCGGATATATGTCCTCGAGAGGGAAGTAGACGCCGGTGAGGAGACGTCGAGGAGGCCTTGTCTTTGCCTCCTAAAATTAATGACGTTCGGTTTTTTTTTTTGGTTTTTTTTTGGTCTTGAACCCTGGCGACGGGGCCCAAACCTAAAACGCCTTGGTCAAAAGAACAAACGGCCTCCCTGTGTTGCCTCTGCTGCGCCACAGGAACTGGCCGTTGGGTTGGCGGTTTCCTTGGCGGCGAGTCGGGGCCGAGGCCTAGACGATGGTGCCTTGTGGCGTTCTGCGAGCTATCACAGCTCAGTTGCTGCTGGCCCGGGTATTAATACAAATAATCCTACCCGAATATCATCCAAGCCACCTTGATGTATGCACCGCTCTCGTATACCTTCTCTCTCCTGGGCTCACGAGCCGTGGTATACACTTAGAGCGCTCTTACCCCCCCTCCCGGAGTATGGCAGCACCCCCAGATGGACCCCACGCTGCGGGCGCGCCGCAGCAGCTCGCTGTTGGTGTGGACTTCCGACAACGGCGTCGCAGCCACGGGTAACCGACTACCGACTTTCTCGCACCGAATGCATAGGCGGGTACGAGTCGTCGCCTGCGTCCGTCCCCCCGCTCTTTATCTCAGTGTCCCCTCAAGTGAAGGGATCTTTTACGCAGGGAATCGCTGAGGATGACGGCACCGGTTTTTTCTCTCTCTGGTCGAATAGCGTTCCCGGATGGACTTGCCTGATACAGTCTCGTTTCCTCCCTGTCGTATGGAAAGCTGAATATATAATGCAATATGCCTTGCTGAGATTTACTCGCCCAACCCCTAGATTGTGCATTTTTCTCCTGGGTTGCATACGTGATACCACACCTTCAATATTACATCCTTTACCTGCCCGATTAACTTGTCTTGGCAGTCTCGTCGCCCGCAACCCATCGACATGAGGTCGTGTCTGTTCGTGTCGGCCGCGCTGGCGGTCTCGGCCGGCCTGGGCCTCGCCTGCGCCGGCGACAAGCACCACGACCAGGAAGAGTTCACGCAGGAGCAGCTCGACGAGCTGGAGAGGAAATGGGGCATGGAGGTAAGAATAAAGCAAGCTTCCGACTCCTGAACCGCTCGACTAGAGGGCTTTGGTGCAGATCAGCGAGGGAAGCAAACGAGGACATGGTAGAGGCAGTGATACGGCGGACAAGTTTCTCCCCTGATCACCAAAAGAGCCAGCGCCGGGTGTTGACAAGCTTGTTTCCCGACAAAGTGGCCCTTTGTAGGCATCGGGTCCTTTGCACATCTGAAGTACGTCAAGTGCCTCACGACGCCTAGCGAGCAGTTCGACATTGCCATTGTGGGAGCCCCGTTCGACACGGCCGTCAGTTATCGCCCTGGTACGTCCATAATGGATCTGTAGATGCCGGAAAAGAGAGTGTGTTGCTCTAACGCTTTGTTCCCAATCACCCCTCGTCGCCCTCACCTGGGTTAAAACGAGGAACAACAACCCAAAAAAAAACAAAAAAAACCAGGGGCTCGATTCGGTCCCAGGGCAATCAGGCAGGCGTCCAGCCGGCAGACGTCGTTCCGCGGCTTTAACCCGCGGGCCAACATCAATCCTTACCAGAACTGGGCCAAGATCATCGACTGCGGCGACATACCCGTCACGCCCATGGATAACGCCGTGGCGCTGCAGCAGATGACGGCCGCGTTCGGCGAGCTGGGCCGGCGCAGGCCCGTCTCGGCCCTGCAGCAGAAGCCCAAGCTCATCACCCTGGGCGGCGACCACTCGCTCGCCCTGGCGGCGCTCCGGGCGCTCAAGGAGGTCCACGGGAAGCCGGTTCGGGTTCTGCACTTTGACGGTGAGTCTTTTTTTTTCTCTCCCTCTCTCTCCTTTTCTCCTGGAACTCTGCATACTTTCCAGAACCAGAGCCCAGCTTCGCCGTTTCGCTAAGCCTAGAGGTGTATACACCCACACAGCGCACCTTGACACATGGCACCCGACAAAGTACCCCAACGCGTGGCCGTCGGACCAGGCCAGCTTCAACCACGGCTCCATGTTCTGGCTGGCGGGCAGCGAAGGGCTCATCGCCAACTCGTCGGCGGGGCCGTCGGTGCATGCGGGCCTGCGCACGCGGCTGAGCGGCAACGACCTGGCCGACTACGACGACGACACGGCGCAGAACTGGGTGCGCATCTCGGCCGACGACATCGACGACATCGGCGGCGCGCCCGGGGTGGCTCGCGAGATTGTGAGCCGCCTGGGCACCGAGGACCCCGTCTACCTGTCGGTCGACATCGACGTGCTGGACCCGGCCTTTGCGCCCGGCACGGGCACGCCCGAGCCGGGGGGCTGGACCACGCGCGAGCTGATCCGCATCCTGAGGGGCATCGAGGACCTCAACATAGTGGGCGCCGACGTCGTCGAGGTCTCGCCCGCGTACCAGGGCGCCGGCGAGGAGACGGCGCTGGCGGCCGCGCAGGTCGTGTACGAGATCATCTCGTCCATCGTCAAGAAGGGCATGGGCGGCATGGGTAAGGAGGGGGTCACGGTGGAGGCGAAGGCGGCGGCGAAGGCGGCGGCGGTGGTCAAGGATGAGCTGTGAGGGTTGGGTTTGGCATTTTGGCCTTCTATCGACCAAAGGATTTGGGTGACACGACTCTGCGGGCATGCATGTACTGTGTGAGGTATCAATCCTATAGAAGAACAAGATATGACACTATGGGCACTTTCAAGTTGCTTTTCCACCCCATCTTGTGACATGAACAGCACCCCTTCAAACTAGCCCCAGCCCTGCGCCAATGTTTGAAAAAGGCAACATGGCATCTGGTTTATCTCCAGTCGAGAAACAGCCATCACTGAGCGTCGTTTCGGGTGGACGGGGGCTCAACTCCCGGACGAGACAAAAGGGGCTGGAGAGTGACTCGAATTTGGGGGTGAGTCAATGGGTTGAATTCCCCCGCAGCGCAGCGATAGATAAGGCCAGACGCCGCCCAAGCGGAACCTCCAGCTATCAAATGCCCCTCCATAGGTACATAATTTCGGCCAAGCCCAGCTTGAACCACCCCTCCGCTCCCTTCCACGTCCAAACACCAGACCGCACCACATATTGCGTCCCAGGTTCGAGGTAGTGCCGGCCGCTGCAGACAAACCCCTCCCGTCTTCCTGCCCTCCACGCCTTCTCTCAATTGGCACTCAAAACAGCCACAACCCCCCGCCATGGCTGCCCTCCAGGAGCTCGCCGACCGGACAAAGTCGGACGACAAGACGTACGTCGACACGGACGTGGGCGTCGACGGCGACGCCGCCGACGGTTCCGAGTCCAAGCCCTACAAGAGCCTCGGCTATGCCTTCATTCAGAACCACGGCCAGACGGCCAAGACGTACCTAACGCGCGCCTCGACGACGGGCGCGCTGGGCCCCGACGAGGAGCCCTCGGTCCGGCTGATGTGGAAGGAGCCGGCCAAAAGCGCGGCCAAGAAGGCCCAGTCCATGCTGGACGCGCACAAGAAGAAGCTGCAGAAGCAGGAGCAGCTGGCGGCGGCCGAGGAGGAGACGCGCCAGAAGCGCCTCAAGAACCTCGAGGAGGCAAAGTCCATCGTCATAAAGGAGGACCCCGCCCTGCCCCCCGCGGCGCGCGTCGAGCTGTGGCAGAAGGACCTCGAGCTGGGTGAGGGCGAGGCCAAGGGCCCCCGGGTCAAGGTGTTTGGCCGCATCCACCACCTGCGCGCGCAGAAGCACGCCACCTTTGTGACGCTCAAGAGCGGCGCCGACTACCTGCAGTGCATCATGTCAGGCGACCTCACAAAGACGTACGAGGCGCTGCTCTTCGCCCAGGGCACCGCGCTCTTCGTCTACGGCGAGCTGCGCAAGGTGCTCGACGGCAAGTCGGCCCCCGACGGCCGCGAGCTGCAGGTGGACTACTTTGAGGTCACGGGCCGCGCGCCCGGCGACGCCGAGGCCCTGGCCAACAAGGTCTCGTGGTCGCAGGACATCTGGGAGTCGGACATGCTGGACAACAGGCACCTCGTGCTGCGCGGCGACACCACCACGTCGGTGCTCACCATCCGGGAGGCGGTCGAGCTCGCCTTCATCAAGACGTACGAGAGCATGAGGATCAAGAAGGTCTCGCCGCCCGCCATGGTGCAGACCCAAGTCGAGGGCGGCTCGACGCTGTTCCAGTTTGACTACTACGGCGAGCCGGCCTACCTCACGCAGTCGTCGCAGCTGTACCTGGAGACGGCGCTCCCCTCGCTCGGCAACGTGTACTGCATCGAGAAGTCGTTCCGGGCCGAGAAGAGCCTCACGCGCCGCCACCTGTCCGAGTACACGCACGTCGAGGCCGAGCTGGACGGCATCGTGTTCGAGGACCTGTTGAGCCACATCGAGGAGGTAATCTGCCGCGTCGTCGACGGCGTGCTGGAGAACCCCGAGGCGGCCAAGCACATCAAGGCGCTCAACCCCGAGTTCGTCAAGCCCTCGCGCCCCTTCATGCGCATGAGGTACTCGGACGCCATCGACTGGCTCAACGCGCAGGACCCCCCGATCCTCAACGAGGAGGGCCACCCGCACGCGTTTGGCGACGACATCGCCGAGGCCGCTGAGCGCAGGATGACCGACATTATCAACCGGCCCATCCTCCTGACGCACTTCCCGGTCGAGATCAAGGCCTTTTACATGAAGAAGGACCCGAGCGACCTGCGGGTGACGGAGAGCGTGGACGTGCTAATGCCGGGCGTGGGCGAGATCGTGGGCGGCTCCATGAGGATGGAGGGCCACGACGACCTCCTGGCGGCCTTCAAGAGGGAGGCCATCGACCCGGCCCCGTACTACTGGTACCTGGATCAGAGGAAGTACGGCACGTCGCCGCACGGCGGCTACGGCCTTGGGCTCGAGCGGTTCCTGGCGTGGATGGCGAAGCAACACACGGTGCGCACGTGCTGCCTGTATCCCCGCTTCATGAACCGCTGCAAGCCCTGAGAAGGGAGCGGTCTCTCTTTTTCGTGATGCATGGGTTGGGAAGGTGGAGGACTACTTTTCCCCGTTATTTTGCTCATTTTTCTTCCATTTCTTTCTTCTGTCTGTCCCTTTTTATCCTTTGAGCGGGCGTGGATAGACCGGGGAAACGAATCAGAGATGGGGCCATGCTCTGCTTTCTTGGCCGGGATAGAAGTAAAGAAGAGAAAAAAAAGCCTGAATCAGTATCTGGTGCTTCTTTTTTTATTCCGTGAAGAAACAGCACGACGTTGTGCGGCGCGGCGCTTGTGGACCGCCTATGCGCCTCGTCGGGACGCGCGGGAGACTGGCAGAGATGCACGGCATGTCGTAGGCGCCTACCTGGCCAGAGCTGACTGACGGTTGCTGCAGCTCGGGTGTGGGTTGCACAGCAAACGGTTGGGGAACCTTGGGTGAATGCGTATCGCGCGCGGCAAAGAACAAAGTGGTTCTGGTTTTTTTCTTCTTCGTTTGTTTGTTTGCCTGCGGCTCTACAGGAAGTGCATATGCATGTCCCACCGGGTGTCCGGTGGGAAGCGCGGCGGCAAGAGGACGAGAGTCATGAAAGTGGGCAAGTTGGGTTTGGTGTTTTCAGGCTCTTGCTTTTTTTTTTTTTTCTCTCCCTGCCTACCCGGGGAAACCAAGATCGAGGCGTGTCGGCGGCGCTAAAATCGGACATGCACGAGGGAGGGACAAGCCGGTCGGTCGAGCAAGATCTGAGCCGGGCCCCTCGAGCCGACACACCACAACCTATCTGATCGCGGGAGACATGGCAGATTGTGTGGGGAGGGAGGGAGGGAGACCAGCGCGGCACCACCCCTGGCTGGCTCCTGGGAAAGGGGTGGTGTGTGGGTCGCTTTCTGATGGGGAGTCTGGTCTACGGGGAACGAAGACTGGAGCGGAAAGTCTTGCCTGGCCTTGCCTCGCTCGGGGTTGGGTGCTCCGTTTTTGGAGAAATGTAACACCATCGAGAAGAAAAAGGACGAATGTGCTTCCCGAAAACGGCGCACCAAGAGACCCCTGCCTGCGTGGTGTGGTTGTGTGTGTGTGTGTGTGTGTGTGTGTGCGTGCCCCTGTGGTATCTATCCAGTGTGGGTGCGCATGGGAAGAGCAATGACTTGGGGGCCAACTGGGTGTACGCACACAAGGAGAGGGTAAAAGAGCGGCATAAAAGTGACTGACAATTTGAAATGGGCACGCGCCTTCGATTGGGGGGAAAACAGCCCGCCCCTTTTCCTCCTCCCCGCCGACGTCCCCGCTCGGCTGGTGTTGCACACCGCATTTCGATGGGAGGGCGGGCGTCCAAGGGCCGGGATTAAAGAATGGAAAATCGATATTGATGCTGAATGACCAAGGATGCAGGGGGAAAAAAGAACAGACGACGGAGGGAATCAGCCAGCTGAGACGCAAGGCATGGAAACCCGTAATGTTCACTGGTACGTGGGACGAATATCTTCAATAGTCGGTCTGTGCTTCCCACCAAAGGGCAACCATTGCCGCAGCTTCTTCGCGTGGCGAGTGTGTGTGTGTGTGGTGCCGCAGCACTTGTCCGGCATGGATGGTGGAGCAAAGGGGAGAGAAATCGAGTGTTGGACGCCCGCCGCGGCGCCCGACCTGGCGACTCTAGTAATTGATGGAATAAACACGTTTCATCAACATCCCTGGGACCTCCGCCAGCCTAGTGATGGCGATGACGGCGAACCCGGGCCAGGCCGGCTTCTCCCAGTCGACCGAATGCGAAGAAACGGAGAGGACGGGATGGCAAAGCTATGCGTGTGTGTTGTGTGCGTGTTGTGTGTGCGTGCGTGCCCTGCCCTGCCCTGCGTGCCAGAGGAGGGATCGGCCAGATTCAGCATGGACCCTTACCCTGCCCGTCATTCTGGAAGACTGGCAACCCAGCAGGCAGGCATGCGCGGGGGTCGCGATGATGATGGGCCACGGACCCCGGCTGGGGACAGGAACCAGCGCGCGGGATAATGAAGGGGAACGATAATAACAAACAAGAAAAAAAAGGGGGTGGGCTTAAACGACTGACGGGAAAAGACGCCGAGAGCACGGGCTGGCTGTGCGGGTGTTGGGCTTTGCGCTGCATGTAATTTGGTGGACGAGACTATCGAGATCTGGCTTTCGCAGCCCTGGAGTTCAGTCAGCTGCCGCTTTTTTGCTCGCCTGCTACAAGGTAGCCAAGGTAGCAGATGGCACCCCGTATAAACCGGGAGGAAAAGCGTGTTGGAAATGAGCCCTATAATGACACTGCGTAAGCAAATCTGGTTTTCGGTGGTGGGCAAGACAAAAAGGACACACACCTAGGGCCGTCAGTCAAGGGTCTCGTCCAATCAATCAGACTACTGGGTTGACGGCGTGTCGTACCTTGCATGCTAGCAGCCAGGACGTCCTTTTTTTTCTTTTTTTTTTCTGTCCAAGCCAACGGGTTTGGAGTCGGGTCTGGAACTTGGGTCGGCTCCCCCGTGGCAGATCGGCACACACAAGCTCTTGGTATTAGAGCCGACCCGACACACCAACACGTGCGCGTATTTGATTTCGTGATTTCATTTGATTTGATTGCGGAGACGACAAGAGACGAGAACATACAGCACCAAGTCTCTCAGCTCCAGCTCCAGCTCCAATTCCCAGCCTGAATATAAAAAAAAAAAAACCAGACGAGCATCCAGCGTCCCGGTGGTTCGCGTCGCTGTTGATCCATGCCCGTGTTCGTGGTCAGATCAATTGGCCCATTTTTTGCGGACTCCATCCATGCGATGTGCTGAGAAGGGAAGGCGGGCGGATCCTTGATGGGAACAGGGTCGCAGGGTGCCCTGGGCCCAGATGGGGAAGGGGAACAGGCCTAGATGGCGAATGGCAGCCGACCTACCCGCTGTCGGCTAGGCCTAGTCGGGCTCACCTCATGCGTGCCATCGCTTCGCGGCTGGAGATGGAATTGCAGCTCACGTCCGGATCCGGAACCATTTTCCTTTTTTATCAATTTTTTCTTTTTTCTTTTCTCGTCCCAGGCCAGCCAGCGTGGCCCAGCACAGCGCCACATAGCCAATTCCGCACAGTACCAGACCGCTTCGACTTGTCCGCGAAGCTTGAATCGACGGATTGACGCACGTCGACGAGCTCGCTCGAGTTGCCCGTACCTTGGGTAGACCACTGCCCATGTGCCTAGTATGCAGGAATGTAGGGCTCGCTGTCAGCTAGATCAATCGAATAGCACAGTCAAACCGGCGGTCGGCCAGTCGTGCGCAAAACGAAATAGAGAAGACAAAAAAAAAAACAGGCAGGTGCGCCAAGGTGTGCCTGCCTGCCCTGCTTGGTCATTCACAGACAGTGCGGCCCGCTCTCTCCCCTCCACCTCTGTCTCTTCCCACCACCTACCAGACCTGACCTGCTGTGCGCCCGCGCGCGGTGGGCAGCGCGAGGATGGATCCCTGGTTCCTCATTAAACTTAGCGCAGTTAATTCAACATCGTCCCTTAGCACCCCGGTCCACCCGTCCCCTTACAACGACTCCTCCCTCGGGCTGTTCAGCCAGGGCTGCACCTCATTTTTTTTTTCCCCTTCCCAAGTCGACTGCTCGCTGTCCTTCTTTTTGTCCCCTTTTTAACCCCCTCCTCCTCCTCCCCCCGTCCTCTTTCGGCCCCTTCTTTGTCGTGTCTTCCTTTGGATCCGACACTGCTTCGACTTCGTTTTTCTTCTTCTTCGCCTTCTGCTTCTTTTTCTTCTTTCGATATCGCTCGCTAGCCATCCTTTTGGCCCGTCCCTTTCTCTTCTTGGTGGACCACCCCGTTCCGTCGAGATCCCTGTGCCCGCCCGTCGGAGCCGACGCGACAGCAGCCAGGAGAAAGACCCCGACATTGCGCGTCTTCGGCCGTTGCCTCTCGGTGCCAACACGACCGCCCGCGCATCCCCGTCCTTTGTTATTACTTGTTGCCGGTGACCCTCTCGTTATAACATATATACGTCTTCTAATAACCCTTGGAAGCTGTGTCACCCAGCCCGCGGCCCCGGAGCATTCCTCGCGCCCCGCGACCCTGTTGCACGTCAAACTGCGACCTGCGCATCACGGACCGACCGCCCTTTTCGACAAAAAGGGGACTTCCAACCGCCAACCGTCGTGTCCGCGTTTTCAACGGCCTCCACCGGCTCCAGCCCCAACGGTCGACCGATTTGACACCGCCTATCCTTGGTGCGCAAGCCACATTGGCGTTCAAGCAAGCCTCCGGCACTTGGAGACTTATAACTTTGTCGAGTGGGCCAATTCCTACATACTAACTGCCTTGCTAAAAAGCAAGGCATCTTCCGCCGTATTTTTTTTTTTATCATTTTTTATTTTCTTCCCCGAAGCCCTTGTCGACCACCCGGCAGATCCCAGACCGCTGCAGCAGGAATTCTTGTACCTGCGCTACCGTCTTTTGCCACCGAAGAGCCTCGTCAGCTCTCGAAATACACAGCTTGCGTATTGCATAGCTTGCTGGAGTCTCGTGACCCCAGCATCCCCCTTCCGTGCCTAGCAACAGGCACGCTCAACCGCTCAAAACGGCGATCCTCTCTCCCGTCGGTAGGGACACCCACGTCCCTCCCCATCTGCTCGGCATGCAGGACATCCAGGCCCCCGGCCCGGGTGTTGGTCCCGTTGGCCGCTTCCCCGGCCATGTTTCGAAGCCCTCTAATAGCGACACGGGCTTCTCCCACGGCGCCTTTACCTCCAACATCTCGGGCTTTGGCGACAGACACCCGCGCCGCGGCAACATTCCCAACATCAACACCCAGCCCATGGGCCAGCAGCCCGCCCCGGTTGCCCCGAACAACAACCTCGACATGGGCACTCCCGGCACTGGGCTGGACATGTCCTTCACTCCCCTGCTGCCCTCGCAGCTGCTCCTCGGCAGCCCCTTCCAGCCTGGTACCCCGGCTGCTTTTGCCAACCAGCAGCAGTACCAGAACATGGGATACCAGCAGGGACAGCCCCAGGGTGTCAATGGCCATCAGCAGGCACACCAGCAGCAGCAGCACCACCACCACCACCAGTCGCAGAACGGAATCTCTAGCCCCATCCAGGCCCTGTCCCCTCAGGCCTACCAGGCCATGGTCTCGCCCTCGGCCTACGGTGCCCCGCAGTTCTACTCGCCCCAGTCCCCCTCGGGCGGCTTCGGTAGCATGAGCGGCTCGGTGCAGCTGCAGCCCACCTCCCCCGTCTCGGGCGTTGTCAGCGGCACCAGCCGGACCGTCTACCTCGGCAACATTCCCCAGGACACGAGCGCCGAGGAGATTCTTGGCCACGTCCGTAGCGGGCAGATTGAGTCGGTCCGCCTGCTGCCCGACAAGAACTGCGCCTTCATCTCCTTCCTTGACGCCAGCTCGGCCACGCACTTCCACTCTGATGCCATCTTGAAAAAGCTCTGCATCAAGGGCCAGGACATCAAGGTCGGCTGGGGCAAGCCCTCGCAGGTGCCCACCTCTGTTGCTCTTGCCGTGCAGCAGTCCGGCGCGTCGCGCAATGTGTACCTGGGCAACCTGCCCGAGGACATCGCTGAGGAGGAGCTCCGTGAGGACCTGGGCAAGTTTGGCGCCATCGACACCATCAAGATTGTGCGCGAGAAGAGCATCGCCTTTGTGCACTTCCTGTCCATCGCCAACGCCATCAAGGCCGTCTCCCAGCTTCCTCAGGAGGCCAAGTGGCAGGCCCCTCGCCGTGTCTACTACGGCAAGGACCGCTGCGCCTACGTGTCCAAGACGCAGCAGCAGAATGCCGCCCAGTACCTCGGCATCTCGCCTTCGTACGCCCACATGCTGACGGGCGCCGACCGCGACCTCATCTCGAGCGCTCTGGCCCAGCAGTCTGTCGCCGCCGCCGCCGTCGCAACCACGGCTGGTGGCCTCAACAACCTGGGCAACCGCACCATCTACCTCGGTAACATTCACCCAGAGACTACCATCGAGGAGATTTGCAACGTGGTCAGGGGCGGTCTTCTGCATCACATCCGCTACATCCCTGACAAGCACATCTGCTTCGTCACTTTTATCGACCCGACCGCGGCCGCCTCCTTCTATGCCCTCAGCAACCTTCAGGGCTTGATGATCCACAACCGCCGCCTTAAGATCGGTTGGGGCAAGCACTCGGGCGCCCTGCCGCCTGCCATCGCCCTGGCTGTCAGCGGTGGCGCTTCGCGTAACGTCTACATTGGCAACCTCGACGAGACGTGGACCGAGGAGAGGCTGCGCCAGGACTTTTCCGAGTACGGCGAAATCGAGCTGGTCAATACGCTTCGTGAGAAGAGTTGCGCCTTTGTCAACTTTACCAACATCGCCAACGCCATCAAGGCCATCGAGGCGGTGCGTAGCAAGGACGAGTACAAGAAATTCAAGGTCAACTTTGGCAAGGACCGTTGTGGCAACCCCCCGCGTCAGCTGCAGCAATCGCAGATCACCTCGCCGCGCTCCGAGGGTCTCCCGTCGCCGCCTCCCAACGGCACTAGCCAGAATGGCAACTCGCCTACCCTGACCAGCCCACCTGCCTCGGCTCCCCCGGCCCTCTTCAACGCCACCAGCAACCCCCTGACGCTGTACCTGAGCCACGTGTCCCAGCAGGCCCAACACCAGCAGCACCAGCAGCAGCAGGTGCTCATCAACCAGCAAGCCGCCCTCTTCGGCACCGCATCCTCGTCGCCCAACGACCTGTCCCTCGAGGTTCCTCACCCTGCCTCGGCTGGTCACCCGCCATCCAACGGTTTTGCCGGTAGCGGTCCCGCTTCTGCCAGCTCGACCGGCCCGACGACCATTGGCGGTCTCCTGGCACCTAACCGCGGTCAGCACAACCGTGCTGTCAGCCTTCCTGTCCTGGCGCCCGGGTTCGAGAACGGTGGCTCCGGCTCCAGCGGCCCTCAAGGAGTCCACGGTGGTGGCGAGCGGAGAGGTCACCAGTACCAGGCCAGCTTCAACGGCGGCTTCGGCGGCCTAGCCCTTCAGGGTGGTCTGAACGGCTGGGTTGAGGAGGAGGTCCCCAACTGAAGCGACCTACGCGTGCTATTGCAACACCATTTATGAAACTTTGCTTCGACCTTGTTGTCTTGTTTTTTTTGCATATCCGTCAAGCATCTTCATCATATTGAATCATCTTATTACCACCATCATTACGAGGGCGACGCTGTGTGGACGAGGTTGAAAGGGTGTTGGGTTTTCGATTTCGAATTTGTTGTTTGTTCCACGGTGCATGGTTTGCTTCAACCATCATCATCACTATCCCGGGGGGTGTTGAACATGGCCCTGCCCGCAGATATTCTGCCGCGTTGCCAGCTGCCCCCTGTTTTCATCTCTAATCATTCGTATTTCATGTATCATCTTTTTTATATGGGTTTGCCCAACCCCGTTCTTCCTCCCACCTAGCTCAGGCCCAGACGGCCTTGACGAGGCGTCCTTCTACGGACGCCTCGCGCCCTTTGCTGCCCTACCCTAGGGGCAATAGAAATGGGTCTCGAATCGACGAACCTCATGCAGTGGAGGCTCAGCGTGGGTTGGTGGGAGGACGGACACCGGTAATGAGGCTGTCGCAACGCGCAGCCATTCCTCGGTCTAACGGGGGTTGACAACAGTGTCATGCTTTATTATGCATGGTCGTCTCGAGTCGAATGTGCTCCTTTGGATATGATAGTGGACGTGTCGAAGAATGCGAATAAAAAAATCTCACATCATCTTGGGCTGTTTTGTGCGTGAGACACTCTTGTAATATCCTAGTCGCTGACGCCATGTCATACGAATGAAACTTTGCTGTGGGTGTGTTGAGGATCAGACTGGTAGACCACTCCCAAAGACAACGAGCAACGGCGAGGGCGATAAGAGGCAACAAGAAGACAAAACAAGGTACACAACCTCACCACGGAAACGTCCGGATTAGTGAATACTTGGTATATTAGTCGTCTTGGACATGAAGTTGACGATCAACCTCATCTCTCAAACAGGTAAACGAGTGAACAGAACCGGATTTTGGGCGAAAAGAGAGATGGGCATCGATCCTTCTCCCACCCGTCGCTACACCAATACCCCCCTTCCTCGGGCTGGCCATTGAGAATAACTGAAGCCCGTCAAAGATGCGGGTCCCCCTGATGAGATTTACGGATATCCGAGAGAGGGACGTGTGTGTGTGTGATAAGCGAAGACCAAGTATCAAGTATTAGACGGGGAGATAAGTATAAGACGGTAATGACAGGACGTGTCGGGTCAGATGTTGGGTTCGGACACGACAGCTGGTGGGCTTGAACGAGAGAGCGTGTCGGAGCCGTGCGACGTTGTGGGTAGGGACACCAAAGAGAAGGGAGAACAAGGAAATCGAGATGATATAAGAGTGCTGGTTCATGTTGTCGCGCTTCTGTTTCCAGAAGCGCGGTCGTGGACGGAGCATCAAGCAGGGGCCGTCAGGAGACCTGGTGTCAGCATAGTCGACACCCTCTCCTTACTTGCCATTGCTCTTCCCCGCGATGCTGCCGTCCGCGACGACGGGCCGGGAGCTATCCTCCGACCCGCCCTTTTTGGCCCCGCGGCGGCGGGGGCGACGCCCTGTATTGTTGTTGTTGCTGTTGTTGTTGCCGCTCCCCTCGCCGCCCTGGCCGTCGCCGGGCTGCGGGGGCCGAAAGACCTCCTGCATCTCGTTGGCGATGCGGACGTCGACCTGGCGGGACCGGACCGACTTGCCGTTGAGGCTCTCGATGGCGGCCTCGGCCCACTCCGGGGTCGTGAAGGTGGCGAAGGCGTGGCACTTGCGGCCGCGCGCCGGGTCGGCGGGTATGTGCTTCACGCGCAGCAGGCCCTTTTCCGACCCGGCCCAGCGCTCGACGAGCTGGAGCACCTCGGCGTAGGTGGACTTGTCGTGCAGGTGGCGGATGATGATGCGCCGCCGCACTAGGTTCGTCACCATGTCGCCGCCGCCCTGCTGCTGGGGCTGGGGCTGGGCCTGCTGTTGCTGCGTGAACTGCTGTTGCTGCTGCTGGTCATGCTGCTGGGGCTGGGGAGTGGCGAAGTAGCCACCGCCACCGTAGACGGCGCCGTATCCACCGTCGTCCGCGTAAAAGTAGCCGACGGCGCCTTGATCATCAGTGTATCCGTAAGTCAAGTTTTGGCCCGTTACGAGCTGGCCGTTGCTGTCGTAGTACTGCCCATATTGGGTCTGATCGTTGGTGTAGATGTGGTTGGACGGATCCTGACCCGAGCTATAGGAATTGAACGCCGAACGGCCTGCATCTTCTCCAATGAGCTCCTTGAGTGGGCCAGCCTGTCGTTAGAGGTTAGCTTTTTCTCTGGCGCATGGTAACAAGGGACATGTGTTCTTCCTTGTGAAATGCTTTTTTTATTTATTTCTCTACCCAAGTGGCGGAGATATAATGTGACGAGACTCACATGGCCAGGGCCGGACGGAAAAGGGGAAGAGACGGGCGCAGCAACAGGAAGATTGCGGCCCCTTGGCTCGAAAGTCGGGCTGCAAGGGCGGGAGAGTAGCGGCGACCCGGGCGTGGGTGGCAACACCGGGTCGGCGGGACCCCAGAGGTCGGTTACATGAGTGGAGGTCACAGAGCCATGGGCGTCGGGCTCGGCGTAGACGCCTGCAGCAGCATCCTGCTCACCTGCAGGCTGGACCTGCAAGTCAGAGCCAGGCCCGCTGCCGCGGAGGTGCCTGTCACACAGCCTTGCTGCCGCATGCACTGCCAAGGAAAAGGCCCGTATGGTCAGTCAACTGCCTGCTGACGGGGCGAGGACTGGAAAAGAAGAGGAAAGAAAAAAGACAGGGGGAGCTTAACCGACTTACTATTGAGCACCTATTGGCTGAGCCTGGGACAAGGGGAGGGCTGGTCAGCGAACCCAAGATTTTCTCCTTGAAGAGAGCACGACAGGGCAGATCCGGGCCAGCGGTCTAGGTATCTATCTCACGTCAGTATCACGCACACCCACAGGCTGCCGGCACTCTTGACAGATTTCTCAAGTAGTGGACGGGAGCTGTGAAACGCCGTGGGACGGCAAACTGGACCCGTCTTTCCGTCCTCTGTCGGCGATGGTGCGGGCGCGAGGCTCCCTTGGGCAGCACACGATCTGCCTCGAAGACGTACAGGGGAATCCGGTAAGAAGGACTTGGCAAATATGCCGCCTTTTGGGGGCGATGAGTGGTCTAGATTCAACGCGGAGCCGTGGGTAGGTGACACGGGCCGGAACGAAGCTGATAGGAGTGACGGTGTAGAAAGGGGATATGTCGGCCTTGGAGCTTGCAAACTGCCCTGGATCCCGGGTACCGGGAAGTTGGTATATAAGCCCAAGCATTGTTCTCGCGAAGGGGCCTCACTTGCCCGTGTATCGGTATTCCATGACCTTCTTGCCATTCCATCTCGGCGGACTCGGGCGTTCCATGTTTGTCTCCTTCATGCAGGAGAGCAAACAAGCAGCTCACTCTTGACCTTCAATCGGATGCGAGCCCACCTCCACTTAGCCTAGAGGCCCAGGCGCAAGGAGGAGAACGATTATTCGGTTCCTCTCATTCACCCCCCACCCCCCACCCCCCCCCTGGCCCTCGTGGAAAGAATCGTTGTGAAGTCATGACCCAGGAGGCATTCGATACGGCATTTTCTGAGACTAGTCATGGCCACGTATGGGCTCGCAGGTTCTGCTTGAGTGCGGCTCTCCTACATCGTCAGCAGTGCCGACGGCATCCCACCGGTGGACGCACGGCACAGCGACAGTGAAAAATTGGTTCGGTCTTGGCACAAACATGGTTGGGCAGTGTTGTGTTGCCCATCCCACGAGAGCTGTGCGTTTCTGCTTTTTTTTTTTTCTTCTCTGCACTCTTTTTCGTCTCCTTCATTTTCATCGTCATTCCCTGTTCTTTTAAGGTGTTCAACAGGGTTGCATCCGATGGGTTGGTGATAATGCCCATTCTTGCAGGCGCTATATGCATGTTCAGGGGCCAGGGTGTCGTGTAGAACCGCACACACCCCAGCAAGCCTTGCAGGCTTACGCAATGATAGCGTGCCGCGAGCCTTGGTGGCACAGAGTCTCGATGGATTGAAAGCAAGGATGACAAAGTGGCAGGAATTGCACGCATCGTTCGAGCCGCAGCCAGAGCTCCATTCCAGTGATGGAATGGCAGCGGGCATTGGATCAGCATCTTCCCGACCCCCACCACCACCTATTACGGTATGCCGTTCGTCACATCGCTCCAGAGCCTTTCAGGCAAAGAGAGTCACTCTTCCCAATACTTTGACCTGCAGCGGTGATTGCAGGTGGCTGCAGATGCTCGGAACCGCGAGCCGGTGGGTGAGTGGACGGCTGATCCTCTCATCGAGGTGTTATTCTCGCTTATTGCCTGCGACCCCCCCTTCTTCTCCCTGACAGTCAGGCCGTAGTTGCCTCGTTGGACTATTATAGTCTTGAGCTTCTTGGCCTGGATCATTTGTTCCGCCTAAAATGGAATGTATCGTCGAGCGGTTCATCGTCAGACTCGTCGCCACCGAATGGTGCCGAAAAGAGATCGAGCGTCGACTCGTCGCGGCTGTCGGAATCTTCTTTCCACGGTGGCGATTTATTGTCATCGCTGCCCAGGGAAGCCAAGATGTAGCTGCTCGTATCTGTAAAGAAGAGAGTAGGCACCTCGGTGTCTTTAATGTCCAACCAGGAGCAGTGGCAGGAGGCGGCCGACTTGGCCAGTGCGCCTCCACGTAGGAAATCGACGGTTCTCGGGCTTGGGGAGACAGTGTCCCAGACAAAGGCCAGGCTGGAGTGCTGGTCGCCTTCGCACCGAATCAAGAGGGTGCTGGGAATACTGGGATGCCAAGATATGGTCGTGACATTGGCGTGGAAAAGCAAGGCGGAACGAAGCACGGCCTTCCGCGTATCCCATATCCATACGGTAGCAGGCCAGTCGCCAAGGACCGATGCCATGAACGTCGAGGTGGTGTCGAAGGCCATGTGGGAGGGTCCAGTCCTCAACTCGGCATTCTCACTGGCCGGCCGGCCGGCGGGAAGAAGTGCCTGGTGTTTGCTTTTTACGAAATCGACAGGGATGGGGCGCTCCCCGACCGGAGACGTGGCTAGATTCTGCTGGTAGAGCTGCGCAGACAGACCGCCCTGTTAATACATGAGCTAGACAGACGCAAGGGCTGGGGGGTTATCCAGGTGGATGGTGCCGCTGGACTGCAGCGGGATGGTGACACAAAAAGAAAAGAACCCCACCTCTAGGTCCTCGGTTGGGGCGATGGCTGCAGGATGGTTCAGTCTAACCGCCTCGACAATGGTGGCCATGTCCAGCAGATACACGGTGCGGCTGAAGTCCGCCAGAGCCATCCGGCTCGAGTCCGCGGCAAACTGCAGCAGCTTGACCCCGGCACCGAGCGACAGATAGTCGCGGGTGGCTGCATCCAGCCCGGCCTGGGGCCCACTCCAGCACTTGAAAAGCTGGCCGTCCGGAGTGTAGAAGAGCACCTTGTGGCCGTGGGCGGGGCCCTCCCACACCACCAGCCACCGGCCGTCCGGGCTCCATGACAGGCCACTAGCATCGACGGTCTCGGCGTTCCACGACCGCTGCATATCACGCATTCGTGGGTGGTGGACGCTAACCAGGTCCCTGGCGCTGGTGCGAGTCAGCACCGCCAAGTGATGGGTGCGCGGCCGGAACGAGAAGGTCCTGGCCGCGGTGGATGCGCCGTAGAACTTGGGGTTGGCGATCTCGACCGTTCTCGACACGGCCAGGTCGAAGACGGACAGTTTCAGGCCCAGGGACGAGGTCATGCACACCTCAGCATCCGAGGCGCCAAAGTCGACAAAGCCCAGCTTCAGCCCAGGGGCAAGGGGGTTGCGGACGACGGCGTGAAACGCGGCGTCCAGAGCGGAGAATACATGGAGCTGGTCCATCGAGGCGACAAGGAGGCGGCGTGATGACGGGGACCACCTGAAGGCCACAAACGGCGGCGACAGGTCCCGGGGCAGCTCAATGACGTTTGCCAGCTGAAGGGACCTCACCCGGCGGATGCCGATGGCAGAGGGGGAGGTCAGGGTGGCCACTAGCTCTCCATCGGGGCTGGGGAGGCAGTGGCTCGAGGCTGTGACGGAAAGGGTGAGCAAGGGCTATGCAGGCCAAGGATGCATCACACTCCCATTTTCAGAGCGAGTGTTTGTGAGTGGTGGTCGTACCGCCAAAGCTGCGCGAGAAGCGAGTCTCGGCAGGCATTGTCGGGAGAGCAAATAACCTGCTTGTTGAAGATGTAGGCAGCCGGTGGCGCCTCGGAGGCCGGTCGAGGACGGTGGAAGGCGGACCGAGATGGGAAAGGCCCAGGCTCCTGGTTATGTAGAGCTGGGGCGCTGCTGAGGCGCTGGCTGGGTGCTTGGCTCCTTGGGTGCGCACCTAGCCGACACCAGTTACCGGGTTATGGCTGGTGCAGAGCTGGCGACTTGCAGTGAGGAGTGAGGTCACTGATGCATGGAGCCTGGCTCAACCCGACTTGAAGAGGCTTGCTTGGTGGGTCTTTGTTTGTTGTGCCGTTGCCTGATTCGGTTTAGGCCCCCCTCGACGGCACAATTGGCGTCGAAAATCGAGGATTGGACGAGACAAAGAGGGCAAGATTAGACCAGTCGCCGTTCCTCGCGCCTGCCAATCGAGCATTGCACATGACTACCAACAGAGATCTCTGCCTGTAGCTCAGCTCAACCTGGAAAATGGAACCTAGGCGCTGTGTGTGGATACTGTGTAGCACCAGCTATCAGACTGACGCATCCTCACCAGCATCTTTACCCCACATCAAGCGCCTTTTTGACAGTACGAATTGACCATCGAAAAATGCATGTCGGAGATGGGATTTGGCCTTCGCCACCCCGGGATATGTACCTAGACATTGGACAAAAGCCACCCTGCAGAAACTAGACAGGCCTCGAGGGCGCTGACTCATTGGCCGGGACCTCCAACTTTGCTCTCGTACTTGGACTCTTATCACCGGACCTCAGTCTCAGCTCAGGGCACCGGACTTTCGCACCTGGAGCTTTGAAATCCATCTTTGAGCCACCGAGTCTTATCGAGAATGGGGCCTCAGTCGCTTGCTGAGTAACAGCGCAGCTCCCTGTTCTTTTCTCTAAAGGCTCAAGGGGCGGGCCCAGCAGCAGCGTGCGCCTGGAACGGGACGAGGAGAAATATCGAATCCCAAATAAGCTCTGTGCCTCCTCCTGAGCCATGTGGCCCAACGCTGTGTCACATGGCCGGCGACTCGGCATCCGAAATGCCCGGGTGCCACGGCCTTGTGGCGTCTCTGGCATCATGGGTGCTGCGCCCTTGGCGAGGAGAGCAGTTGCGACGTCGAGCGGCATAGGCCAGAATCCGCACTTCCCCGGTCCGGGGACCGACGACGGAGCCGGCCCGCCGGCCATGCCATCCCACACCAGGCGGGACGGCCTCAAGGGCGCCAGGCCCTTCTCAGACTTCCTGACCGACACCTTTAGCCGGCAGCACGACTACCTGCGCATCTCGCTGACGGAGCGGTGCAACCTGCGCTGCGTCTACTGCATGCCCGAGGAGGGCGTGCCCCTCTCGCCGGACCGCGAGCTGCTCACCACACCCGAGGTGCTGCTGCTGTCATCCGTCTTCGTGTCGCAGGGCGTGACCAAGATCCGGCTCACAGGTGGCGAGCCCACGGTGCGGCGCGACATCGTGCCGCTGATGCGGCAGATGGGCGACCTGCGCCGCCACGGCCTGCACGAGCTGTGCCTGACCACCAACGGCATCGCGCTGCACCGCAAGCTCGAGGCCATGGTCGAGGCCGGCCTGACGGGCGTCAACCTCAGCCTCGACACGCTCGACCCGTGGCAGTACCAGGTCATGACGCGGCGTAACGGTTTCGAAGCCGTGCGCCGGAGCATCGACCGCATCCTCGAGCTTAACCGCGCCGGCGCCGGCATCCGCCTCAAGATCAACTGCGTCGTCATGCGCGGGCTCAACGACGCCGAGATCGTCGACTTTGTCGACCTGACGCGCGACGCCGACCTCGAGGTGCGCTTCATCGAGTACATGCCCTTTGACGGCAACCGCTGGAGCGAGCGCAAGATGCTCGGCTACCGCGAGATGCTCGACCGCATCCGCGAGGCCCACCCGGGACTGCACCGCGTCGCCGGCCACAAGAATGACACGTCAAAGACGTTCCAGGTGCCCGGCTTCCGCGGCCGCGTCGGCTTCATCACGAGCATGACGCAGAACTTTTGCGGCTCTTGCAACCGCCTGCGCATCACCAGCGACGGGAACCTCAAGGTCTGCCTGTTCGGCGAGGCCGAGGTGTCGCTGCGGGACATGCTGAGGAAGACCAACGCCGGGGAGCCCATTGACGAGGCCGCCCTGGAGAGGATGCAGCTGGCTGCCGCGACCCAGATCCAGGAGGCACAGCGGCAGCAACAGCAGCAGCTACAGGCGACGGACACGGCCCCCGATACCACCGCACCCCAACTACCCATCACCGTGCCAAACTCGCAGGAGCTCCTGGATCTTATCGGCATGGCCGTGAAGCGCAAGAAGGCCAAGCACGCTGGCATTGGCGAGCTGGAACACATGAAGAATAGGCCCATGATCCTGATAGGTGGGTGAACCCCTCCTGTTTCCTGTTTCCTCTTCTTATATAGTCTACTTCCCAATCCTGGGGGCCGAGAAAAGGGTGAGGGCTGGGAAATAAGGCCAGTATCTTGGACTGGCATATAGGTCCATCTATCTTTCTGTGTCATGAGTATTGTTGCATATGGGTCGGCGTTTGAGTAGGCAGTTGAGGCTACCAGCAGGACATCGGGGCGTCCAGCGAAGGCCATGCTCTGGGTACATATTCTTGGCGTTTCTGGGCTTTAGGGAAAATCTACGACCAATTAAATGGACAGCAATGGCTAAGCATCTTGCTCCTGGCACGCTAGATACCAACAACTTGGAGCAACGGCACGACAATCCAATGCGGCCGTCTCCGAGGACAGTAATAGGCCGCACTGCCGTCTCATCACGAACTCGTGTCGTACCGTGGCACCTCCTGTCCCCCTCGGACGCAGCCACCGGCAATTTCCACGCGCGGCTATTCTCCACATACGGCCGCCGGCTGAAGCAGCAGAAAGGCAAGGACGGCGGCGTCAACGATGCGGACTCGATCGCAACCAACAAGCCAAGCCACCACGACGACAGCAGCAGCAGCAGCAGCAGCAGCAGCAGCCAACTCAAACTCACGCACATCTCGGCGTCGGGGGCGGCGCACATGGTGTCCATCTCGTCCAAGGCGGCCACGTCGCGCGTGGCCACGGCCGCTTGCACCGTCGTCTTCAGCTCCCCGACGGCGGTGCGGCTGATGCGGCAGAACCGGATGGGCAAGGGCGACGTGCTGGCCGTGGCGCGCGTGGCGGGCATCATGGCGGCCAAGCGCACGCCGGACCTGATCCCGCTGTGCCACCCGGTGGCCGTCTCGCACGTGGCCGTCGAGCTCGACGCGGACTCGGGCCAGGAAGAAGAAGAAGAAGAAGAAGACTGCCGCCGGGTCGAGGTGCGCGCCACGGTCGAGTGCGACGGCAAGACGGGCGTCGAGATGGAGGCGCTCACGGCGGCGGCGGCGGCGGCGCTGACCGTCTACGACATGTGCAAGGCCGTCGACAAGGGGATGCGCGTCGAGGGCCTGCGCGTCGTGCTCAAGGACGGCGGCAGGAGTGGGAGGTGGGTCGAGGGCGTGCCGGCGGGCGGCGGCAAGGACGGGGCGTGAGCGGGGCGAGGCGAGGCGGGCAGCAGAAGCGGGTTGCCCAGGTATTGTTTGCATATACTGTACTAAGGCGCCCGGATCGGGGCAATGAGCGAGATGGAGATGTGGGCTCCGTGGGTGGGCTTGTACTGTAGCCCTGGAGGAGACGCAGGAAGATGACGGAGGAGGAGGAGGGGGTGAGGGGCAAGGCGGGCTCGCTTCGTTTGGAGATGCGCGAGTTCACGCAATATCTTGGGGAGCTATTACGTACCTACGTGCCTACCTAGGTACCGAGGCGGCCTTGTCCATACACAGCCGCCTTGGCTCTGTTCGTTGCGTTTGGTGGAGGGAAAAAGACAGAGCCTGGACCATCCCATCCCCCGTTGCCTCACCGAGACCCGAGGGGCTGGAGGGGCTGGAGGGGCTCCCAGGGCCGGGCCCCATCGACGCCATCTCTCGAGATGGACCCCTGGACCCTTGGATGGGAGTAGCCATTAGCTAACAGCAAAGCTCCGAGCGGCCATGCCGTGCATAGCTGGGCTCCACTGGCGCTGGCTCGCATGTGCTTTTTTTTTTTTTTCTGTCTCTCCTTCTCCAGCGCTAAATAATTGATGGAGCCATCAAAAGGCCCCACGGCTTTGGCCGAACCCAACTTTCAATCAAATCTCGGCGACTAGTGGGAATCGTATATTGTTTGATCTGCGCGATGTGGCAGGAATACATGTCATCGTTGCGGGCGTAATATCTAGCCGACCTTCCCGATCCGTTGGCCGGCGCCGAGGAAGGACAGCCAGACACGACGGGCCAAACGTCGTCGAGAGAACCAAGGCACTTGACGCTCTCCACAGTCTGCCTGCTTGCCTGCCTGCCTGCCTGCCTGCAATGGTGGCGATCCCCCAGCCCCGGCTTGCCGTTCTGGTCTGTTCTGGGACTTGCTGCCCCGCTACTACACACTACCACCCGCTTGCTAGTGCGGCATTTGAGTGGCTTGCCACTTGCTGCTGCTGCTGCTGCTGCTGCCCCTCAACGCCCCCGTTCGACATGCGCCTAAATGTTCTTCCCTCCTTTTTGGGGGGGAGAAGTGGTGCTTTTGCTTTGCCTGCCGCGAATGCCCCGTACGTGGCCATTGCTTGTTGGGTAGGCGCCGGCTTGGAGGGGGAGGGGCGGTTTGGGGCGGATGGGGGAATGGGCTTGGCTTGCAATGCGAAAGCGGTAGACGGGTCGACGAAGCTGGTAGCCCGGCTACGGGCAGAAGGAGATGGCGTCGAATGCACAAACCGCACAAACACAGAGAGAAAAGAAAAAGGCATGAATTTGATGATTCTTAGTGTGTGTGCGGCGGGCAGACACTGCCGACTGCGTGAATTGGAGCCCCATTGCCCAAGCTGTCACGTCCAAGGTGTATCTCATTCATACTTCCCATGCCCGTGCACTCTCCTATTTCTTCCATATCCTCCTATGCATTTCTTTCTGGATACCGTAGCCGGCATTCAACCAACCGTGCCAACCTATCACGCTATGTTGTGCAGCGACAAGGGCGCGGGCGATTCGTCAACGGCATCTCCCATGGGCTGTAACCCACATGCTCCCATTGGCCCACACTTGTCTACGGCTTTGGGGCAAAAGGAGCATCTCCGGTCTGGCTGGGCCATTGAGGGGAGGGATGGAGGGGTTACTTGCAGGGCGATCGAACGCGGCCACAGATCTACGGTGGTGCTAGGGGGGTTTGGAACGTTAATTATAGCACTCTCCGTCTTCGCCCGACTAATTTCTACCCGTATTGTCACTTGCGCGTCTCTCCCTCCATCCCCGTATCCCCCCAGACCCTTCTTACTCTACCACATATAGCCGCAATGTCACCTTTCCAGCGAACGCCCATGGATGGGCGGGCTTTCCAACACGCCGGGTTTGGTCATTTTGGAAGCTGCGGCCCGTGCTTTCTTTCCCTGCGTGGCAAACCGACCAGTGTGTCCGTCCGTGCAAACCATGTCGAGTTGCGTTGCGCTAGCGTTGGCAAGTGTTGGCAATTTTTGGCCAATGAAGGGGTGCAGAGATAAGACGGGCAGGGCCAATGAGGAAACAGGTTATAGATGCCCAATTGGATATTCCCAGGCCCGGCAACGGGCGGGAGGCGAGTTTCGGGGGGTCCAACGGAGCAAGATGGACGACTTATTGCCGTGCCAGTCGAATCGAGCAAGTCCATCCAGCCCCCCGACCTGCCCGACAAAGGACGTCAACTGCCTTGCCTTGCCTTAGCTCTAGGGAACCAAGACGCTAGCACGTGAGGTGCGAGCATAGGTGGATGCGAGGCGAGGTGGCCAGTTGCTTTTTTTTTTTTCTCCAGCAAACGTCAGACCCGCCGGCGCCTCTTCAGACGGGAAGTGAGTTCAAGAGCCGACCTTCCTCCTGGGCTCCAATGGGCGCTCCTGTTGACGCCCAACGTGGCGCTGCTGCGCTCCGGAAAAAAGAAAAGGTCCCTTGCAAGAAAACATCCGCCCCCCTCACCGAGCGCATGCGCTGCAAGATCGCCAGGGCGGGTCTCTTTCGTGGAGCGCGGTGCGCCGGGGTGGGGGTCCTGGGTGGGAACCTGCGGATTGGGGAGCCCCAGCTTCGTGCTTCTTGTGGCGCGTGCTCGCCTGCCCCGTTTGCTGCTTGACCCAAAAAAAAAAAAAAAAAAAACGGCCAAAACCATGGCCCCGTCGACCGCCATCCCAGCGCAATCGCGCCAGTGGCCGCAGAGAGGTCCTTACCTGCAGCCAAGCGCTGCCGTCAACGCTACGAGGGGCTCCTGGACCCTGCGCCAACCTGCTTCAGACCAGCGAGGCCGAGTCAGTCTCCCGCATGTTCGTGGGACAACAATCTAGTGTCTCTCGAGGTGAAGGGTGAGGGGCCTTCCTGGCTTTGTCTGTTTGGACACATCATTGATCCCTTTTGGACAGGTGGACGGGAAAAGGGGGTCCATTGGCGGCGACTCGCGATGGAACGAGTCGATATTCAAGCAGCAAAGCAGTGGAAGCGGTGGCCCCGCACGAATCTCTCCTCGGCAGCGGGCATGCACCACAATATGGGTGTATACTATACGTATTTCGAGTCTTTCGAGTGAGGCTGGGCTGTCCCCCACTGTTTTTCTCTGGCCTCCATCACGCCAATGGGGAAGAGTGGATCGCCAAGCATAGAGACATCGACGATGGGCGGCCGAGGCTCGTCATTCTGGTGGCGCCTTTTTTCCCCTCCCATGCGCCTGCAGCGTCCTCGGAGGCGATCGCGATGGTCGCCTGAGGTCTGCGTCCTAATTGCCAATAGCAGACAAGCAGCGTAGGATTATGTGCTTCCATGCCTTGCCATCTTCGAGATAGCGCGTGTCGGGACCGGACGAGCAGACCGGTCAAGAGAACTTAACCGTTTTCGGCCCTGCGAACTCGGCACCCAGCGCGGCGTCAGCGTCGAGGCCATGCATGCCGCTTTCGAGGTCCTGGCACACCCCCCCTTGGCTTTGGGGGCACCCGTCGGCAGCAGCGGAGGAGGAGGAGGAGGAGGAGGAGGAGGAGGAGGAGGAGGAGGAGGGAGGGGCACAGCGGCGCGGGCATGGGAAAGGGAGGGCACGCAGGAAACAAACGAGCAGCGATAATCGATGCGACGGGTGCTCACCGCATCAGCATGGTCCGGGATGCCCTTGTCCATGGTATCTTTTTTGGGGGGGGGGGGGGGGGGGGGACGCTGGGGGGAGGGGAGAATCCACTGTTGCGCAGAGCTGGGTGCCGTTGCCGTGCACCACCATGGCGATGCATGTACCCACCAGACGCCTATGGCATGGCCTCTGCGTTTTGTGGATGAAGCTAGGTTTCAAGGCACTTTACTTGTTAGTAGCACACCCACATCGCGGGCTAGGACATGCATGGAAGAAAGGACACATACGCAGCAGCGAGCGCTGCCTCCTGCGGTGCTGCGGTGCAGCTGAGAGAGTGCAGTGGGCCGAGGCCTTCTTCAGACGTTATCTGAAGCCACTGTCTTCACCGCCAACTGGGAGGGCGGGGTGTTACTAGTAAGCATGTCGTCAACATGTACTAGGCTTGATGCAAACCTACCTGGGATCTACTATAGGGTGGGAGGCTTGTCTGGCAGTAGGTTGGTTTGGAGGTACCTGGTTGGAGGTACCTGGTAGAGCAAACAGCTTCCCCGCCTCGTTTCCCCTCACCCTCTTCATCGTGCTGTGCTGTTGTCTTGTGCCTTTGTCTTGTGCCTTTTTCTTCTTCCATCTCCTCGTCGACGAGCCGCCCACCCGCCCGGTCGTGCATCGAAGGCGCGTCTCCATCAATCTCCAGCAAGCAGGCGAGACGAGGCGAGCCCAGGCGGGTGGTGGACGGCGCTGGCTGTCACTGCTCCCGGGCTGCTGGGGTCTGTCCTGTATGCGAGCCCCACATGGACTCGGACTGCAACGCTACAGGCAACGCTACAGGGACTGGGCCCGAGGCGACAGCGAGAAGCGACGGCCAATCACGTTGGGCCTGATAACGGCCAAACGCCCGACCGCAGCCGCAGTTCCGCTGCCCAGACCCCAGCAGCGCTGTGGCACCTCGGCGCTGTCGGCACCACTGAGACCCTGCCAGCGCCAGTACTTAGGCTCAACCTCACCCGCCCGCCGTTGCCTTGCGCACAAGCTGCCGGCCCATTACATACATCAAATCAACCACCCACCAGACAGACCTCTCGGTCGGCCACCGTTCACCAACACCTTGGTCGTGTGTCACCCTAATCGCCCTCCCGCGCTCAGCCAGAAAGCCGACTGGAGCCGCCATTGTCTTGTGCCGTTTCGTTTCGCCATTGTGCTCGACGGCCGCCTGGATTCCATACCCCAACTCCCAACTTTTAGACTCCCACACCCAAACCCGTCGCGCCCTCTAATCATCGAAACGCTTTTCAAACCGTAATCGCCAGACATACGGCGCAGCCCGTACCTTTCGCATTTGGCCTCGGCTGCGGTCAACCTTGATAATAACCCCCACGCCAACTCTGGTCCCGTCGACGCCAGAAATAATAATCTCGCGCGTCTTTTCCGAGTCGACGCCATCATCGCAGCCACATAAAGTCCCATCACCACCACACATATCACGACGCCTGCACTCAACCACTCCCTCCTCCCTCCTCACCCCGATCCAACCATGGCCACGGCCGACTTCATCATGCCTCGGCTCCCCGATGCCTCGAGCCACAACCACTTTGGCCCTCCGACGCAGCCCATCCGCGCCGTTCATGTCCCCTACCAATCCAGATATAACCCCCAGATCTCGCCCCCGAGCAATATGAAGAGGCACTCGCCCACATCTCCCAAGGGCGGCTACCAGCCGTCGCGTCGCCCTCTCTTCGTCCCTGCCGTCCTGCGCCCCAACGAGTTCCCCTCAAAGGAGCCTCCGACACGCAACGACGACGAGTGCGCTATCGCGGCCGACACCCCTGTTTCCTCTACCAGCAGCTTCATGAACCTGGCGGGCCTCGGCGCCATCGGCCGCCTTAGTCGTCGGTCCACTAGCGACAGCGGCCGCAGCGGCACCCTGGAGCCCGAGTTGAACGCTAGCCTCTTCCCCATCGTGTCTGCGCCACCGACGCGCAAGCATTGGAAGGTAAGTTCATCTGACTGGCCCTCCCGCGACGTTACTCACCCGCACGCCTCGGAGATTTGGCCCCGCAATGCTGACCTATCTTGTGTGTCACCGGTTCCAGGCCGACGAGCGTTCCACCATGTGTGACGATCCATCGTGCACCAAGCAGTTCGGCTACTTCACGCGCCGCCACCACTGCCGGCGCTGCGGAAACATCTTTTGCGACCCGCACTCATCGCACCAGGTTCCCCTCGACGAGGATGCGCACTTCAACCCGCGCGGCGCCATGAGCCGCTCGTGCATCTACTGCTTTGGCGAGTTCCGCGTCTGGCACTCCCGCACCAGCAGCCAGGCCTCCAGCGAGACATCGTCCACGACGACGCGCCCCGCCACGCGCGCCTCGGCTGCGTCCTTCGGTGCCACCACCTCCAATGCCAGCACCAGGGCCACCACGGCACCCAGCAGCCCCACAAAGGCCACCTCGACGGGCGTTTCGCACGGTGAGCAGGGCAATGCTGCCGCCATCTGCGCCGCACTTAAGCCGACGCCGCAGCATGCCGAGGTCGCCCTGAGCGTCCCGAGAGACTGGAACTGGAGCACGTTCTAGGTCGACGTCTTCTCTCCCGAAACTCCCCCGCCCGACATGCTCTTCCCCCCGGAGAACATGATCCGGAACCCCAAGCCCATGTACGCCACGACCTGCAGCGCCCTGAAGAAGCGCTCGGCCCCTGAGGACCCTAGTCCCATGCCGGCGGGCCTCTTCCTCAACAACTCGGCTCCAGTTCCCATCCGCCAGGCGCGCCGCCGCCCCTACAACCCAGCGCCGCTCCCAGAGGGCTTCGTGGCCCGTATGGCGGCGGCAAGACGGGCCTGAGCCTTTCCAACTCGTCTCGATTCGACTGGTTGAGCTCTTGTAGCGCTCTATCTAGGGCAGTCATACCTGGTGTAACGCCCATTGGACGCCCTCAGCCTTGGGTGTAGATGGCCGGCCACAAACCGAACACTGGCCAGACTCCTCTGGTTGGAGAGATGTCGACTCTGTTCGATTTTCTCGGCTTCATACGTCTTTTGGACGATGGCGCCACTCACAGACCATATCAGCTTTTCTCACCCTTTCTGCTCCCACTTGCGCATGCCACGGCTTGTCACGCCGTCGGCCCCACTCGGGTCCTAATCGCCCTCACCTAATACTGTCGATCCTTCTGGTTGCTCCGCTATATAGCCGACTTTCGGTGCCTCCACCGTCGGCTTTGATTTTTGGACGTCATTTTTGTTGTGGCTGCGATTTTCTGCGTTTTCCAGCGGCATAATCTTGTTCTAGTTAACCGAGCTGCGGTTTACTGTTCATGGAACAATGTCCTGAAGGTGGCTTAGTACCATCAAGCGGGCAGCTTCAGAGGCTTGTTTTTGCCTCTTGGCAGGCTATCTCATGGCGACATGGCCAGCTAGCGTGTTGTTGATTTTCTCTGGCCTCCCTCACCTTGCGTTTACGTCTTTATTCGTTCCCACGTCTTAGACTTAGCTCGGAGTTCTTGGCGTTGAAAGCTTGGTTGTTTGCGCCCGAGTTTGAATGACTCCAGCGCTGGTTTTACATTAATTGATATTGATCGTGGTATTCTATTTCGTTATTGCCGTCTGTGTTGCCCGGTCACTCGGTATAAGCTTCCAAAACACTTTCATCATGGCCAACCTCCAGCCGTTGCGGCAAGCACACAGATCTTTATTCCGCCGTCCCAAGCCACGTACGTCTTTGCGATGATCCATCTCACCCGGGTCCTCCTTCGCTGAGCGTGTTGACGGCGATGCGACCCGTGGCGTCGATGGTGACGTGGAAGCTGAGGTTGAGTGGGACCGTCAGATACCGGGGGTCAAGAGACACCACGATCTCCGTGTTGGCGGCGTCCCCGAGCGCCCACGACGTCTGCCGTCTCCCCGCCACGGACCCGGCGTCGCCGCGGCCACTACCACCGCCGCAGCCGCGGCCGTCCTCGGCTGCCGGCACCTCCCACGTATCCGTATCCCATCCCGCGACGCGCGATAGGAAGGGCGCTGGCGATGGCGCCGCGGCGGCTCCGTGCTGCTCCCAGTACGTCTGCGACGACGGCGGCGCGGGCGACCAGGGCTGCCCGGCGGGACTGTGTGGTTCCTGCTGCTGCTGCTGCGGCGGCGGCAGGAGACTGTGTGTTGCCGGTTGGGCATAGTAGTACGGCTGTTGCGACGCGTCTGTGAAGGGCGTGTCGGCTCGACCTGCTGCGTCCACGGGGCTCCCGTCGGCGCGTGCGTGCGGCGGCGGCCAGTAGTCTAAGGACCCGTCAGCCAATGTGTGGTTTTCCGGGAGGACTAATAGCCGCGGGAAGCCAAAGGGAGGGAGGAGGAGGAGGACTGTGTTTTCTCACCAGCGGCATGGTCTCGTCCTGCCTCGGGGTACCGCGCCTCGTACCCTCTCTCCCGCTCCTCGGGCCCGTCGTATCCATCGCGATAATACTCGGTGGGGCGACGCGGGTGGTGGTCGTCTCGGCGGTTCCTCCCTTCGGCATCGCGGTGGTGCTCCTTGCTGCTATGGGGTTCTCGACACCGCGGTTCGGCACAGCGATGATGCCTCTTGGACGAGGTGGATTCCCGGGGGCGTCTGTGGAACATGTTGGTTGAGCTCGGGGACGAAAAAAAAAGTGCGCTGTCTTGGGAGGGTTGGTGGGTGCTTGGAAGAAAGACGGAAACCTGCGGGGGAGAGCCATGGAGCGCGAAAGGGTCACGGCGGGTCATCTTTATAGCCGCGATACCGGCTTTTCGGAGTTGGCACACCTGATCGGGCTGCCACACCAGACAGGCAGACGCCTTTATTGCCCTGCCGCTGAGAAAGGGAGGGGGGGGGAAGGGTTGGGTGTTCTAACGCAGGCATGCCCTCCCGTTAGACGCACGCGCCCTCTAGGGGTGGCTTGGGTATGGCGAAGCACTTGTCTGGCTTGGCTACAAAGAGGCCGTGGGGAGTCAGGCCGGGCGGGAGGGCATGTTGTATGGGGGTCTCATGGAGCCACGCCCGGCCTCAGAGGCGCACGTGGGATGATGCACACAGGAAACACGTAGACATAGGTATCGATAGAGGGGACCACGTTCTAACAAAGCTTGGATTCGCAGCGCGCTACAGGCAGAGGACATGTGCTTATCCTTCATCGTTGGTCATATTTCTCATCCGTGATTTGCGACTTGGATTCGTATTTGCCTTTTTATATCCGTCCCTCGACGTTTATTGGCTCCTTCGCTTTGGCGGGCGAACCATCCTAGGTCCTCCCGCCTTGGTTCGCCCAGGCACGGCCTAATGAGACGGGACCTCACAGAATAGGACAAAAGGAAAATAAAAAAAAAAGGCTAACGCTTACTTACAGATGCGCGAGATTCGACCAAGCGGCCCGGCTTCGAGAAGGAAGTGATTGGGCGGGCTCGATCGAGCCGCAAACCTAGCAAAAGCGGCCAACTAGCAGCAGCCTTGTGGCCTGACGTCAGATGTCCTTGCGTCGCGGAAACTGCGGGGCGCCAAAGGCTCCAGTTCAGCCACAAAGTGGCGCAAGCTCCAGGTGTAAAATTCCCGGCCCCCAATTGCAATAGAGCGGCGGAGGTTTGAGGCGCGTGCGTTTCTGGTGGGTGTGAAAGCTACTGAGGGTGCCCGCCGCGAAACCTCCGCCAGTCAGTTCTGCCCTCCCAAAAACCCCCCCGTAAACGGCGCAGACGAGTACCTACGAAAACGACGAGGCCGCCGCCGCCGCCCACACACAAGCTTGCCCAGCATGACTTCCACGATCGGCATTCCGATCAAGCTCCTAAATGAGGCCCAGGTAAGAGGCGGGGGAACGCAGAATCCTGCTGCATTTTTCTCTTTCGCGAGGCACAAGTAGTAGTAGCTAACGTCGGTGGATGCGCGCGCGCCCTCGCGACCACACAGGGCCACATCATCACGCTCGAGATCACGACGGGCCAGACATACCGCGGCAAGTTGATAGAAGGTATGCAAGGACTTGCCCGCCATATGCACATTGCGGCAAGACACCGTAACCTCTCCCCCTCCATCCCAGGCTAACAACAGAAAAAAAAAAAAAAAAAAGCCGAGGACAACATGAACATCCAGCTCCGCGACATCACGGTCACGGCCCGCGACGGCCGCGTCAGCCACCTGGACCAGGTCTACATCCGCGGCAGCCACGTGCGATTCTTCATCGTGCCTGACATGCTGCGCAACGCCCCCATGTTCCGGAGCCGCAACGTTAGGGGCCGCGGCGTCGGACTCGCCCGCGGCCGAGCCACCGTCAACAGGGCCCGAGGGGGAGGCGGCGGCGGCGGGGGTGGTGGTGGTGGTGGTGGCGGCGGTGGGAGGGGAGGCAGGGGCTAAGAAGCGAAAGATTCTTTGTTTGGTTCTGGAACGAAAGTGAGGACAGGCAAAGGGAGGGGGCGGGCTAGAGACCGTTTCCCGCCTGGCCGATCAAGAAAGCAGCCCCGCCGCTACGGCTATGACGGAGAGGCGAAAAGGGGACACGTCACTTTATGCCAGTTTCTCTGTTTCTGCGACAAAAACATAGACGATCCCCCCCAATGGCGTTTCTGGTTTGCGCGGAACGAAGTAGAGCTGGGGCGATATGCCTGATACCCTCAACCTAGATCTCATTTTGGAGGCGAAGCAACCTGATGCAAGAAGGACTGAAACCCGAATCGCCATGCCGTAAGATACACCGCTTTGCTTTTTTTTCTTTCTATAGTACAGGTTGCCAGAGAAAAACGCATTCCTCTCGTCTACTTGAGCTCCGCGAGCGCCTCCTCGGCCCGGCCGACCAGCTCCCTGGCCCTGGCGAGCTCGCGCGCAGCGTCGCCGCCGTGGTCCGCGCCGTCCTCGGCCGCGGTCCTCAACAATACCTCCTCGACGCTAGCCTCGACGGCCCTGACGGCCTTGCGGCCCTCCTCGCGGACCTGCCCCTCCCAGTAGGCCCTCGCCGCCTCCCAGCTCCGCTGCATGCGCCGCAGGCTCCACACGGTTCCCAGGGCGGCGACGGCGCCGGCCTCGTACGCGCCGCCGAGGGCCGACATGTAGGCCAGGACGCCGAGCGACGTCGTCAGCGTCGACGTGCTGAGCGCCTGCAGCACCAACTTCTGCGCCAGGGCCTGCAGCGCTGGCACGCTCTTGTTGAGCAGGTACCGCCGCGTGTGCGGGATGTGCGTCGGCCAGAGGGTGCTCGCGGGAGCAGCAACATCAGCAGCCGTTGCGGGCTCTTCCGCCGGGGTCGTCGTGTCCGCCGCCGCCGGCACCGCGGCCGGGGCGGGGTACTCGGGAGCCTTGCCGGCGGCGAGCCCCGCGCCGCTGATGCGCCCGGCGAGGTAGATGAGGTCGCGCTCGGCTGCGGGCAGAAACTGCTGCGCGATCATGTCGGCTGAGATCATGCCCACGTCATCGACGCGCCAGAAGAGCTTCCACCAGCCGAGCTTGCGCCAGCGGTGGCCCGCGAACGCGAGGTCCAGCTGGCCCTCCAGCTCGGCGTGCGCCGCCTCGGCCCAGCGCGACAGCGCCGCGTCTGCGTCGGTGGCGGCGGCCCTGCGGTCCACAGCCGCCGACGCGCCCCTGGCCTCGCCGGCCCGCACCGCCGCGAGCGCACCCCGAAGGACCGAGGCGACGAGCTGGCGCACAGCCGGCTTGGTCGCGGCCGCCCCGCCGTCCGACGACAGCGCCCCGGCCAGGAGCCAGTCTTTGACCCTGTTGATGTTGCTCTGGAACCACAGCGTCTCGTACTTGATCGCGTTCGCGACGTCCTGCCGGAACAGCGCGATGGCGTGCTTGCCGCCCTCGACGTCGACCCTGACGAACGGGTAGCCGGCGGCGTCGTCGTCCGTGACGCCCTTGAGGTCGACCGCGGCCGCTATTGTGTCGGTGCTGTCCGACACGGGCATGGCCGAGACCTGCGTGGCGCCCAGTATTCCATGGCCCACCACCAGCGCCTTGTGGACGGGAGTGGCCATCTGCGTTGCTCCGCCGGTGTTGGACGTCGGCATGTCGATCGCGGGCGTTAGAACCGCCTCCTCCAGCGCCGCCGCGACGGCCCCACTACCCTGCCCAAGTCCCATCGGGCCGATGTTGCCCGTCAACAGGATCTCGATGCCGTGTCCGTTTAGCGTGGGCGAGGACACGGACAGTTCGTCCAGCGCCGGGCTCTCCGCCGGCGCGGTGGGCGACACGAAGCTCGAGACGGGTTGCTCCTCGTGCGCCTGCGGCTCGGGCCGGATCCGGATCAGCAGCGGCCGGCTGTCGTCGTGGCCGGCCAGCCTCCGTTCCCACTCCTGCTCGGGCGACAGCGGGTCGGCGAGCACGGCCTGGAGTAGGCCCCTGGCTGTACCGCCGCCGCCGCCGCCGCCACCACCCAGGCCCAGCATGGCCAGGCGCACCGACTCTCTGCCAGCATCCTGGCGCAGGCCCTGTAGCGCCAGCTGGGTGCGGGGCAGGTTGACGTAGCCGGGCGCATGCCTCTGGAGCTGCAGCAGAGCATCCTCCAGCTTCCTGCGGGGGTTTTCGGTGGTTGTGGGCTGCGGAGACGCCGTGGTGGTGGCCGGCTCTGCCCGTGGTGGTGTCGTGGTGAGCGGCCGGGACGGTGGCCGTCGCTGTCGTGGCCAGACGCCCGCCCTGGGGCTCGGTCGGCGCGGGGCGAGGGAGCAGAAGAGGCAGACGGACGGTACAGAAGCCCCGGCTTGCCTGCGTAGGCTGCGGGCGGCGCCCGTGAGGGCTAACCGTGGCGGCATGACTGTCAGGTTGTGGTTGGGGCAGAGCTAGATTCCATAGTTTGCATAGAGTGAGTAGGCTCTGCGAATTCAATTGCGTGCTGCTAGCGCGTGCTGGGCCGTTTGGGGGTGTGTTGGGGTTCCATAATGTGGGGTCGGGCGGCGGCCGATCCTCCCTGCGAGTCAGCTGGAATAGTGTGCGCCCGCCCAGCTGGGGACGTCATTGGGCTTGGGAACCTAGCTTCAGGATGGGCAAAGCCATATAGCAACAGCCCGCGACCAGCGACTGTTCCCCTTTTCTCACGTCAACCTCACACCTCGTCAAATCCATTCACTTTTCACTTGATTACCCCGCAGAAAATGGCCCAGTCCACCGCCCACCGCCGGCTCCTGCAGGAGTACCGGGCCCTGACCAACAACCCGCCCGAGGGCATCACGGCCGGCCCCGTCAGCGAGGACGACCTGCTGCACTGGGAGGCCATGATCATGGGGCCCGAGGGCACCCCCTTCGAGGGCGGCGTCTTCCCGGCCGAGCTGCGCTTCCCCAAGGACTACCCGCTGGCGCCGCCGAGCATGAAGTTCCTGGGCGAGATATGGCACCCCAACGGTGCGTTTTCTGTTCTACACCAAAGTAGAGATGGGGTGATTATTGACACTTCCCGACGACAAAAGTCTACCCAAGCGGCCTCGTATGCATCTCCATCCTCCACCCGCCCGGCGACGACCCGAACCACTACGAGCACGCGTCGGAGCGTTGGTCGCCCATCCAGTCGGTCGAGAAGATCCTCATCTCGGTCATGAGCATGCTCGCCGAGCCAAACGACGAGAGCCCCGCCAACGTCGAGGCCGCAAAGATGTGGCGCGAGCGGAGGGAGGAGTACGAGAACAAGGTCCGCGACTCGGTCAGGAGGAGTCTGGGGCTGTAGATTGGCCGTGGTTGTAGCATGGGACGAGGCGGCAGCCAGCGAAAAAGCCGTGGCGTCTTTGAAATGCAAACAAGAAAAACATAGTTCATAATCCACCATCGCATGCTCTAGTAACCCCATTCTTCCCTAGAAAATTCTATCGGTTCCAGCCAGGGGGCCTGTAGCGCGGCTCTGGAACCATGTTGAAGCCATGGTATAAGTTGTAGTTTAACCCCCTCATCCCTCCCGCCATCAAAGATTATTCTCCGCCTTGAACTTGTCCCAGCTCTCGTTTAGCGTGCTGAAGACGGTGCCGGCAATCATGCGGACTTCGGTGCTCGCGTCTTGCGTGATCTGGAAAAAAAGCAGCGTTGATCTGTCAGTAACGGCCAAGAAAAAGGGGTCAGACAAAAAGAGAAGGAAAAAAAAGACTCGCCTTGTCCGGGTGGCATTTGGCAATGGCCTTCATGTACACAATCTTGACCTTGTTGGCCACGACGAGCTCGTGCAGGCCCACCTTCTTCCACCCGCTGCCCTCCCAGAGCACCTGGTCGAGGCTGCCGAGGAGCGCGCGCAGGTTGTCGCGCTTGCCGTCGCGCCACGCCGCCACGCGCGCGTCCACCTTGTCCACGAGCGCAAACTTCTCCGCGTCGGCCTGCTGCGCCGCCGCGTTGGCCGCCCGCAGCCGCTCCACCGCCTCCGAGTCCCTACCGGAAAACGAGGATGCCGCCACCGGTCTCGGCTTCGGTCGTGCCGCCGCAGCCGCCGCCGCGGGAGCCGACGCCGGCTTGGGCTTGGGCTGCGGCTTGGGCGCTAGCGCCTTCTGGCAGCGCTGGCGGCCCGCGATGGCCGCGGGCCCGCCGACGCCCGACTCGACGCACAGCTGCCACACGGCGCCCGCGTCGCCCCACTTCTCCATCTGCTCGAGCGCCTCGGCCTTGCGCGTGAGCGCCTTGCCGTAGAGGTCCTTCATGTCGCGCGTCTCGCCGCCGCTGTTGCCATCCAGCGAAACCGTCTCGCCCTCGCCCCTGGACGGCCCGATGAGCTTGACGGCCGCGTCGGCGTCGTCGACCGCCTGCCGCGGCTCACCCGTCTTGAGCGCCGTCAGCGCGTGGTTGCACAGCAGCAGGATCGCGAGCGGGTGCGTCGCGGGTAGGGCCGAGAGCGATGTGCTGTACGACGCGTGCGCCGCCGCGTAGTCCCCCCTCTTGAAGTGGCCGGTGCCCTCGAGGCGGTGCTTGGTCGATGCCTGTAGCGCGGCGGCGCCGAGTGGCGGGATCTGGCGGGCCGGGTGGGGGGCTGGACGAGGCTGCGCCGGGCGGGGAGACGGGTTGTTGGATTGCCTTCCAGCGCTGGACCCTGGGCCTGGTGAGGGCTGAGGAGTCGGCCGCTGGGGGAGGCGCGCCTGGGGACGGCTTGGGGCGTCCGAGCCGAACAGGAGATCCGCCTCGGGCTCCGGCGGTGGATCCCTGGCCTCAGGTTGTGGCTGTGGTGTCGTCTTCTTTCTCCTGGCAGGACTGACATAGGCCTGCGAGCTCTGCTCTTCGATTTCCTGCTTGTTGATGCGGGACCGGGGGTCCATGAGATGCGGTTGGCCGGACTGCTGCCACTTGGGCACGGCCTGGTTCCTGCTCGAAGAAGCCCCACGGACGGCTGGTGACTGGTTGCGTGACGAGCCGGTGCTGCTCGGGTGCCTCCTTGACTCATCGGCAGGGCGCCGACCTGGTCGGCTACGAGAATCCAGCATCATCACTTCGTCGGTGCCGTCTGCTCTCCGCCGCCCGTCCTGGCCCATGTCCTGATGTGCCGACCTCATCCACTTTGGCTGGTTCGGGTCGCCTCCCTCCTGCTGGAAGTCCGCGACGGCCTGCTGCACCTTCTTCTGGCTGGTCTTCCACAGAGAGTTTGCCGATTTGAACAGGTTGTTTCCAATCGCGGCCGCCGTCTTTGCAAAGTCCGGCTCGCCGCGCGCCGGCGACCTGCTGTTCCTGCTGCCGAGCACGTCGTCGCCGCCCATCCAGGCCGGGCTGGAGCCCCTGTCGCGCCCCGACGAAGACTGGCCACTGTCCTCCCTGGCGCGACTTGAAGAGCCCTGCTTTTGCCTCGACTTCTCTTTTGCCTGCCTGTGGGCGTCGTCCAGCAGCCAGTTGACGGCGGCCTGGACGTTGAGCCCGGCGCCGCTCTCCGTGAGGGCCCTCCTGGCATTCTCGGGTGTGAACCCGTAATCCACTATTTGGCAAACGGCCTTGTCGAACGGATCGTTTGATGGCGCGCGTGGTTCCTCGTCCTCTGATTCTGATTCCGAGTGTTCGATCGGCTTCCCAGGCTCGGGCTCGGGACGCTTCGGCGCCTTGGCCTGGGCCCGGGCCTGCTGTTCCCTCCGCACCTCCTCTACGGGTCGCCCCAGATCCCCGAGGAGGTCGTCCTCCTCCTCGTTGGCCACGACTGCAGCCGGGGCTTTGGCTTTTAGTTCGCTGAGACCGAACGGGTCGTCGTCGTCGGCAAAGGCGCCGTTCGAGCCACCCGGCGCCGCCCAGGAATTAGGCTTGCTGAGGTCCAAGCCTGGAACCTGGGTCGGGGCGGCGGCCGGCGAGGGCCCTCTCGAGACAGCGGCCGTCTTGTCGAGCTGAGAGCCCGGCGGGAAGTAGCTCGCATTGTCGACCTGGGTGGTCGAGTTGAAGGCCGCAAAGAGGTCGTCGTCCGCGTCCTTGGCCTTGCCATTCTGCGCGCCCACCGCCGCCACCACCGGCGTCGCTGCCCTCGAGCTGCCCTGCCCCAGCGACTCGAAGAAGCGCCCGTCGCCAAAGCTGGCCTGCGCCTGCTTCCTCTTCTCCTCCTCCTTCCTGCGCTTCTCGGCCTCGAGGCGCTCCTGCTGCTCGCGCAGGCTCAGATTCGCCGTGCTTTTGGCGGTGCCGAAGTTCATGAGGCCGCTGAAGCTGTCCTGGGCTGGCTTTGCCGCCGCCGCCAGAGACTTGGGGGCGCCGGAGCCCTGCGAGGAGATCGGGGTGTTGCGGCCGGACGGCTGGGGCGACGGGCTCGGGCGGAGCGACGGGTAGGCGAAGGCGTTAGAGGGGTTCATGGGCGGCGGCTTAGAGCCGCCGCCGTTGGCCGGGGTCGACCAATTCAGCCCCGACAGGTCGTCCATCGTGTCTGTCTTGCTTTGGGCCGTCTGGGGTGGCGGGATAAAGTTCGTAGCATTGCCCTGGGGTGTGTTGTTTTGGTAGCGCGGTCTGAGGGTCGGTCGCGAGCTCGAGCTCAGGTGTCGGGGTTGGGCTTCGTGGCTCCCGCTTGTCAGTTGTACGCCAAAACATTACCTTTTGGAACTGCTAAAAAAAAGGAAAAGAAAAATCGCAACACAACCAAAATTTTATTACGAAAAGATTTTAACTTTATATTTATTTTCCAATTTATTTTATCCCATTGTATGCTTACTTACTTAAGTTATGCTAGTTTAAACACACTTTTAGCGTACTACCCGACTAAAAAAAATAAAAAAAATATTTGCTACTTTAACGCTTAAATATTTACTAACAGTGCGTTTAATAAAAAATATTTGTATATAAAAAAGATAGCTTTTATAAAGTTATAACATGTAACCGATTTTAATAATTGTAGCATTTTTATTATAATTTATTTTCGGTGTTGAAAAAGGTAGTGTTTTGGTGTAAAACATCGTGGGGTGGGCAGACTTTTTGGTCGGTAATTTTAAGTGTGGCGCCCAGCCAAATCACCGGGAATTAGGGGTTCATGTGGCTGTGCTGCAGTTGTGCCTGGTTTGGACGTCACAGCCATGGCCATTCACGTTGGCTTGTGACACAAATGTCAAGAGACTGTGTTTAGTCGAGAAAGACGAGTCACACCCACGAGAGGCTTCGCTGACCTCTCAAATGTGTTTATTCTCAACGTCCACCGTATGAAGCTATAAAACAGCAGACAACGCCATGCCCTATGCCGCAGGGGATAAAAAGCATAGTGAAGTATCGCAAAGCCTCCTCCGTCCCTGTCTCTGATCTCCCAGAATACACCGAGAACCAACTCGCGACGACAGTGTGTTCAACCCAATGTAAAAAAAAGCGTCTCGACATAGAAAAAAAAAGACAGGACCAGACGGGCGGCCGTATATTGATATATGCTTCAAGGGAACAAAACAAAGGAAGCTTGATGCAATTGTAACTGTACATGCAAAAAGAAAAGACAAGAAACGGGCAAACGTCGTACCGGCCAAGAAAAGGAAACACAGAACATGCTAGTTACGTCACCGCGTCATTAGACTCCCGGCGGCCTTTTTCATGATTTTTACGGCCTTGTCCATCATCTGGTTCGCCAGGGGCCAGTCGCCAATCTCGATGGCGTCGCGGACTGCGGGGAAATACCCAGGCTCGTGGCTGGCCCATAGTTTGGGTCCGTAGACGACGTGTTTGAACTGAGTGCGATTTGGGACCTGGACAAACAATGGAAATACGGTTAGACAAAGGTTCTGACAAGGGGCAGAGGGAGGAATGTTCACAGAGAACAGGCAGCCAACTCACCCCTCCTGTATCATCCATGTCCAGCAGGTTCGTGTCGAGCATTGCCAGGCGCGAGTTGTACTCTGTCCGCTGGCGGCCGAGCATGAGGGTCTCGTACGAGCCCGACGCGAGCACCGTGTTCTCCCAGGCCATCTCCCACTGCGCGAACTTGCGGGCGCCCTCGGCGACCACGTTGGCGGCCTCGCGGATGCGCAGCGGGTCGAGCGGCGCGTGCCCGTCGTGGGGCTGGCCCGCGCCCTTGCCCTCGGCCCAAGCGATGAATTCGTCGGCCCAAGCCGTGAGCGAGGTCGCAAACGCCTCCATGTCGAAGGGCAGGATGGGCCGGTCGGCCAGCTCCACCAGGAGCAGCGCCACGACCTGGCCCAGGAGCTGGTGGTAGCCGAAGCCCGGGTCGCCGAAGCGGTCCATCCAGTCGAAGCTGTCGTAGCTCGACTCGCGCGGGCGCCGGCCGGCCTCGCGCGAGGAGCCGCCGAAGCCGATGTCGAGCGACGACGTGCCCGCCATGTGCTGGAAGGCGTTGTAGTCGGACGCGGACCCGAGGCCCTCGAGCTTGTCGCCGCGGCGGTCCCAGAGCTCGCGCAGCGTCGCGTTCTGGTTGCCGTCGCCGACGCGGTGCATGACCTGCAGGAGCAGCCGCCGGAACACGGGCGAGCCCGCGGCCCGGAACGTGTCGCCCGTTATGGCCTCGTCGAGGTTGATGTAGGCCATGGCGTTGTCGCGCACTGCCTCGATGTTCTTCTCGACGAACTCGCTGGAGCCCAGCGAGTTGTAGGCGCCGCCGTCCCAGCTCATGAACTCGATGGTGCGTGATGGGATCCAGCCCATCGCCCGCAATTTCCCGAAAAGGCGGGCCATCTCCATCATGATGGCCGTCCCCGAGTGCGGGCTGGCGGCGCCGAATGCCAAGGAGTCGCGCCGGTTACCGATCACGATCGACTTGGTCTTCTGCTCGTATCCTATGATGCGTCCGTACACGTTCCACATCTCCTTCTTGACCACTTCGTCCTGCTCGTTCTTGAGGTGCACGAGGGGCGAGGATTTGTCTCCGATCCACCACTCGTCCACGTCAGGAACCCCGCCGACCCATTCCTCAGGAGCCTTCTGGCCGTGGCCCTTGAGCCTCCGCAGAAGCTCCTTGGCATCGCGCCACGCCAGCGGTATGCTGGGGATCTTGACCAGGCCGTGAGATTGGTGGGGCTGCAGGCGGGTCGGCCTGTTCTTGGTGCTCTCCCAGCCGGGCGTCAGGGGGTCGCCGATGAGCCAGCTGGAGAGCGAGACGGAGCCGCGCTGGACGCCGTCTTCCGGCATGTACCTGCCTTCGGGCATGGGCTTCCCCAAGCGGAAGCCATCGTCGGCGGGATCGCTGTAGACTATGCATCCGACGAAACCTGCCAGCTCTGCCGCCTTGACCTTGAGGCCCACGTCCTCCTGAGGTCCGTATTGCCTCACCAGGGCGATGGCTCCCTTGGCATCGATTCCGCTGTCGTACAGCCTCTTGAAGTCCTCCCTGGTGCCGTAGTTGGCGTATATTAGGGGGCCCTTGACATCTCCCGCCTTGGAGTGCGCATGGAACGCATACGTCTGTCGGCCTGCCGTCTCTCGGCCCGTCTCCTCCTCCTCTATCTTTGCCGCCCACTCCACCTTGCCGTCGCCGCTGACGACCTCGACCGCCCGGCCGCCCTCCTTGGGGTAGTTGATGTAGGCGTTGTAGTCGTCCACGGCCACGTCCTCGAGGCCGTACTTCTCGAACATCTTCTTGACGTCGGTCGCGATCGCAAAGTCGCCCTCGCTGCCGGCGAGGTGCGCATAACTCGTAAAGTGCTTCAGGTGCTCGCGGATAATCCGCGGGTCGACGTTGCTTTGGAGATGCAGGCGGACGTGCTCCGGGTCGAAGGGCTCGCGCCGCATGCCCCTCATGGTGTCGCTCATGAAGATGAACCATAGGAACCCCACGACGAGGAATATGGCCATCAGGCGACCGAACAGGATGCACGCGGCCGTGGCGTCGAAGGCGGGCAGGCGGGACCACCAGCGCGACCGCTCGGGCTGCTGGGCGGCCTCGTCGCCGGTCGTCGGCGACGCGCCGCCGCCTTCACCGGACGAGCTGGGACTGGCCGCGGAGCTCGATTCCGTGGCGTTGGGCAGCCGTATGCGCATCCGGGGCATCTGCCAAGACCACTTCCACCGCCATTGCGGCAGCGAGAAGCCGATGCGCTTGCCGAAGATGGACGGGCGGCCCCGGCGCAGAGCGTCGTCGTCGTCGCCCATCTCCAGCTCCTGCATCTCCCGCCGCACGTGCGCGGCCTCGGCGTTCGAGTCGGAGCTCCATAGGCTGTCCTCGTCGTCTGTTTCTACAGTTGGGGCGCGGTAGTTGGTGTTGTTGTGGCGGCGCGAGCGCACCGGGGAGGAGGCGCCGGCATCGGGGTCGGTTGCCGTCGAGCTGCTGCGCTGGTGCCTGTGCAGGAGGGATCGGGACTCGAACTCGGACGGCGAGGCGGCGGGATCGGCAGCTATTGCCTCGTCGTAGCTCGGTATGGGCGGCACGGCATCGTACCTATGATTTGCGTGGGACGGCATTATGGTATGGAAGCAAGCGTAAAGCTGGAGCTGGAGCTGGACTCGGCGGCGTCATGGGTTCCCAAGGTTCCGTCGGTCCGGGCGTGTAGGGTCGACCAGTCGAGTGCACGATGGGGGTCGGACGGTGGCGGACCGGGGGTGTTCGGGGGGAAAAGAGTGATAGGGTAAGTGCTAGTGAGAAAGTCGATCGACGGCAGCCCGGGATCGTCCAGAGAAAGCCGTGGCAGAGGCAGCCTCGACGTGTGTAAAGGCCGATACAGGGGCCACGAGGCGAGGCCAGTTGGGACGGGGTGTCCTCAAGCCACCAGCCGCCGGAGGGACAGCCGTTGGATCGCGAGGCTTAGGAAAATACACAAGGCGCTCGCTCTAGCCAGAAATCATCGTGGGCAAGATCGGTTTCGAGGAGAAGTTCGAGATGGCGCGGGGGAGCCCAAGCGTGCACGCAAAAAGGAGACGATGCGCGTTTCGGCAGCAATCCATTGAATTGTGACCACTGGAGCGCTGCTCGCTGACGACAGCAGCCTGTGCTTGGCCATGCTCGAAACGCTAGCGGGCGGCTGTCGTTAGTCATCAGCACCGCCACCCTACAACCTATTAGGGAGAGAGAGAAGGTTTGGCAGGAGCCAGGGTTTATTATCTTGTATCTCAATTGTTGTCTATCGACCTAGGCTTAGGCTCCTGTGCCTACCCGTTGGTATCCATCCGGCACAGTGCATGCAATCACATAGCATCTCCAGCACTGCCAATTGGAAATATGCAGCGCATATGCAGCGCCACCAACCCGCACCTCCAGCACGCCCGTGACTCGCGAATCGTGCAAAAAGGAAAAAAGGCCACCCTGAACGCTACCCAATCACCCCCATCAACCCTTGATCGGCGCCCTGAGCTTTGATCTGTCTTCGAGAAGGGCCACGCGTTTCTCTAGCTCGTCCACCCTGATCTCCATCCCCTTGGTGGTCCTTTTCGGGAGACGGCTGTACTCGGGCGAACTGGCCCCGGCAAGCAGGTCTGCCGTCACGAAGCTGGACGCCCTCCTGGCTTTCACCACATCGCAGCGCTCGGCGTGGAAGGTTGATCTCGCAGTCTCGGGGATGGCCGAGGCCGCGTCTGCTCTCCTCTGGCCAATCTTGTCTCGGCCGATGGGACTGGTGATGGTGGAGAGCTTGGGGGTCTTTTCAGGCGCATCTTGAGCACGAACTGGTCCGAGCTTGACGAGAGCCTCGCGGCATGCGGCCTTGGCTATGAGGAGCTCCTGTGGCCGACGTATTAGATCCCAGTAGCTGGGCGCAGACAGCGGCGATCCATCACCAACCTCTTTGCGGTCCGACAGCAGCCCACGCGGGCTGGAGTCTTTGGCCATCTGGTCCTCGACGAGGAACTTCCACAGCTTCTAGTGCGCATCCGAGAGTCGCTCCGACAGCTGGCCAATCCACCCGGGCCTGCGCCGGTATTGTTAGTTGGCGGGAGCTGACAATTGCTAGGTGCCTGTTGCGCCATGGTTCTTACAGCTCTGGGCAATCAGTGTGGCCATTGGCAACACACTCCCAACATAGCGGCCCTTCATTGACGTGGCGATGACAGATCCCGTCGGTGAAGGCAGCCTCTGTAGCAGCAGCCCGGAAGCAATGCTCGCAAAAAGTTTCGTGTGCGCCGCCCCTCGTTCCCTCAGGCTCCGGTCTGCGGTCCTTCTCTGTATGTGACATAATGGACGATGTTCAGGGTAACTAATGCTTGATGTGGTATTGTCGGTGCGCCGGGACGCCTGTTTGCTGGGGCTGTTTAGAGACTGAACATACGTGGAATGACTGTTGGCGCCAAAGCAAAGTTTGTGGTTTCGTTCCCAAGCTGCAAGAAACGAAAGCACCCGATACTGGGCGGGAATCAGCCCATGGTCTCGGGTTAGGACAGGTATCCGCGCTGCTAGGACGCAATCAACAACTTGGAAGGAGCGGTTTGATGTTGCCAGATACTCGCTTCCTCGAGCTAGGCCAGATCAAGGATAGCCATCAAGTCAAGAAGGGTAGGTATCACTCTGCGACTTTCCCGCCAGATTCGTCCTTGATCTGAGACTGGCGCTCTCCTGAACTAATCGTCATTGCGTCACCGGTCCGTATTGAGGCTTATAGAGAAAGAGTTCCCGACATTCGGGTCAACTAGGAGTGTTACATCCTTAGGTTCCTCTATCCTTCACCGATCCTCCTCTAGGCATCCTTCTCTAGACATCCTTCCCCTATTCTTTCCCTATCCTCCCCTATCCTTCTCCTATCCTCCCACCTTTTTTTCGCCCTGCACCCATGTTCAAGCCCGGTTCTGGCTGCTATTTCCTCTCTTCCTTTTTGGGCTTCCGTCTGCTGCAAAAAAAGGTTCCCATGGCCCGCGCATTATACGCAAGTGGCCGTGACCGATGTGCGAAACCGACCTGCTGTGTTGCTCGATATAGGCTGCGTACCCGTCCGCTAGAGGCAAAATTATGGTCTGACGACAAACAATACCCGAGTGTGTTCGGCGTGCAAGTGGAGGGAGGCCATTCTTGGAGTTGGAGCATGAGGATACAAATAGGTGGTCGCGCAGACTTGATACGTGTAGCGTCACTAGAGATTTGTCGTGTGAGGGGCAAGTTGCGGGAAGTGGTGGGCGGGAAGTACTATTGTGCCGATGGCCGAGTGCGAGGCTGCCTACAGGGTGCGCGCCTGGTGCTTCTACACGCAGACCAGCTGAGCCGGGGCTGTCTTGAAGAGCCCGCCAGGATTCGCATGCAGATTTGCCGATTTGTGCACATCATAGATCTGGAGAGACAAAGCAGCAGGGCGGCCAAGCATGATTGCCTCAAATCACCACCCGCCGTTGTCAAGCAGGACGGGTTGTGGGCACTAAGCCCTGCCAGAGTCCCATGTGTCGTGTCTTGTCTCGTCTCGGGTTTTTCTGGGAGGCTTCTAGAAGGTCCCTGGCCGCGCCTGCTCGCCTTGGCGCTACTTTGGTCCCAAGAAAGGGCATGGTCGTTCTCTTTTAGTCTGGCGCAGAGCCTGGGCTGACCCCTCCCGAAGATCTGGAAGCACATGTCCCAAAAGAGGGCTAGCGTACGTCGGCCTGACTTGCACGCCAAGCGTGTGGCTTGGCTGCGTCGAACGTTGGGTGGGGTCGAACCAAGTTGGCATGTTTCACCTACAGGCTGAGCCGAAGAAAGGCCCCAGGTCACGCCAGCTCATGTGAGTTGCTTGCCCTCTTCAGAGTGTGTGCTCCTTCGAGGACGAGGGAACGCAGATCTGGCCGGCAGCACCCGGAGTTTTGCTGCACAATCTCGAAGGGCTGCGTCCTGTGTCGTACGCAGCCGGGCACGGCTTCTCCACCCGGGCTGCGCCGCCGCCTGGCTCCGTGGGTTGTGGCCAGGTCCCCCCCCCCCCCCCCCCCAGCTGCCGTTACTGCCACACAGACATCCTTCACATAGGCGGTGGATCACGAGACCCATGCTCGCCCTGTCAGTCTGTGTGTGCTTCGCCGGGCCCCTTGGGCTGGGCAGGCACGCAGTGGCACTAACAGCCACGGGCCGCTTGCCTAGCCGCCCATAAAACCTAATCGGCGTCACAATGGACGGCCTGGTCGCAGTGCATGGTTACACCACTAGCACCCGCACGCCCGCACGCCCGCATGACAGATGCGACCGCTCCCCCGATATGCCCGCTGCCGGCCGGCCGCCGAGCCCGGTCGGCACTATGGCCCATGATAAGGACAGCAGTCGGCATTGCTGGCCGGGCAATTGTGCAGCGCCTTGCGGTGGCAGTTCTTGGCACTTGGCTTCCGAGAATGCTCGGGGAGGCCCCAAGGATGGAGGATGTTTCGAACATGTGCATTCAATTCAGACCCAGTGGCAGGTATTCTTGGTCGCGTGTTTGGCGAGCTGGGGACGCCTCTGTGTCAAATTCCCAAAGGGGGATCTGAAATTCGAAACTCGCAGGCCTGGGCGGCGGATCGAAATCCCCTGGTCGTCGGCCTACCACCGACACCCGGTGCCCGCTCTGCACCTTATTTTACCCTGGCTTCCATGGTTCCGCCCCAGGGGCCGCACCTGGCATCCCCACAGGCCCCATAATCCATAATCCCGGAAGCATGCTTTATTCTATTCTTGTCACGCTTTCTGTTTGCTTCCAGCATCCCCAGTGGCCCAAGAAACGGGCTTTTCCAATGTTATCCAACGTCCAGATAGCTCCTTGGTAGCCCCCCACCCCTTAACGACCCATTAAGATGCCTCTTGCGGCTCGGCGATCACTGCAGGCCTGCCGCCAGCCCTTCCCATGCATCCTAATTTGGCCGTGTCGCGGAGTCTGGTCCTGTCCACTTATCCCGCGGGGCACGGTGTTTTCTCCTCTTATTGTTTCTCTAGTCGTAGGGTTTCGAGAATGTCTAAATATCCTCTCCCGCCGCCCTCTCCTATTGTTTTCTCGTGCTGCTTCACCAGTCCACCCTCCTCGTGTGTCCAGACAGCAACATGGCTTCCCCCAACTCCAAACAGACGGCTAGTCCCGCCACGGTTGAGGCCAAGGCCCCGAGGCCTAAGATGTCGTGGTACTCGCCCGACGACAGCCCCGAAGAGCGCCGCTTTATCGCCAAGCTGGACTTGATCCTGATCCCCTACGTCTTCCTGGCCTACGCCATCAAGGCCATCGACGGCGCCAACCTCAACAACGCCTACGTCGCCGGCATGAAGGAAGATCTTGGCTTTTTCGGAAACCAACTCGTTCAGATACAGACCTTTTATACCATTGGCGCCGTTGCCGGCATGCTTCCTTTTATTTACTTTTTTACATCTCTTCCCATGCATTGGTCCATTCCTTTTATGGATATCATGCGCGCTCTTTTTACTCTTTGCCAGTGCCGCGCCAACTCATTCGCTGAGCTTGCTGCCTACCGATTTCTGGTTGGCTTTTTTGAGTCCCCTTTTTACCCCGCCATGAGCTTTATTCTCGGTATGTTACTCTTTTGATAAGTTGGTGGGAAATCCGTGGACTCCCACGCTAACCACAAACTCCGACTCCAGGCTCATGGTATCGTGGAAACGAAATGGCCCGTCGTGGCGGCATCTCCTCCACGGGCGTAAACATCGGCAACCTGGCGGCCGGCCTCATCGCATCTAGCGCGTCCAAGTACCTCGAAGGCCACCTGGATATCACCGGCTGGCGTTGGAACTACATCATCTGCGGCCTCATGACATTCCCCGTCGCCGTCATGGGCTTCTTTCTGCTCCCGGGCACTGCCGCGAAGCCCAACCTTTGGATCCTCAGTGCAGAGGAGGTTAAAATCGGACAGGAACGTCTCGAGCGCGACGGCCACCGCATCCAAGGAACATTCCACATGGCCAGCCTGCCCAAGATCCTCGGCAACTTTCGCTTTTGGATCGTCGTTTTCGTCAACGTCCTTTTCTGGAACGCCGGCATCCACAAGGGCACGGGCGGCTACCTGCTCTGGATCAAGAGCCTGGGCAGGTTCGACGCCGCCCAGATCAACCAGCTGGGCTCCATGGCGCCGGCGCTGGGCATCCTGTACACGCTGGCGGCCAGCTTCGCGTCGGACCTGTTCCTGGGCCCCACGTGGACCATCACCATAACGGCGGCCCTCAACGCCTCGGGCCTCGTCATCCTCACCATCTGGTTCGTGCCCGAGGGCGCGCTGTGGTACGCCTTCTCGACCATGTTCTGGTCCAGCGCCATCGCGGGCGTGCTGTCGGGCTGGATCAACGCGCTGCTGCGGGACTCGCCCGAGGAGCGCTCCTTCACCCTCATCATGGTCACCATCATCGCCCAGCTCACCACCGCCGGCACGCCCCTGCTGACCTTCCAGACGGTCGAGGGCCCGCGCTACCCAAAGGGCTACGCCTTTGTGCTCGCCTGCGCCCTCACCCTGATCGCGTCGGTCCACGTGCTCAACATCTACCTCAAGCGCGAGGACGCGCAGAGGGCGGCCGTCCCGACCGACGAGGAGAAGATGATCCAGGCGAGGATCGATGCGATCGAGCGGCCCGACACGGCCAACTCGCTGGCCAAGCCGGCCGCGATGCACCTGGAGAAGGAGAAGCGTGGAGGTGACGGGAAGATGGTCCCGAGAATTGTGACGTCGGACCTGCGCAGCAGCAGGAGCTCCTCGTGGCGGAACTCGTGGAACTCCGACTTCCTCACCCTGCCCCATATCAAGCCGGTCGACCCGTTCTCCCCGATATGAGCAGGCATGCATTATGACACTTTACGATTTTCGTTTTCTACATTTCTAGATCGATACCCGCTTAGACCACTATAGAGTTTTTATTTTCCATACAGTCTGGTACTTCAATTCTATAAGCGCTCCCCTATTATCTCGAACGTGCTCGGATATGGGAAAACATCATGATGCCTTATACATGTCGTTTTTTTGTGCTTCCGTTCTTTCCCCATCTGTCGTTTGTTGCCACTTTTGGGCGTCGCACCTAGCTCACGACCCAACAAAGGTGGTCGCCATCTAAGTAGGTATACCCCAAAGGCGCAACCGCAAAGCTGTGACTCGGGTCGGACCAAACAATGAATTAGGAAATTAAGTCGCGACTCCGCAGTGTTACCCATCACCCGAAGCCGTCTTCCCAGAGCATGCCCCTCAACGCAGCATGCTAGTGGCCGCGGCCAGTCGCGGCAGCCACCGCAATGGCAATAAACGCGAGGGCCAGATGCTGCCACGGCAGCGGCTTAGCCGTGCCGGCGGCCGAAGTGGGCACCGTCGATGGCGAGGTTGTGGTTGTCGGTGTCGAAGCAGTCAGCACCTGTGACCATATGTCAGCCGTCAGTATCTATGGGCCGTCCTTATTTGGGGCGCCCCAGTGCTTGGTCTGGTCGGGGAGGTCAATTAGCGTACCTTATCAACGGTATGGACGACTCCGTTTGTAACGATAGCGTCGCTCGCCATAATCTTGGCGCCGTTAATACTGATGATGCCGTCCTGCACGGAGGCGGTAACGGATCCTCCACCGAGGGTGGGGAAGACGTCGCCATTCGCAATCCATGTTGTGTATGCCGGAAAGTCCACCAAAATGTGCTGCCTCAGCTGGGCGGCCGTCAGGGTGCCGGCCTTGCGGACGGCAGAGTTGGAAGGCGCAAAGACCGTGATACTGGCCCGGTTGTCAACCTCGCCGAGAACGCCTGAGCTTTGGAGTAAGGCCAGAAACCTGTCGGCGCCCAGAATCGGAAGGGTTTCCGATACCTTCCGTGGCAGGGTGAGGGTGCTTGTTTATTTGGGAGACATTTAGCAAAATAGCCTGGGGCGGACATGTCCCAAAATGAATGAAATGCAAAAACCTACCCCGAAATGGGGCGGATAACGCCCCCGCTGAAGGGAATGTCGTCACCTGTCACTTTGACGCTCGCCCCCAGACCCGTGAAGACGAGGGGCTGCGCGGCCAAGGAGATGTGCTTTTCGACGACGGTTTGGTTGCGTCCGGGGCCAAGATTCACGAACGCCGGGTCGTTGAGCCAGGACTCGTACACAAGCCCGGGAGTGCACCCCAGATCCCTCGCCAACACCTTCTTCGTGCCGGTGGTAGAGTTCCTGATCCGTCTTGGGGCAATCGCATTTACGCTGTACAACGCCCCGGCCCGGTCATCCTCGTCCGATCCGCGGCGGGCGATGGTGGAGTTTCCGTTGTTGGTTATGGCGGCGTTGGTCGGGACGTAGACGACAACGTTGGGCCCGGCGGTCAAGGCCGGGGAGTTCAGGGTCTGAAGCCGCTCGGCGTACTTGGTGAATCCGTTTTCTTGGAGCACGGTGAGCAGCGACCCCGACTGTGCGACAGCCGGGGCGGCACAAAGGCCGACCAAGGCGAAGAGGTGCTTCGCCTGCATGTTTGGGCGCAATGGAATCAAGACAGCTTGGTGAGCTGTGGGGGTTCAGAGAAGTGAAAGTGTGGTGCTGTGTGGGAAGCCTTGCAAGCTCCTGAGTTGGGGACAGTCAAGTGGCGCTGGCGTTTCGCTCCAACGCTTGCAAGATGCTGCTGAACAGGAGGATTAAATATCCGTAAGGTGCAGCCAGCCGTGATGGCGGCACTCGGGCGAGCGCGTGTAGCGTGTTGTTCCGGACGTCCGCCCTGCCATGTTTGGCATAACCGGGCGACAACTCGCAGTGAAGTCGACGACCCATGTGTTCGGGGTTCCCTCGGCCCGACGTCGAACCTGATGCGGGCCCATATCTGAAGAGAGAATCCCCAACCAGAGGCCGAGATCGATACTTGCCCCCTCTCTATGTGAGCACATCCTATCAGACTGAAGCTATACTCATACCGGGCGCCGCACTGCTTTGAACATCTCCGCGCCAAGGCGTCCACGCACCGAGCACAAAGTTTATTTGTGCGGATAAACCGCCATGACTGGCTCGTAGCTGCTGCCAGCCTTACCACATGGACGCCCGGGGATGGAACGTGCTGGATTCCTACCTCCGTGAGAGTCATGTAGACAAGTCACGTCGAGGCCCAGTCGGGGCGAGGACCCTGCCGCCGGAGCCCAAGATAGTGCGATTGGCTCCAGCCGTGTCCAAGTGTGATGGCCGTCGCAGGTGGCGCCTTGCCAAGCCCGGAGGTGCAAATCTAGAAGCATACATCTCTCAAGTCGGCCCATCGGACGCTCCCTTGAGGCATGGAACTCCGCAGGACTTCCAGCCGCAAAGTGCACTTTCGCCACAATTGTTCTGGTTGCTGGACCACTGACGCATTTCCGCCCGAAGCGTTCATTTTGCCATTGGTTAAACTCTGCATGGCTAGCGGCGAAGCCCAGGACGCCACATTAGGCAGGCTGGAGAGAGTATTGTTGTGCAAATGCTCCACGTAGCTCCACAAACGGAAGATAGAGGGTATTCAGACATGTCCCTTGCTTCTGGGCCCAGCCACCGTGAGCGCGGGATGTGGACATCTGATAGCACACAGGCCCGGGCCAGACTCGACGCCGACTCTGAGCCTGCAGTATCTTGTTTCCTTGTTTCTTCTCCGTCTTGGTCTGCTTTCTCGGAGCCGCCTGTCAGGGCAAAGGTGCCCGAAGACCCGCCCTCCAGCTGCGTTTTCACACAGACTGGTACATAAAGCACTGCTATCCGCTCGCTTTCGGACGGGCGCTGACTATCTGGTAGTACAGGCCGCCTTTGCCACTAAACAAAGCCTTCGATCTCAGCCAGACGCGTCAAAATGGCCGACATCTACACCCCAGCCCCTCGCGAATCCTACCAAATCTTTTCCACCTTCTACATGCCCACTGACGATGGCAATATCTGGGCTGTTTCTTTCGGCACCCGCACCGGAGCGTTCATGACGGCAGTCGCCTCCATCGCCGTCATCTTGATATGTTCCTGCCTCTGGAACCTCTTCTGCTTTATCGTCATGCTATATCCCGGCACAAGTTCACGGCGCAGATTTCTCGCGCTGGTGACCCTGTGGAACTCTGGCGACGTGTTTATCGCGGTAAAGGGGTTGGCGGGCTACACATGGGACTGCTTTTTCAATCCCACATCGCGGAAAATATCTCCAGCACTGGGCACTCTTCAACAACAGAACACCCCTCAGCAACAGAACACCCCTGAGCAACAGGCCGCCTCTCAAACACAGATCACCTCTCCGCCATCAGACCTTGAGAGCGGGCAAGAGAGGAGCCACAAGCTGCCGCACAGCCACCGATACGGCGACTTCTACTACGGCCTAGCGATTACCTGTACGGCCTTCATCCTCTGGGGGTCGTCCCTGGCAATGGGAATCGTCACTCCCGGGCTCCTCCAGATCGGCAGCGTCGCGCCAGCGAATCCAAACGTCCTTTACTACCCAAGAGCCGTGACGAACAACGAGCCAGTCGGGCTGCTGAAAGAGTTTGGCCTTCGGGCACCTTCGGCCATGCGCGCTCTAGGCAGCGTGGAGGACTCCAATGTCATGCCGCGACGGAACGTGAAGATCTCCGCCACCAGGTTCTCGGCCGGGAACGGCAGCGAGCCAGGCCGGCGGCTGACCTACGGCTACTCTCTGAAAGGAGTCGACTTCGGTCTCCAGCAGGGTTCCGACCTCAAACTGGCTGTCGACGGTTCCTGCACAACCGAGTACGGGTGGTATTCCGCGTCTGGCAGCGACGACTCCTACGAGGCTTACAATTTATGGAACACCTTGGAATACCTCGTCCCCATCGACAAAGTCAGCATCAAGGACGCCCCAAAGGCGAGCTTCTTGATGCATCCAGATGCGAAAAACCAGCTGACGCGCGGCAATGTTTCCTTCGCCGTCGTCATCTGGTCTGCTCACCGGGCTAGCATCGCGGCGGGGGAGGATCCCTGGTACCTGACAGAGGGCAGCCCTCCCGGCTTTGCGGGTGAGGAAAATTTCAACGCCAAATACTGGATCAAGCGCCAAAGGCCCGTCCTGTCCTGTTGGGAGCAGAACAGATGGAGCTACGGGACGAACGCGGTTGAAAATGTCCAAGCCCTCAAGTCAGTGGCCGGCATCAACGGCAAGATCAAAGGCGTCCTGATCAAGATCCTGGAGATCGCCCTTGGAGTTCCGGTCATCGCCAGGCTTGGCAATGCCAGCGGGGACTCGGCGCTCCGATCACGGACCACCAGCCCCAACGGCGTCATCAACGCGGAGGCATCAAAAATCGAGACCGACATGGAGCGCCTGATCCTGGCCAGCTACATAGCGACGAGGAACACCTTTTTCGACGCCACCCTGTTCAACAAGGACCCGAACTGGGAAAACGTTTTCACGGGCGACGACAAGCAGCCGCGGGAGGGGTCCGGCGACTTTGTCGTCACGAGCGCGGGCGTGCAGACCTTCTCCATGGTCGGCCTGATAGTCCTGGCGGTGCTCCTGGGGGCCCTGCTACTCGTACAGGCTGTGGTTACGGGCGTGGTTGCCAGCCGCAAGACGAATGTCGGAACGAACGTCGAGGCGAGCGACAAGTCAAAGAACAAGGACGGACTGCTTCGAATCAAGGCCTTGACAGCTGCCCAGTTATTCCGTCGCGCCTGTGAGTCGCCGGCAGGGAGCGATGACGGGTGGGACTGCCACAAGAATTATCCAACGGATTGCGACGAGACCATCATGGGATTCGACCAGTGCGTCTGTAAGGTGCGATGCAAGTGCAAGGGACACATCACAGCCACTACTCCGGCTCCCTTGACTACTGCTCCGGCTCTCTTGACTACTACTCCGGCTCCCTTGACTACTACTCCTTCCACGGAGGAGAGGCCAAATGAGAAGCCCGGCCCCGAGGACAACGTAACTCCTACTGACCAGGTTAGCCCTTGACGGGTGAAGATGCTGGGGCAAGCTTGTGGGGTCGTGTGTGTATTTGTGACGGTATTTGATATTGGGCCACTCTGTGTCCGGAGCATATCTCGTTCTTTCTTTCCACTGGTTTCGCTATTCTGCACAAACTGAAGATGGGGTTGCGAGCATTTTGCAAGACAGCTCACATTCTTGTGACAGCATTTCGGTATCGACCAGGTAGCATGAAGTTAAATCCCCATAGTCGTTGCCTTTGCTTGCCACATGTTTCTCAAACCTACGCCTCGTAGAAAGACCGACCGCTGCAGAATGTATGAAACCCCCGACTTTTGACATATCTTTCCACCACACACACGGGCCATCTCTTGCCGCAGACCGCACACATAAAGGAGCGGCATAAAACCCCACATACTGGAGTTAAGTGGTGAAGTGGCCCTGGGGTCTGAGTTGACCACATTCCCCGTTTCGCTGTTCTATCGAATGTTGCGCAACGCCCGTGGCCCGATGGCCAAACCTGCATCGTGCCGCTTGATTGCTTCGGACATGGAGGAAAAGCCACAACAATGTCCTTGCGAAATACAAGATAAAGTCCACCTCTTCCTCGAGATGTCCTCGAGCTACTTCCACGGCGACAGCAGCTCCGGAGCCGGGAATCACCCGTCGCGCTCTCGTGGCATAAAATCACTTCCTTTCACAAACCACCTGCCTCGTCCTCGTCAGGCTCGCAACTGTATCCGCTGGGCGGATAGGAACACCCGGCGACGGGCCGAGGCCGAAAGGAAGCACAAGGTACTCGGTAGCAGTTCATGGCACGTGGCCTGCTTTGGCAGCAGGCGCAATTCGACTGCCTGTTTAGGCATGTGCACTCGGGACGAGGATCAGGTCGACGGCGGCCTTCCATGCTTGCTCGGGGCGCCAAAGTCAGGTTAGGCTGGGGATAGAAGCATCGAAGGGAAGCACAGGCAGGTGTTGGTCCGCTGGTGTCGCAAACAGCCGATTACTGCGCAACTTTGCCTTCAGAAGCCAACGGCCAAGCAGCCAAGTTTACTGGTAACCTTCCTGCGGGCATTGCATGGCGGCCGAGTGTTGGACATGAACCAACAAGCCGGCCCGGCGACGAATCATACCAGTTCGATCCTCTCCGTCTCCTGTGCACTAAAGATGCTCAAGCCTCCCATTGCAGCCTTCGAAAAGAAGGCCCCTACGCGCCAGTACTTGCCAGGCTAACCTGGGACGGGGCAGACGACAATGCCCCAGCAATTGTGCATCCAGTTTTCCGGCTTCCTGCGAGTCTCCCAGGAATTCAGCAACATCACGTACCGAAACTCAAAGCAGTCAGCACCCCATCATCGCTGTTTTTGTGCCCTTTTCGTGCACGAACAACAAGTATCCGACAAAGATGCCCATACCAAGATGATTGGTGCCGGTTTTCTCGCAATAGGATCTGATTCCCTCTCTGTGACGAACCAATTGGGCCACCGTGCCAAAAGCCAAGGCCCCCGCTTAGTGGCTGGTGGCTACTAAGTGGGTCTATATCCGTTTGCGACGCTTCTCTTTACTCAAAAGACTATCGACTAGCCTGCCGGGATCCACGCTAGCATAAAAAAACCCTCTCTGTGCTTTGACGATGAAATCGAGATTTCAGTGCGGTTTCGCTAGAGCATAAGCGACGTGCTGGATACGGTGCGCAAAGGCGTAGATTAATCATTTATAAATCATTGCTGAAGAATACAAGTCACCATCCCACATCCACCCAAACAACCATCGCAGCCAGCCCATCCCCTCATCCGGGCCATCAGGACTAGTAGGTCATGGACTTGTAGCGCTTGACGGCCTCGTCGGTCATCTCGGTGATGACGAGGATGTCGGTGCCGGGGACGCGGGTTAGCTTGCCGTGCTTCTTGCGCCAGCCCCAGGTGACGCGGCCGTCGGCCTCGCGGGCCTGCTCCTCGGCGATGTAGCCGAAGCAGTAGTCGGACACGGGGAAGATGACGGCGGTGTGGCGGCTCTCGCTGACGTACTGCTCGGTGCCGTTCATGATGTGGTTCACGCAGGCCGTGGTGTGCGTGTGCCAGCACGGGGACGGCGGGTCGTAGCCGAGGTACATGTCCGGGTTCGGGTACGGCGAGCACCGCTTGGTCAGGACGTGGGCGGTGGCCGCGGTGGCCAGGAGGATGGCGTTGATGAGCTGCATCTTGTGTGGTGAAGCGGTGGACTGGACAGAAGCCTCTCTGTGTTTGGTAGATCGGATGTGGTCTTGTCGGGTGATCTGCAGGCAGGAGTGGCTTGTGTAGACAAACAATCAGAGGAGATGCAAGGAGGATGTTCATGTCGGTTTATATACTACGGGGAGGGTGGAGCAGCCAAGATGTCTTAATATGGGGGGATTGGAATTCAGGTCAAGACATGTCCTGATCATTACCGTCAATGTGACGACGTCCAAGAATAGAGGGCACAACGTTGTAATCCGGGGCCACCCAAAGCTCTGTGTGCAAAGTCTGTTGCCGTGAACGCTTGCCTGATCCAGCAGGCAATTTCGTTGTGTCCCACAGCAGCATGGCATGTCAGGAGCCGCCCCGCAGCCCCTGGGAGCCCGCGATGGCTTCAGCGAAGCGGCGGCAATTGGCGCACTTTGCGTCCGTCAATCAGTAGAGCCACATAGACTACCCGATGGCCGCCCAGAGAAGGACGCTGCATCACCAGGCACAATACAAGTAATACGAGGTCGAGCTGAGGTCTGCGCCGATTTTGGAGGTCCCCCGCGCGGGGCGGGGCGGAATTTAGCCAACAAGAGCAACGGAAATCTTCCATATTGGGCGCATGTCAACCGAGCTCGCGCTGTTTCTGGCCAGAGAGGTGGGGCGCGACGCCTTCGCGTGACTTGGAGACGCAGCAAAGCTCAGCGGCCGTGGTCGGCGACGTGGAGAGCACGATGGGAAAGCCCACGGATCGTGGTTGCCGTTTCGGCTGCTCCCCAGCCGCAGAGGATAGACTTGAGGGCATCCTTTCAAGGGTCAACACGAAGGTCACTGCAGCGCCAAGCTGCCCAAGTCGGGCTGGGAGGAAGGAACGCCTCGTGTCGTGAGAGAGTTGGGTGAGTGGTGATGGCCAAAAAAGAAAAGAGGCTGACGGGTTCCAAGACATGGAAGGAAGGCGCGTGACGTCAGATGTGTCGCTCCAGCAGCTAAGCATGCAACGTCTGCACGTAAAAGCCGAGCGACCCTTTTTTTTTTTTTCAGGAACTGGACCCTTTCTTGGCCCGCAGGCGAGGATCGTCTGTGCCGCCTCTTGGCGTCGACTTTGTTCTTGCCCAACTCCACCCCGTCTCATTGAGGCCATTCCTAGGGCTGGGACGGGTCGCCTTTGGCGCAGCACCTGATTCGACAGTTGGCAGCGGCAGTGAGCTTCTCGGAAGCTGCCAGAGCTGGGCATCCAAAGTACGGAAGCTAAGCAAGACCCGTGCATAATCTGAAACCAGATGTTGCTGCGCCCTATCCCCAAAGACACAGCACAGCCTCAGTCGGCATGTTCCTTCTTCTCCGCCTTGTCCTCACCGACTTCCCGCAACGTTGCGATCTCGTCCAGTATCGTCCTGGCCGCCATCTCCCTCCCGCCCCCGTTTGACGCGCAGAGTCGAGCCAGCTCTGCCGCTTTCAGCTTCATCTGCGCCGACCTGGGCCCCATCAGGACGTCGACGAGGGCCGGGCCCAGCTCCTCGGGCCGGCAGCCCGGCTTGGATCGCTTGTTCCCCCAGATCCCGATCCCTAGATACTCGGCTCGGTTGGCAAAATCGTACGTGTCCATCCAGACGCCGAGGACGACGTGGGGGACTCCAGCGCTGCGAGATGTCACTTGTCAGAACGGTCGCTCATCCGTGATGCGCCTGTGGGTTCTCTGCTCACCTTACAGCCTCGAGAAAGCTGTTGGCGCCGCCGTGGTGAACCGCAAGCACGATGTTGGGCTCCTGCAGCACCGCGATGGGCTCGGGCTCGACCCACTCGACAATCTTCACTCTGCCGGCGTCCATGTATCTCCCGAGCACGTTGTGCATGTCGCACCCGGGCTCGTCAAGTGGGAAGTCAAATTTGCCGTCCACACCCTTGAGCTTTACCAGCTTCCACAGCACTTGCAAACCCCCAAGCTTCCGCTCCTGGTCCGAGTCCGCCCGATCCAGAACCATGCGCAGGGCCCCAGCCAGGCGCAGCGGTTCTTGTGGGCCGAAGTAGCGCACGTGCGTGCCCAGGTTGATATATATGGTCGGCCCGCGCGCGATCCACGTCGCCAGGTCCGGGGATGCCTCGGCACAGGGTCTCGCCGGCCGGATAATGGGCCCGCAGGGCACCAAGTGGGATGGGATGAAGCTCAGCGGAAAGTCGATCTCGGGGAGGTTCGAAACCAGGACCTTGAAGTTAAGGCGCTTGGTGGCCCCTAAATTCATCAGGGACGTGTAGCGCGCGCCTTGGGTGTGCTTTTCGACCGCCGCAGCAAGCGCCTTGGTGTGCGGATCCGTGATTGCCATGTAGACGATAACGAGGACGAGGAAGATGTTGAGGGGGATCAGGTGGAGTGGCACAGGGTATGGGAAAGCGGTGCCGACGCTGAGCTCCCGTCAGTGCTAAACTACAACAGACAGCAAACGAAGCCTTCGAAGGCAAGCCTTGCCCACATACCAAGGAAATTTCCACAGCGCGGCCGCGCCCGGCTGGAACTGCAGCGCAAAGTCCTTGATGGTGTTGGGACTGAGCACCATCATCCTCACCCCGAGGAACCGACATGCCGTCAGGGCTGGGGGGAAGACGTTGTCGATAACGACCAGGTCGGCGCCGACGTCCCGGATGATGTCCAGCAGGCTCTGGTAGATCTCGAGAAAGCTCTCCGGGTCCCACGGCTGCATGACGCGGAATATGGGGCGTAGCTTCGCCGGCGTGTCCCACCAGCGGCGCGGCATCTGGGTTAAGTTGTGGCCCACGCCGCCGCTCGCCATGACTCCCTGCCACGACTGGGCCATACTAGCGCCGCGGACGACGTGAAACACGATGGGCAGGGCGGCGGAGGTGGCTGCTGCGAGGGCATCGTCCGAGGCCTTGCGCACGTCGGCAGCGAGGTCGGCGAACGAGGCGATGTGAACCTCGACGTCCTCGCCCCGCGCCGTTAAGAGCGCGTGGCTGGTGGCGAGCACTACGGTTGACTGCCCGCGCTCGGCATTGGTAAGGAAAAGAACCTTCTTGTCCGGTCTGTCGGTGGGCTCCATGTCGGGCTGGTGGACTACTAGGTCTTTGTTATAACAGGAGTCGTTTGGCCCGAGCCTCGGCAATGCGTCGCCATAGTCAGCTCAGCAGCATAACGGAGGCCAAGCCTGATATAACGCCCGCGGCCGCCGCCCCCAGGTACGCCAAAAACGCCTATACCCTCCCCATAGGATGTCAGGATGACCTCGCCTCCCGCGGTGGCCGAGGTGTGTGGGTTACGCGGCCTCGCTATATTCTCTCCGCGGATGTGATTCAGGGGCCTCGGTTTGCGGTCCCGTAATCCGGGCATGGCGGCTGGAGAAGGCATTTCAACATGACGGGGTGGGATGACGATGGGCAGTACGCAAGCAGAGCACACGCCCCCTTGCCGGGGAAGGCGTGCGCGGTTTCCCGGGCCACGACGCAGGACGACTGGCTGAGGAAGCTCCCCGGGAGATGACGGTTTGGCGGCTTTACTGACCCGCTAGAGTGGGATAGATGAGTTCATGCGTGGTGATCTCTCGGGAAGGGTTGTCTTGGCGATTTTATCCGCAACTCCAAGGCCTGAGTGTCGCGGGAAGCGAGGGGTTGTGGTTGTGGTGGTGGCGGCACAACTCATCCCCGTCCGTGATGGGCGATCCCGTCTCAACTTCTTTTTTCTGTCTGGGCCGTCCTCGTGAACGGAGCGGCCGCCGAGATCGTTCGGGTTCCCGGTCTGGGGCTCTGGGTACCACAGCTCGCCAAGACGGACGGGAAGCCCGACGTGCAATGCCGCAGTCTCCCTAATGTCCTTGCGTACGTCCCTCCTCGATGGCTGGCCAATGGTGTGCGGCAGGTATATTGAGGGTGGGAACCGCACTCTCTGCTGGCTTGGCTAAACGGGCCGGTCGCGCGAAAGACCCATGCGACGCTCGAAAGACAGGAAAGTGGTGAGCTTGCATTTACCCGAGCCAGAGCGATTCCATCACGCATGCAGGTTGGCTGGACGTGCCGCGAAAGGCCTAGAACGGGCCTGTAGCGGGTAGGGGCGACGACACCGGTCACGAGAGCAGGGAGAGATGACGCAATATGTTTGTTTGACGGACTAGGAAACGTCTACCAGCAGGACTGCGAGGGAGAGAGAGAAAGCGGGGCTGGATATCATGTAATAAAAACGACAAGGAAAGAAATGGGAGCCGCTGCGCTGACCCTCGGAGGAGACGGCTCCTGAATGAGCGAAGGGCAACGGGCTATCTATCCCGTTTCGCCAATTAAACAAACATGGTTTCTTTTCTCTATTTCCCCTTCATTAGTTAGGAATTGACGCGGCACCTGGAGCCACTTTGACATTAAAAGCACACTAGGTACCCAGTCATGATGACAGGGCACCAATCATTCCCTCGGCCCAGGAGGCGCGTTGTATGGCCTGTACCCCTGGTTCTGGTCGTGGCTAAAGTTGGCGGCGGCGCTGTCGTTGGGGACGGAGGCGTAACCCCCGTTGCCAGACAGGGCGTTTGGCGGCATCCTCGGCGAGCCCACGGGCGAGCCGTACTGGGACCCGGCGTCGGCCTCGGAGATCATGGGGCTGGCGGGCGGCGGGTGGCCGGGCGACGTCATGGGGGAGTCGAAGCTGGGGCCGCGGACGTGGTGGTGAGGCTGCTGCTGCTGCGACTGGCCGGGCACCTGGAGGGCGGGGCTGGCGGGGGCGTCGCTGCTGGCGAGCTCGTGCGGGCGCGCGGTCGAGTCCATCTCGTAGACGACGGGGAGGTTGGGGGCGGCGCCGAGCTGCGGCGTGTGCGCGTTGCTGTGGAAGCTCAGCTGGCTGTAGGACGGGCTCGGCTGGCGCGGGTCCCCGCCCTCGCTGCCGGCGTAGGCCGACTGGGGCCCGTCGGGCGAGAGGGCGCCCATGGACTGGTGGTGGTGTTGGTGCTTGGCGAACATGGTGTCGCGCGGGGAGCTGAAGGCTGTCGAGCCGCTCATGTATGACTCTGGGAGGGAGGGGGGCCGGGCCATGTTAATAGACTGCCACGAGCATCCAGGTAGGAAGGGGAAGATGTGTTGGGTTGTGACAAACCTCTGAACGGGTTGGCGTGGGCGGTGGCGCTCTTGTGGGCGCCGTCGTAGTAGGGAGCCGGCTCGTTGGAGTCGTACTCGGGCTGCGACATGGTTGGCAGGACCGGGGCCTTCTTCCTCTCCTTGCGCTTGCCAGCGCTCCAGCCGAACTTGTACGTCAAGACGGCGATCAGGATGATGAAGAGAAGGCCGACGCCGACGGCGATACCGGCGATGGCCCCGGTGGAGAGGCCGTTGTTCTGCTGCTGGACCGCCGGGGTGCTCGCCGCGGCGGTCCCCGATGCCTGGCCGGACGCGGTCGAGGAGGGGACGCCGGAGGAGGTCGGGTTCAGGAACAGGTTGCGGTTTATGGTCTTGTCGCTGAGCCTCGCCGGGAGCAGCTTGTCGTTGGGGCAGGACTTGGAGCTGCACGGGTTTTCGGCGCAGCAGCCCATGAACCTGCTGTTGGTACACGTGTACCAGTTCTGGTACCCTGGGTAGCCATCGCAGTCCTGCTCCGGCAGAGCCTGGTACTCGGAAGGCGAGAAGTTGGATTTCCTAAGGTCGGCCTGAGGGCACTTCCCTGACCCGTCGGCGCAGGGGTCTGATGTGCAGCAGCCGATGAACTGGACCGTCGCCTTCTCACACACGTAGAACTTTCCATCGTCTGGGCATGTCAGCCCAAAGGCCTTGTAGTATGCCATTGTGTGCAGCGTGATCCCCCGCGGGGACAACCAGGCCACGAGATGATGAGGCGATGAAGGATGGCGAGAGAAGATGAAAACCCCGTCCCGAGAATGCGGTTCCCCAATCTCAGTTTAACGAACGGTAGGGGCACAGAACACGTTCGGTTGTGGGAAAGAGATCACCAACAGCCGCCCGGGGGTGATGGGACAGCAGGGGAGAAAAGGAAAGAGAAACAGGAAAAGGAATCAGGACGAGGCGGCGGGAGGATGATGGACGGTTGATGACCAGTAATACCGGTATCAAAAGAAGAAGTAAGAACCGACACCAGACGCAAGTTGCGCCCCGGCACCGATGAGGAGCCAGCTGCGGCATCCCCCATGTTTATCAACGGACCCCAACTGGCCCTCATGTTGCCAAGAAGGTTCCGGCAGGGTTGCATGTTGGTGCTGGAGGAGCGCATGCGCTCAGAACCTGGACGCTAGAGCAGCCAAGGCCCAGGCCAACCCGATGGCGGAGGGCTAGCAGAACACGACGAGGAAGAGCGCAGCATGGCGGGCAGGCGGACAGCAGCTCAGCCCTCCGCCTCCAAAGCAAGCGTCGGGCATCTCGCTTGTGACGCCAACCGGAGTAGAGGCGGCTTCCTCCACAGCCCGCCCATCTGATCTCCACCGCCCGCGCTTGTGAGGGGGGCCGCTATATTTGGTGGCGTGCGTCTATTCGCCCTCTTTCCGGGCGAGTCGAGCTCGTTTTTCCTTCCTAGATGGTCTTTGCAGATGGCTTTTTCTCCTGCCCGCCTGCAGCGCTGCATCCTGCACCGACATGTCACGCCTGCCCACTTGAGCACTGTGCGTGTTGCTGCTGCTGCTGCTGGACGTTATCTGCTGGTGGGCTCGGTCTGCGGGTTCCCTGATACCTGGTTAACCCATTCGGCGACCTAAGCGGTTGTGCCATCTCACACACGTCAGAGAAGATGAGGATCGGATATAGGGTACGTCGAAGGGAGCATGAGCGGAGCATGTCGCTGGACTGGGGATTGATGATGCACACAGAGCTTCAGCATTCCAGTGCCCACCGCCGTTGAAGATTAATGGCTGGCTGTTGGCAGGACGGATCATGCCCAGTTGGGAAACAGCCTTGGAAATTGGTGGGCCCGGAAGCTAAGAACTAATACGCTTTCGGCTAGCCACGCTAGCCACTGTCCCGACCCCGGTCGTTTTTTCAGCCCCGAACAGCACAGCCCACCCGCCAAAGCTTGCAATTCTGCCTGGGCAGACCTGGTGCCAATATGTGACGAAGTTGGGGTTTGGTTTGTGTGGCTCAATCCGTCGTGTGGTTGTGTTCTGTCGCTGGAGACCGACTGTTGTGCGAACTCACAACGGAGAGCACAGCAGAAAATCCCGTCTGTGGCCTAGACTACGTGGGCTTTTTGTGCGACTGACATGCCGACTCGACTCGTCAGCGTCAGCTCAGCCTGACCGACTGACTGAGCACACCCAAGGCCATGGATCAATCCCAAGCCAGACAACGCACAGAGCGAGCCTATCCAACGGCCACGCATGCCCAGCCCAGGCCCAGGCCCAGGCCCCGGCTGACTGCGCTGGTCCCATCGTCCGGGCCACCGCCAGCTTGGCCCGGCCTGCAGGAGTCCGCGCTGACGGCTGAGAATGCGCGCGAGCCTCGCTGGGCAAATGAGGCGTGCCAGCCTGTTCTCTGTTCTGTGACCAGTGTTGTGACCAGCTCGGATCGGCTCCATTGCGTGCGACACTGATCCTTCCCTGACCCACCTGCTTGCCACCGGCCGGCACCAGCAGCGGCGTCCCCCGAATGAGAAGCCAACCTTGGCAACGACAAAAGGGAGGGTTCGGATCCTCCCTGCGAGGTGAGCATTGTTTATTGTGCCCAGGTCCGTGGACCGGCCACATTGAGAAACCCATCGACCGTCTCGGTGACCCCTCCGCTTTCGTCGTCAGGTAGGCATCACCCACACACCCACACCCTCCCGCAAAACCCCCTGGAACGTCCTGTTGGTCAAAAACTGTTCCACAGCCTCCTCCACAGCGGCAGAGCCTCGTCGCCCAGTGTCCCCTGACCCACCTCCTTGTCCTCCTCCAGATCCCTGCGCCGTCCCGACACCAGGTCTATCTCGAGCGCTCTCCGCACCTTGGTCTTGAACACCAGCTTGTACCCGAAGTAGATGATGGGGAAGAGCGGCAGCAGGATGTACGCATCCACAAACGTGGCCGCGTCAAAGGGCGCGAGCGTCGACCAGCCCTGCACCAGCGCCAGGAACACATTTGCGCCCAGCCCAAAGTAGGCGTTCCAGGGGTACCCGAACGAGCGGAAGGGCAGGTCCTCGGGCGTGTGGCCCTGCGCAGCCCAGGCGGCCCGGAAGCGCATGTGCACAAACGAGATGGCGCCCCAGACCAGAAATGTCGAGACGCCAGACAGGTTGACGATGTAGGCGTAGGCCTGCGCCGCGCCCGTCGAGATGTTCATCATGCTCAGGGCGCCGCACGCGTTGGCCACCACGATGGCCGGGATCGGGACCCCGCGCCGGTCCGTCCAGCCCAGGAAGCGCGGCGCCATGCGGTCCTGCGCCATGAAGAGAAGCGTGCGGCTGGCGATGAAGATGCTCGAGTTGATGGCGCTTAGGCACGTCACGAAGATGAAGGCATTAATCAGATGCACGCCGCCCGCCCACCCGGCGTTCTGGATCGCCACCGTCATGGGACTCCGCAGAGCCCGGTTGCCACCGTTGATCAGGCCGTCGGCATCCCAAGGGCACGTCAGACCGAAGAAAATAGCGGATCCCATGTAGCTATGCCTTGTGCGTTAGACCGCGCGCTTACAAGTGTGGCCAATAGCGAGCCAACCTACATGAAAATGATGCGCCAGAATACCTGGCGGATCGCCAACGGCACTGCCACGCGGGGGTTTTTGGTTTCAGTGGCTGCCACAGCCACCGACTCGACGCCAGCGTAAAACGTGGAGCAAAAGACAAAAACCGTCGCCATTCCCTTGAAGCCGTTGGCAAATGCACCGGGCTCGCGCCAGTACAAGGAGCCAAGGGCTGGGGCTCCTGGGATCCCTCCACCGATGTATCTGAACAGGCGGCACTGTGTTAGCCTCGGGAAAGAGGGCTAGTGGCCACCCAAGGGGGAGTACTTGCACCAGCGAGAAGAGAAAGTATGCAACCAGCCCAACGAGCTTGATGAGCGCCAGCCAGAACTCAGCCTCCCCAAAAGTCTCGACACCCAGGAGCTGGAAGGCGGCAAAGGCAGCCCAAAAGATGAGGAAGTACCCCCAGATGGGCACCTGCTCAGCCCACAGGGTGAAGATGCTGCAGATGGCGTTGTACTCATTTGCCAGCACCGCCCACCAGATGATGTAGTAGTTCCACCCCACGGCGACGCCAAAGGCCTTGTCGACGAAGCGGTCGGCCAGCGCCGTGAAGGCGCCGCCGCTGGGGTACAGCGTCGTCAGCTCTCCCAGAGACTGCATCACACTAAAGGCGACGACGCCGATGACGGCGAAGCCGATGACGAGCGCTGCGGGCCCGCCGCTCGCCAGCGCGCCGCCCGAGCCCACCAGCAGGCCCGGCCCGATGATGCCGGCCAACGCCATCATGCTCAGGTGCCGCGTCTTGAGCCCGCGCTTGACGCCGCTGTGTGGGTCGATGGCCTGGAAGTCGTCCGACGTCGACTCCGTCTCGGACCCGGCCGCGAGCACGCCGCCGCCGCCGCCGCCGTGCGGCTTGTCGGGGCTGTCGTCTATGCTGCCGTAGTTGCCGCCGGGCGGCGGCGGCGGCGGTGGTGAGTGCTGGCCGGACATTGGCGGCGGTTGTTGGGAGTCGCGTATATTTTCGATTCGGCGTTTAGGCCGACGTACCGCGCAGGGATATGCAGTCTCCTCGCGAGATAAGCGCGTATGTGCACACAAGAAACCCAAGATGCCCAGGCTGCAAGCCGGCCACACTTCCTTATATCATCTTTTCTCGTCAAGACGCGCAAATCTTGCCGTTGCCCCCACGCCCACGCCCACGCCCACCACGCCGCCGCCCGAACACTGGACCTCCCGATGGCGCAACCGGTCCCGCGAGGCGAGGCAATCCCTCCCTCATTTGCCATAGCAGTGGATCAGGGTCGTGCCGACGGACGAGAGACCCCTGCGCGCGACTCCCCTTCTAGGCTAGCGGCGATGGCGCAACCAGCCCCAAGGTTGCGGGATTAGGAGCTGCGAACTGCCCCGCCAATCAATCAATCGATTTTTTTAACGTCAGTGCCTCGGGTGCCGTCACGTGTTAACGATCTCGAGCAGGGTTCTCGTCTCGATTTCTACTACGTGTGACACAGTAGTATTTTATTCGTCAAAACGCGGTATCAAATGGACGGACTGGCACGCTGGGTCCGGGGCCACTTGCTTGGGGCGGACACACAGCCGTTGGCTCCGCAGCCGCCGCCCGACCTTCATTACAGCCCGCCGCCGGCCCCAGCTTCGACACCTCCCAACCCAACGCCGAAAGAGTAACACCCTTCCGATACGCCCTGCTAAAGTCATCTTCACACTTTCGCATCCTCCGGTTGAAATCCGTCTACGTGGACGCTTCCATACCGTTCAACCAGCACCTCCATGGCTCCCTGGTCGAGGTTGACTCCATCTGCATCAACCAAGGGTCCGACGCGGAGGCGCTGGCCGAGCGGAGCGGCCAGACCGCCATGATGGACTTGATCTACCGGTCGGCGCGGTAGGTCAATGTACACCTGGGCTCCGGGGACGCCGCCTCGGATGCGGCCTGCGATGCCTTCAGGAAATTGTCCTGGTGGTACCTCGCCGCCATAATCCCTAGCCCACTACAGGGAGGTATAGGATAGGATACTAGAAGAGGAAATTACGTGGTGTGTTGTGTTTGGTGTAAATGTTTAAACCCTTCACAAGCGGATCAAAGCAAGGGGATGAATAGCTCTTGAATGTCGTACGTAGGTACCTAATGCAGTGTCTGCCCTACTCGTCCTCGTCAAATCCCCGCTCTCCTAGGTCGGCGAACTCGGCCTCGAGATCAGCCGGCTTGTTGTGCTTCCACCGCTTGGCCCACTGCTCCGAAGCCAGTCGATCCGTCTGGTCCTCGCCGTCCTCGTCGGCCTCCTCGTCCTCCTCATCCGGGTCCCCGGGCCTTTTAACGCCCTGCGGCCACTTGAAGAAGCCCTCCGGGTCCCACATCTGCTTGATCCGCCTCAGCTCCTCGGTGTTGTCCCCAAAGTACGCCCGCTCGTGCAGCCTGCCGGGGAAGTCCCGGTCGGGGAAATTGATAAACGCCGCCTCCTCGCCCAGCGAATGCGGCCGCAGTGCCCGCTTCACCTTGGCTAGAAACGCCCGCATATCCCGCTCCATCCACTTGTCCACCCACTCGACTGTCACGTAGGCGTGGAACACGGCTTCGCGCCAAAAATAGGCCGTGGCGTCGGGTCGCGGTTCCGACGCTTTCCCGCCCGAATGAATCCAGGTAACAAGGAAAGTAACCTTTTCACCCTTGAACTGGGTGCGGAATTCCGTCATGAGCCCGCGGATGAGCCCCGTGATGGTGGCCAGCTTGGCCGGGTCCGAGTTGGTGAACACGAAAGAGCTGTACAGCTCGTACGTTTTGTTGCTGGGGTACGCGCGCTCCATTTCCTCAAGCCACTGGGCGACGAGGGTTTCGTATAGGAAGCGCGTCGACGGCTCCGGCAGTACGCGGCGTTTAAGCTGCGTCTTGAGCTCCTCGTGCGCGATGGAGGAGTCGATAAGCCCGTTGTACTCCCTCTTGAGGCCATCGAACGCCACGTTGAAGCGCACGCCGCCCTCGTTGGACGAGTCGGTCAGGTCGCAAGCCCACGTGCTGTCGATAGTTAGCTTTTTGGGCCAAAGCGTGGCGTAGAAGGCGTTCATGACCTCGACGAGCTCGTCAGTGATGCCGCCCTTGGGGTACCAGGTGTAGCGGCCCGCTACCACCGTTTTCTGGTAATTGCTGAGCTTCTGCACTTTCAGCTTCATCTCCACCACAACGCCAAAGTTGCCCCCGCCGGCGCCACGGAGCGCCCAAAAGAGCCGACCGTTCTTGGACATGGGCGGGTCCGACTCGCTGACAGTGACGAGGTCGCCAGTAGCGGTTACGACAGTGGCCTCGGCGAGCGTATCGGCGCCCATACCGAAGCTGCGCGTGAAAGGGCCAAGCCCGGCGCCGAGGATAAAGCCGCTAACGCCAACGGTTGGGCAACGACCGCCGTTAATAATAAGGCCGTCGTGTCCGCCAATAATAAGCGTTTCGTACACGTCGCCCCACTGGCAGCCGGCGTCCATAGTGACCAGCATCGATTCGACATCGAGTTTGACCCTTTTCATACGGCGAAGGTCGAGCGAAATGCCAGTGTCGGCCGTTGAGTGGCCCGCGTATGAGTGGCCGTTACACTTGATGGTCACTTTGAGGGACCGGGCTTTGGCCTCGCGGATGATGGCCTGCACCTGAGCCGCATTCTCAGGCTGCACGACAAAATCGGGCCGGCAAAAGCGGAAGACGAGGTTGGACGTGGCGATGGCGTGTCTGTACTCGGGGTTCCCCGGCTCGAGGACGGGGATCTGCTTGGACTTCAAGCTCTGGATGACCTGCTCCATGGCTAGGACGTGCTGGCGGTTGCTGTCACCGTGTGCTGCTGGGTTCTGGGTTGACTCTAACACTACTGCCACCACTGCAGTCCTTTAGAGAATCGAGGGGGCGGGGCTCTTTATTCTCCCAAGACACTGGCTCGGCTTGTCATGGCACTGGGGCGTCCTTTCCACTTCCCGAATCCGACCGGCCGGCCGGCCGTGGCCGTACCATTGAAAGAGGTACCTAAGGTACTTGAGTATACTCGTACCTCTCAGACCCCGTCTGCTGACATCTTCAGCTGATTCCGCGGTTGCACTTATGCATTTCTACCCAACTTACACCACCAACAACAGCGCAAGGTGGTTGGCTGCAAAAACATCTAGCTTATCCACCTTTGAGAAGCCAAGCACCTATCACCATGTCACATGAAGAGAGCGCGATAGCCGCTGAAAACCATCTCTCCCCAGTTTTTGCAAAGCTTAACCAAGTCCTCCCACATCGTCTTACTTGTAGCTTATCCGCACTAACGGTTTACCTTGGAAGCTTTCGCTTATGCCGAACTTGAGTCCCAAAACCCCCAACCAAGGCGTCATCATGGATTCAAGTAGCGCTATCGAAACAACTCCCAGCACGGAGAATGACACTCTGAGCGGACTCGACGTCGACACGGCCGCCATCGCTGAGCAGGCGACCGAGTTCCCAAAGCTCGAGAAGCTCACGCCGCTACTCCAGGAGCACAAGAGTGTGTAATCGCCAGCTTGGCCCCTTTCCATACAACATGCTAACCTCCCTGGACTCCCTCCAGGCGGAATTGCCGTCGTCGCGGCCCTCTGGCTCGCTATCTACGTCCGCGTCTGGCTCGCCTACCTTCTCCCCTTTCCCGACCTGCGCCAGACCCTATCCGTCGCGGCCCTCGCCCTCTTCCTCCTCCTCCCCCTCATCCCCACCCACAGCAGCGGCAACCTTATAAACGGCCTACCCCGGTACTTCTACACCACCCTTAACACCTCCCTAACTAGGCTCTACCACCGCACCCTCCCGCCCTGGTTGGTCACCCACGTTATTCCCGCCCTCCTCCTCCTGCCCCTGACCCGCGCCGTCTCGCTCCTACTTCTGCTTACCGTCTTGGGCGTCGCGCGCTCCTACCGCACCGGCACGGCTTCCGTCACCGCCGCCACCGACGCGGCTATCCGCCAGGCCGAGGCCGCCGCCCAGCGCGCCGCCGAGCACGCGAGGGCCGCGACGGCGCTCGAGATGGCGGCGCTGCAGCTGGCGTTGAGCGTGGGCGAGGCCGACTGCTCGAAGCAGCGGCGGTTGGACGCCGCGAAGGACGTGCGGGAGAAGGCCGGGGAGGTGGCGCAGGAGGTGGCCGGGGTTGTGAGGAGGAGGCTGGACAAGGTGAGGCAGGCTACGGAGGGGGCGAAGAACGCGGTGCGGGAGGACGGGGATTTGGAGTTGGCGCTGGAGGCGGTGGCCAATTTGGAGAGGCTACTCGAGGGGTTGGTGCAGGCGGAGGAGGCGATTGGGAGGAGGGTGCAGGCGGCGCGGGAGAACTTATGGAGGGCGAGTTTGGGAGAGTAAAAGTGAGGGAAAGTGAATGGAGGAGACGAAAGGATCTATGTAGCAGAAAGTCGGTTTAAAGTTACTCTTGGCAGATATGGGAAAGACGGGAATGTGACTTGGGTTTATTCGGGCACACCTTTGTCGTCAGAGCGAACTAAACAGCTGGACATCAATTACAAGAAGACTACCGTCCTACGCATATGGCTGTTACTACTTCCTCCTACGCTTTCCTACGCTCCGCGTTCGCGAGGGGTTGGTACAGTGTCGTGACGAGCTATAAAAGCAAAGTGGTTAGCCACCAACCGCTCCTGCGAGATATTCACTCAGCGAGATTACTTACCCAGCGGTCCAGCGCGCGCTGATCGCGGAACGACTTGAACTTGTCGTCGAACCTGCCTAAACTCCAGTGAGCCTCATATGTCCTAGGTCTCGACCGCCAGGTAAAAGGAAGTACATACCCGCAAAGACGTAAGTAACCTTGTCGATATCGCTGTTGCCCCTAAGCGTGTCGAGAAAGTCGACGGCCTCCTTGGACGAGCCGATCTGGCCGACCAAGAACTTGACGCCTGTCCGTAGTCAGCAACCAAGCATGAATGTCAACCCAAGAAAAGTGGGCACTTACAGTCCATTGGATACCCATTTTTAACCAGCTCGCTGCCGCACTCGAGGATGACCCTCGCCAACTTGCCAGGGTCCTCGCGCGAGGGCCCACCATCAGTCAAGATCGACACGAGCAGCGGCCGCTTGAACCTGCCCTCGGCGAGCGGCTGCAGGACGAGCGGCTCGAGGATGCGCTCGCGCAGCGTGGTGCCTATCGGCGTGTCGCCGCGCGGCGAGACGGACTCGAATCCGCGCCCGAGGGCCTCAAGGTCTAGATTGGCCGACTCGTCGGCCGTGCGCTGGTTGATGAAGCGCAGGGCGACGCCCTGGTCGTCGGGCAGGATCAGCGTCCCGATTTTGGCGATGCGTAGCGCCAGCTCCTTCTGGTTCTCCCACCGCTTCTCTGCGGTACCTTTTCGGTTCGTCATGGAGCTGCTGTCGTCTGCCAGTTGTGTTAGTACCGCTGAGAAACTAAGCGTTCGGGGACGGAGCGTCGGTACCGCAGTAGATGACCTGCTGGTGCATGGTCACCTCGATGGTCATGGGCAGGACCTGGGGGCTCGCTAGGTCGGTGGTCGTGTCCTTGGCAAGGTCGACGAGCTTGGTCGCCATGTTCTGCATAAATCGGTTGTCGTCCTTGAAGAAGATTGACAGCGTGGGCGTGGACTTGACGTAATCGTCAACCTGTTGGACAAACTCGTCGGCCGTGGGCTCCGTGGGCTCCGCCAGATCGTCCTCCGTGGGATCACCGGCCGTGGGCTCCGTGGGCTCCGTGGGCTCCGCCGGATCGTCGGCCGTGGGATCGCCGGCCGTGAGTTTCGCCGGATCGTCGGCCGTGGGCTCCGCCGGATTGCTGGCCGTGGGCTTCGCCGGATTAACGGCCGTGGGCTCCGCCGGATTGCTGGCCGTGGGCTTCGCCGGATTAACGGCCGTGGGCTTCGCCGGATTGCTGGTTGCGGGATCGCCGGCCGTGGGCTCCGCCGGATTAACGGCCACGGGCTTCGCCGGATTGCCAGCCGTGGGCTTCGCCGGATTGACGGCCGTGGGCTCCGCCGGATTATCGGCCGT